CGTGCTGGCTTCGTTAGAAGATGCCATGTAGAGCAGGGTAAAGGTAGGGAACAAACTAGAGGTCCGACGAGCTTCCCCGTCTTCTTGTAGTGCGCATCCAGCTCTTTGGCACGCACAATGGCTGCGTCTGCCATGAACTCGGTTGCAAAGTTGGTCTGGTCTATCCATTAGCCTGTGACTGAAGAGGAGTCTGCAAGGGGCAAGGGATACCAGCTGATGTCCTATAACCGCCCTTTTCAAGAACGCAACAACCACTTCTTCGGCTGTCAGCAGTCCGGCCCCCATCCCGGCCACCAGCGCGGTGGCGGTCATCTCGGTGATGGACAGCTCGCGCGCAGACAGCAGGCCGCTGTGGCGGGCGACGTCGACGACGCTCTTGACATCTTTTGAGGGCAGTTTATCCGCCGGGAGGAGCCATTGCTTCGGGATGGAGGCGTCGAGGATGGTTTGGGCGGTTTGGGCTTTTGCTTTCCACATTCTACAGGAGGAGTAGGTAGGTCGGTAGGTAGAGGAAGAAGGGATACGGAGGTATCAGTATGAGAGGAAGGGGTTTTATACTCCTCATGCACTGCAGATCCACTTCCCCGCTTCCTGCATGATAGACGGACGGATGTCCGCTGATAGCAGTCTTAGGACAGATACCGTGGAAGAGATGTTATATAGACTGTCTTCGTATATTAGGAGTATTGTCCATATCATATCTGCACCCTCCTTGCATATTAACCCTAGTTCATGTCCAGCCATATACTTCTGTAGGTATACTGCACTGTATACTCGGTATACTTCTGTATACTGTATACTACAGCGGAACATTCCGTTCGGACCCATCCGAGCCCTCCGAGCAACATCTCAACTCCTCACACACCTCCCCACACAACACCCGACACTTTTCCTTCTCGCGCACCACCACCCCATCCAGCATCTGCACCTGCACCTGCATCTTGATCTCCGGCTGCAGCGTTGCCGAGTGGATGCCATGCGCATGGAAGCACCCGTTCACAGCGCGCGTCGTGCCCGCCCAGTCCGCGCCCTCGGGCAGCACGATATGCACGCTCGCCAGCGTCTTGCGCTGGTTCAGCCGCCAGATGTGCAGCTCGTGGATCGCCAGCACGCCGGGGATCTTCTCCAGGTCGAGCTGGACGTGCAGCGGGTCGATGGAGGCGGGGGCGCTTTCAAGCAGGATCAGTCCTGAGTGGCGGACTTTATACGTACATATCATCTGTTAGCTGCGCAAACGGGAGCAATATGAAGGAAAGGGAAGGGTACCCAGGGGAATGGACGAGATGATTATCATCACGGCGATGCCCATGCTCGTCCCTGGGTCGGCGTAGTACCGGCCCTCGTACGAGGCGAACCAGATCACCAGCGCGGCGGCCATCACGCCCAGGTTGTTGGCTGCGTCGCTGATGATGTGGAGGAGGACGCCTAGCATGTTGAGGTCGTGGTCGTGGTCATGTTCATGGGTATGCTGTGCAGGCAGCTGTTAGCTCGTGCAGTGTGGATAGCTCTGCACTTACCTGAAGGCTCTCATCTTCCTTCTTGGAACTCTGTCCATGCCCATGCCCATGTCCATGGGAATGATCATGTCCATGCCCCTGCAAAACAACAACACTAACCAAATTCAACCCCAATCCCACCGCGCCCATGGCAAACATCAACCGCGGATTCTCCACCGCTGCACCGATCAGCCTCTCAAGCATCAAGCATAGGCAGAAGGAAACGTACGCTGCAAACTAATAAACCGCTCCACCGACTGCAAAAACACACTCAGCCCCAGCGCCAGCAGCAGCGCCCCATTAAAAAACGCGCCCAGCAGCGGCGCGCGCTGCCACCCGAACGAGAGCTGCGGCGGCGCATCGTTCTTTGCGCTGATGCGGAGGGCGACGAGCGCGACCACAAATCCTATCAAGTCGCTTAACTGTCATTCATGGGGTTAGTAGAGACTCTAAAACAGGTGCAGGCGCGTACGTAGTGGAAGGCGTCGGCGATTAGGGCGAGGGAATGCGTGTAGAATCCGACTGTTTCATTGCGGTCAATATCATGTCTCGGATTGCTGGTATGGCGCCAGTACCTGATATCTCGGCGAGGAAGAACACGGTGGATATCCCGATCACGGCGGACAGGCGCGTTGTCCGCGAGATTCGCAAGGCCATTTTATCGGTCCATGGGAGAATCAGATTGAGATGCGATGGACGTGGACGGAAAGCTTTTGTCTGTCTGTTCTGCCCCTTGATTTCGTCGGCTCGTGTGACCGACTGGAATGCTGCATGTTATGTTATGGTGGATGGTTGGCTTTGCAATCTTGTACTGCAAACTCGGTATCCATATGGAAGAATCAATTGATCAGGCTATGCTCTAATATATACTCTAGCAGGTATAGAACAGTAACAAGCAACACATCCACCACTACATGTTATCCTCCATCCAGTGGCTCCGCGTCTTCATCCACGCCTCGTGCTCGTTCTTCCTCTGCTCGGCGCTCATGCCCACGCCCATCCCGCGCTCCACCCACTCCTTGCTGCCCATCTCGACCAGCCGGGACAGCGCCCGCGCAAACGCGAACCGCTCCTCGTCGCCGCTGAAGATCGACGTCGACTTGAGCGCCTTCATCGACAGCCCCAGGTCATCCATCATCATGCGCATCGCGTCCGACAGGTCGCCGCCGTCGTTCTCGTCCAGCGACGACCGCACCTCGGACTCGGAGATGAAGATGTTGGTGAGGGGGACCGCCGTCGTGAGGACCAGTTTTGCCTGCGCACATTAGTATTCTGCGGTTCCTGAATCTGGGCTCCAGCAACATACTCTGCTCTCGTACACCGCATCGATAAACGTAATGAACCGCCGCGCCAGATCGCGCTGGTGCAGTGTCATCCCCGGCACGTCGGTGACGATCAGCGCGTCGTAGTTGCGCACCAGCTCCAGGTAGTCGGCCGCGCCGGTGGCCGACCCGATCAGCTGCTGGAACGTGAACCGCGCCGCCTTGCCGCTCGCCAGCGGCACCTCGATCTTGCGCCCCCACACCTCCTGCGTGGCCGGGTGCGGCGGGTCGTTGACCGGGTCGCCCAGGTACTCGAACCACTTCTGGGCGTGGCGCTCGGCCTCCGCGTCGAGCGGGTGGTGGTAGACGGCGGCTGGGGGCCGGGGGATTTTGCGGTAGTCGGTGGGCGAGTCGAGGTTGATGACGTCCAGGGCGGTCTTGAGGAGGTTGATGCATGGGATGAAGTGTTCGCGCTGGATGCCGTTCTTGTAGAGCTCGTCGGGGTGGCGGTTGGACGTGGTGACCAACACCACGCCGTGGGACATGAGGGATTCGAGGAGTCTGACGGTCAGCGCAAGATCCGCAACTTCACCAGCCGGGATATAACATACCTCCGCAGAATCATCGCATCCGCCACATCCGTGCACTGGAACTCGTCAAAACACAGCACGCTCGACTTCTCGGCAATGTCGGCCGCCACCAACGGCAGCGCATCAAAGTCACTCCCGTAGCGCATCTTGACCACATGCATGCGCTTATGTACATCCTGCATGAAATTGTGAAAGTGGATGCGCGTCTTGGACGTGATGTTCGCCGGCAGCGTCTCGTAGAACAGATCCATCAGCATCGTCTTGCCGCAGCCCACATCGCCAAACATATACAGCCCCTTGGGCAGCGTCTCGGGGATCGTCAGCTCTACCTGCTTCTTGCCGCGGCCGAACAGTGACCCGAACAGCGACGACTTGGGCTTCGGCTCGAGCATCTCCGGGTTCGGATGGACCACCGCCGGCGCCTGGTACGCGCTCAGCCGTTCATACAAATCCTGCAGTTTCTCGATGATCTCTACACACGTTAGCTCCGCCTCGCACATTATCGAACAATGAGCGATAGGCACATACCTCTCTGGTGGGGGTCATCCCGTAGTCGACCCTGCTGCACCCGCGCGTCATACTCGCGCAGCGGACCGCCCTGGACGGGCCCGGGTGCTGCGGCGTCCGTCGGCGCGACCTGCGCCGCCTGCGTTGCGTATTGTCGTATATACCGGGGGTTTTGGGTGCACTCGCTCGGCCGAGTGCCTCCGGCTGGGAGCGTCCGTCGCGCGACACTCACCGGTCCCTCATGTACATTCCTCCGGCTCTCCCTCACATAGACCCTTCGTACTCCGCGCGGCGCAGACGGGGCCAACGCCCTCCGTCGCAACGCCCGCGGCAGTTGTTCCGTGCACAGGCGGACCGACGAGCCGTTCATCGTAATATATAGCTATATCCCTGACAAAAGCACGATCTCGGTAGGAGCGCGATCGACGCAGGTTTGTCGAGAAGTCGGTCGGGCAAAGGGCGGATACTCGTTTCCCCGGCGGTAAATACTCGGCGATCGTAGTGGCGGCCACGCGGGGAACACCTCGTCCAGCGTACAACTATCGCAACCGTCACGGGGCTATAGATCGTTCTCCAACGCCCGCAGACAATGATGACAAACGGAGGCGACTCCTGACTCGAACGAGATCCGGACGAGAGTATGGAGCAGGAAGGTTGCTTGGCGCAGGCGAAAAAGAACCGCGGCTGCGTCACGTGCGTCGGAACCCGGCAATTGAGCGGAACTGATCACCGGCAGCCTGAGGCCGAAGCATTGTTTACCTACAGTACACATATATACTCCGTAAAGTGGCAAAGATAATGGATACATCTCACTATATGCAAAGTTTATGTACAGACCGGCGCATCAAGGGTATGGATGGACATGTCACAAACAACCATGGCCCACAGGTAATCAACATGCAAGAAAGAAAAGTACATCAGGCATCAAACATTTCGGACATCTCGTTTCTCATCCGCCTCTGGTTTACAGTCCTCAGAGGCTGACAAGTCGTAAACAACCAGAACACCATGCTCCTCCACATTGTGGGTCCCAGAATAAATGGCAAGTCGATCATAGAGATCAGCAAATCTATCGCAAACGTCGGCGGAATCAGAATTCTATGCAGGTCCGGGACTCTAGGCGAGCCCAACATAAAGCGTAAGTTTGGAGTTGCGTTGAATGGCGGTATCAAGATCACTGTCGCTGATCAGGTCGACATACGTGCCCGACGGCTCGTCCTTGTATTGCACCGTGATGTCGTCGTGCAGCTTCAGCCGGTCCATGAGCTTCTCCTTCAGCTGGTGCACGTTGATGTCACTCGGCACCCGGATGGCGATCAGATCGTCCTGGAAAAACACCTTCACTTTCATGGCCCCGCTGCTCGAGGTGGTGGACACCTGGGTGATCGAACTGGGTTGGCGGTTCATCGGAGGCGGTCCGCCGTTGGTATGGGAGAGCGACGCCTGCCCCCGTTGGTGGGAGGTGCGATCTGGGGCGTTCATCTGGGCCTGGGACGACTGACGCGACGCGCTGCGGGAGGCCTCGGGGCCCGACGAGTGATGCGAGCCGCCGGAGAACCGCGCATCCTCGCCGAACGCGCTCGGGTCGATCTCAAAGTCGCCCTGGCGCGGTGCAAAGAGCTGTCGGACGAGTTGACAGCGAGAAATGTGCGGCGGCATGGAAAGAAGCTTTTTGATGTACTCGTCGAGGTTCTGTCGACGGCCGTTGGAGATGGCATCCGTGACATGGGTGACGGGGCCGGGCATGAAGGGCAGGGTGCGGGGCCGGCCGCGATTGCCGGCCTCCTCCTCGAACTGGGTCAGAAGGGCGATCTGGAAGTCGTAGAAATCGTGGTAGTATCGAGACAGCTCCCAGCAGCGCCCATCCTCCATCTTGGCCTCAATAATATACCAATACTTGTCGTTATCGAAGCAATATCGCGGTATCGAGGCGGCGACGGGGGCAACGAGGGGCTGTTGGTAGCTCTGTGGCGGTTGGGACATGTGCGAGACGGAATTTTTGCTAGCATTGCGATTGTGATAGCTCTGTATGCGATTAGCGCCTGCTGGAGTGCTTGAAGGTTCCGACGACTCACATAGTAATTGCCGTTCTGGCTCATGTGGCCATTGCTCTGGTGGCTCATGGACATCTTGTCCATATTCGCGGTGACAGACTGCATGTTGTTGGCGGCGGCTGCGGCGGAATCGATCTTGCCCAGCGTGATGCTGCTGTTCTTGTATTCGGCGGTCATCTTCTTCCACTCCTCCACTTTCGGAACGCCGGCGCGTCGGACGGCCTCCAGTGGGTCCGTCACGGCCTGGCCGGTCTGCATGTCGCGCAGTTCGATGAAGGAGACGGGAATGAGGCCGGGACCGCCCAGACGGCCGATGGGTTTGGCGACGAACCATTCGGGGTTGGACTGGGCGATGACGATGATGGCCTCGCCGGCCTTGGCGTCCAGTTCGTCCGGTCGCTCGGCCTGGAAGTCATACTGCACTATGCCATAGACCATGGCGCTGGAGGCCTTGCCCAAGGTGGACATCCTGGGAAAGGCGGGGTGCGGCGAGATCTTCTGAGGGGGAGAGGAGGGATCCAGAGGGGGAAACGCGGCGGGGGCTCGATCAGAGAAACCGGAGTCGTGAGGCTTATGAAGGTCGATTGTCCCGCCACCGTCGCGCTCGTTTTTGCCGATAACCTCGAAAAAGGACACGGGAACCAGCCCCCTTGCACTAGGGATGAGGGGATTGCAAGCTTCGTACCAGTCGAGATCGTCCTCCCTGCTGATGACGTGAAAGAAGTCGCCCTTGCTGAAGGCCAGTTCCTGGGAGTTTCCGTATTCGGGCTGGTAGTCGTAGAGGGCTTTGATGACCTGTGGGGGTCAGCGAGGGTCAGTGACTTGAGGGTGTTTCGATGCGCGAAAGAGGCGTCGAAGAGAAGAATGACCGGAGTGACCGGGTTCTCGACAAGGGAGAGATCGGGAGAAAGGAGATTGAAGAAAGGGGGATGGAAGGAGTAGTGTGCTCGGTGATAAACACGGAAAAATCACGCACCTTTTTAGGAGGAAGAATGGCGATGGCGGATTTGGGGGTGATGGAGAGATGGTGGTGGTGGGGTTTGGGATCTTTTTCCCCTTTAAGAGACCGTCGGATAGCCTGGAGAGAACGGTGTAAGAAGATTGCTCTGGACTGGATGGTAGAGAGGAGGTAATATAGAATGAAACAAACGAGTGGGTGGATGGAGGGAGTTGGACCCGAGGGGCAGGAAACGGGAACAGGAGAATCCCAAAGTAGGGGGAGGGGAAAAAAAAATACATAATCAAAAAAAATTAAACCAAAAATTGGCATACCTTCATAACTCAGTTGGTCCCGAAGGGGTCGGAGGCTGGATCAACACTTTAATCAATCAAACAATCTATCGATCAATCAATCGATCCGGCGTGGCCCAGTCTTCAATAACGATCCCAGGCAGTTTGGTCGGTCTTTGGGAGGCAGGATTCCTATATAAGATGGGATCACCGTCGCGCCACGAGCGATCCGTTCCGTACAAAGAGATGCCGCTCAAAGAACCCCGAATCCCAAAAAACGAGCGAGATGGAGGATGATGAAGGAATGTGAGTGGAGACGGAGCGAACGATAGACAGTCTCGACGGGAGTTGTAGGTAGATAGTAAAGGAGTGAGAGGGAAGACAGAGTCGAGGGGTGAAGCCTGGAGGGATGGTTGAAAGGTGTCTCGAGGATGGCGAGAGAGATCTACCTAAATAATAATTATAGAATGGTAATAATAGTAATGACCATCGTCTCTCCGGACGGCGGCGGGTTTTTCCAGAGAAGTCGGCGTTTTATTCGTCTATTATTCGTCTATTTGTCCTCTGGCGGTCTCCAACCCAACAACCACGGATAGAATCTGTCGGGAAGGGTGGTTCTGGATGGCGACGACGGAATCCGCACGAGGGCGAAAAGGAAAAAAAAGTGGTCCGTCTGGATGTTCCCCGCCCCTGAAGGAGTCGACCCGATGCACTGACCCGGACGAGAGAAGCGGCAAGTATCGAATCCCACTGGGGGAGTGACAGCCCCGGTGGTTCCAAGGATGCGATGGGGATGGCTCTGGTGTCGGTTTCTGGATGGTTCGGAGGGTAGATGGAGCTCCTTGCGTGAGCTGCAAGCGATGGGGGTGGAGAGGGGTGGCGAGGGAGATCTTATGAGAACGAGGAGAGTTGGCTGGAGGAATGTTGCATGTGTCAAGTGAAGTTGGACTAGATGAAGTGATGGAGGAGGGATGATGATGCTCGCCAGCGGAGATGACGGTGGTGGTGGCTGTACCGGTCTCGTACGCTGGTAAGGATGGTGAATGGTGGTAGTGGTGGTATTTTTAGTATTATATGGTATTCTATGGTACTATCTGGTACGCGGAAGTGGAGCCGACGGAGGATTCAGACCTTACTGAGCTGCGCCGTAGTAGGTAAGGTACCTAGTATACTCCTCATCTGCTCAACCACGGAATCCATACTAACCCACCAAATCCACAGAAAAGACCCTGATCCAAAGACAAAACAGTCCAGTTCAGCTCGTTGAGTCGGGACGGAGAATGTGTAGTCGTACTTTCACCGGAAGGCTCCCCGCCTGCGACGGCGACTAGTGAGTTAGTGTCGTTGGGCAGCAGTCTGGATGTCCGTCACTTCATCATGCAATTGTTTTGTTCCTCGGTGAATCTTATTGTATTCTTTATAGTTTACTCTATTCTGGATTCTACTATTCAGTTTATTCAGTCTAACTTTTTCTATACTCTACCTCTTCTCTCCCATCCCTCCATCCAATCACTCCTCCGTAATTCCATCCAGCCAGAGCGTACGTGTCAAGCGCAGGTGGTGCCTGGGTCGGCTCCACCACCTATTCTGGTGGGGACTGTCCGATCCCATTCAAGTGGCCAGCCCCATCGCCACTGGTCTGTGCCTTTCTTTACTTTACGGCGTAGTTACAGAGTAACCCTAGGTGCCTGAGGTAGCATCAGCTGTCACTACGCCTTATTCCTTTGCTGTCATTCTGCAAGCCTCCTTCCAGCCTTATCTACGCCAGCCTAACTAACTCATGGTTTGGCTCTTACATCACCTGACTCTAAGCCAGCGCAGATTTGAGCCCTTCCCATCCATGGTTGACAGGCTTCCGTTCCATACCATCCGTCTTCTCCGCTTTTTCCTAAACCGTCCTGATCATCCACAGCTGGGAGATAAGCAATATGCTTTGGTAGTCGATAACCTACCGACAAAATTGACTAATCCCATCCATACCCAGTATCTACTTAACCTACCTGACCTAGGGTAACTATCGGACAAATGCCGCACAGAAGTCAATAGTACCCTTTGCTGTCGAGCAAAATCCCGTACTCCACCTCCCTGCCCGGTCTCCATCCACACTAGGTACTAGTACTTCGACAAGACGAGGCCGGAGTCGAGCCATGCATCCCGATGCATCGGCCCTTGCAGCTCTGAGGGACGCTATATCGACCGGTCGCGCCCCGACGGGTTGTACATGGCAGCTGAACGCACCGCCACAGGTGGGGCGTCGATAAGCTTGATTGAGTAGGGAGTATGGTAGGTTTGCATAAGGTTCTTGGATTCTTGTTTTGCAGATTGCTCTGTCTACAGCTGAACGGGTGTCTACATCTGCTAGTACTGTCATCAAGTTAGTCCTCCGCTGCACTAGACAGGTCATTCCTCGTGCAGCGGACCCATCTTATCAAGCAGATCGGTCCACTGAAGATTATAGATCCAGCAACGGTCGTGACATATCAGCTGATGACAGGATCAACATGTTTCGACTATCCTACCGAATCCACTTGCTAACGTTCGGCATCTGAGTGGGCCTTGGTGCTAATACAGCACTCTACACCCATCTACGATGTAATCTACGTACTCGGTCGATTCTCATACTCCTGCCATTAGATTGACGAATAATCGACCCCGGATGACGACTCCCGATTCCTAACTTTACCTCCAACACTGAAGGAAAGACTCGATTCCCCAGAGGCCTCTTTAATTCTCTCCGGCCCAACCGTGTGGGACTCCACGTTCGGGAACCACACAAGCGGGTCTTAACGGAGGACTCGGTTCTAGATTCGTATTCTCGGGATTCCAGGTGGTATTAGTATTAGTGTCAGATAATATTACAGGCGACATCCGAGATTCATGTCACATGATCGTTGGTTCTTTGTTTGTGGTGAACAGCTCTGATGACTACCCAGCGCTGTCCTGGTACATGTACAACACCGATGCAAGAACGCGCTGCAATCCTCTGCGGATAGAGGGACAAATTATATCATCTTCCTAGTCCTTGATGATTATGTTGTATGGGCATGGTTCAAGGATTGAGGGACGGTTTATTTACCCCCGTCGATCTGCATCTGAAATATATCACAGCTCTCCAACCCAGATGGATGATTTACGATCTATGAAGTCATTCGATCTGAAACATGGCCGATGAGTCTGACTCAGCCATGCACATCTGACCCTGAGGATGGGGGAACTTTAAGATCAGCCTGCAGGTCGGTGTTTGTTATTGTTCCACATCGGATATGCGTGCCTCAGGCAGCCTATGACTGCACATCCTGCTCAGGTATGAGAGGTCAGATTCTCACCCAATTGGCAAGTAAGTGAATGAATCTTGATCCTGTTAGCATCCTGTAACTACGAAACTTACAGCCTCTGTCTGACCTGTACTCTAGTAGTGGAGATGCCATGCCCAGATATCCATCTGAACTGGACGGCCACCACAACTGCACAAATATATCCTCGTATCTGCCAGTCAGCCCACAGGAAAACACGAAGGAAAGAGCACAAAGTGGCGCACCATTGCATGAAGCTGGACCCAGGCTTTTGAAATCGCCCCGAGATGACCCATTACCATCTCCCACGCGCATATTTTGAATCGCAACTCCCACCCCAGGTGTGATCCCATGGCCGGTGCTTGCCTCTGGACAGCAGCTGAGAGTGCCTACAAGGAGCCAGATGGCCTTGATAGCCCTCAGGCCTACTCGATCGCGGATGATCACCACCGCAGGGAGCTTATTTACGAGAGAGTTTATTTACGACGGGAGTCCACTCGCCCTGGTTAGCATGCCGTTCTCCTGTTGGCGCTCCACAATGTCTTGGATGTGACCCCGAGGCGTCCGGCAGCTGCGTTTGAGTTTGGGCGTATGGAGTCAGCAATTGAGTCGTGGTGGGAGGGACATGAAGTCAGAAGGCGACACCCGATGTTGCCCACTGTCCTGGTCCATGTGTCCTGCAACAAGTGGGTGGGTACTGAGGTATGATGATCTCCATACCTGACATCGTTCCGCTTGTCATGGCGTTCGGGTAGAATCTATGTAGAATCTCTATTAGTGTTGACGGAATGGCATGGGATGAGACAGAGCGGTGTGGACAAGCGACATATCCCATCGTCCACACTCGACAACGTGTTGAATTCTAGAATTTCATGACTTCTAGTAAGCAGACACCACTTACTGCAGCGAATCCCCGAGCAGATGGGCAATTGGCCGCCTTCTGCCGAGTGTTTGCGCGGGTTACACCAGAATGCAAGGGAGAAGCCCGTGAGCTGAACATGTGCGTCGCGTGGAGATGGGGGAATGCCGGGGTCGGGACAACAGAGACCAGAACGTTCTTCGTATTGTTGGAATGGCCAAGGGATGGCAATGGGCTGGATGTACCGGCAGCAGGTGGGTTCGTGGGTATATAAATCCAGGAGCTGCTGCAGACCTCGTATATGACTAGCAACACTCGAGTGACACCCGGTACCACTGTCGAGGCCAGTGTCACCCACTGGATTCCTTATATTCACTCCTGGTCCTCAGACAGGGGTGTATGGTTCTCTTTAACTCTCTTACATTCCAAACTGCCTTGTATTCCTCCCACACTCCCATTGTTTATCCCAGTGACTACATTCACCTGGGAATAGGTATTTTAGACCAAACCACCCCCGTTCTACTTCCTCTTCCCATGCACCCCTGACCTTATCCTCTCCCGCATCACCACCATGGCCGACAAACTGGAGCCGTCGCATTTCTCCCTCGACTTCGCCATCCGGCAGTCCGTTCGCGAAGCCCCCAGCTACGCGACCACCACCTCTGATCAGGTCCAGAAGCGTCCTACCGTCGTCCTCGACGCCAACGAGAATGCCGAGGGCAACTGTCTGGACAAACACCGCTGGCTGAGCCAGTACCTCCCGTTCCTACGCCCATTCGGCGTGAAACTCGACTCTCTGAAGAGATATCCCTCGGCCTCGCAGCGCGATCTCAAACAGAAGATTGCCCAATGGCGCAATCTAGACGGTATATGAAGAGCTTCCTTCCCTCCCGCTAAGTCCCATGCTAAGAATCACCAGGAATCGAGTCCATCTGCCTGGGCTCCGGCGCCTCAGACATCTGGGATCTCATCCTCCGCACCACCTGCACCCCCAACCAGGATAAGATCCTCGTCGTGCCGCCCACCTTCGATCTGTACAAAGTCCGCGCCCGCTTCTACGATGTCGGCGTCACCGAATGCCCGCTCGACTACCGCGATGGCGACTTTACCCTGCCGACTGACAAGGTGAGTGACCCCGCGACGTGACTGTGCAACACAAGTAACCGATTTTCAGATCTGTGAAACGCTCGCCGCCGACCAAGACATCAAACTCGCCATCATCGCGTCTCCTGGAAACCCCGCCGGCAGTCTAGTTCCGCTGGACGAAATCAAGCAGATTCTCGATGAGCCGTGTACGTATACTTCTGAAACCCCAAATTCAAGTCTCTAGTCCAAGTCCACCCGAACGAGAACTGACTGAGCAGCCTTCCGCGGCCTCCTCGTCGTCGACGAAGCCTACATCGACTTCAGTTCCAGCCCTGAAGAATCCTCCGCGCTCTCGTTGCTGTCTAGCTACGGGAACCTGGTCGTCGTGCAATCGCTGAGCAAGGCGCACGGGCTCGCCGGGATCCGGTGCGTCCCCAGGCAGTCACACCCCCTTCCTGCAGACCGGCTAACCATGTCCAACAGGGTCGGCATGGCGTTCGCACATCCCGTCGTGACATCCATGTTCTGCAAGCTCCAGATGCCGTACGGCCTCTCGACGCCGGTGCTCTCCCTCGCCACCAAAGCCCTGTCGCCCAAGAACGCGGCGCGCGCCAGCCGCCTGATCGGCCGCGTGAAGGCGAACCGCGCCGCGCTGGTCGAGGCCCTGAGCGATGAGAACTTCCGACAGCTCGGGGTCGGCCCGCTGATTGGGGGGAACCAGGCGAACTATGTGGTTGTGCCGATCCTGTCAATTGGAAAGGAGATGGCGAAGCGCGATGATGACCGCGCCAGGGCGATTGAGGCGAGATTGAGAGAGACGCATCGGGTGGGTGTGCGGTATGTCGGCAAGGCGGTGCATTGCGAGGCGTGTCTGAGGGTGTCGGTGGGCACGGCCAAGGAACATAAGGCGTTTTTGAAGGCATTTGAGGAGGTGTTGTTGGTGGTTTAGCCTACGTCCGTCACCAGCTCTGCATATGCATGTAGGAAAACATTGCTAGCTTCATTGACGACTATGAAAGACTTGGACAGTCTGAAGGTAAAAATACACAAAAATAGTCGCGCCCGGGATCGAACCGGGAACCTTCTGAGGATGTTTTATCCAATGTGAATCAGACGTCATGACCATTAGACCACGCAACTTTTGATGACCTAATCTGGGCTATAATAAATACAACTATAGAGGTCGTAAACAAGCTCCATCAGGCACCAGGCACCGTTTGTTGAATCCGCCTACTCCTACTCCGTACGCCTCATCTACTTTACCTCCTCACCTTCTCTCTTCCCTCATATCTTCTCTTCCTTGTTCTCTCCCTCCTGTTCTTTCAATCTCCTCTCGATTCTCCCCAAGCCAACCGCCATCATGTTCGAATGCGAAACATGTGACGAGCAGTTCTACTACAGATTCGATTGCGAGCAGCACATGGACGACTACGACCACTGGCCAGAATGCGAGACCTGTGACCGTGTCTTTCGTACCCAGCGTGCCTGCGACCAGCATATGGATGCCCTCGACCATTGGGCCGTTGAGTACGAATGCGACACCTGTGATCGCACGTTCCGCTCGCAGGCTGCAGCCGACCAGCACATGCGGGCTCTGGGCCACTACACCAACTACTGCAAGGCCTGCGACAGACACTTCCAGAACGAGAACAACCTCCGCATGGTATGTACCTTGTCCCTACCACACATCCGTTCTGAACCTACCGTGTCAGCATCTCAATTCCAAAATCCACCGCGGCCAATCCATCACCTGCCCCTTCTGCAAGGCCCACTACACCACCGCCAGCGGGTTGACCCACCATCTGGAACGAGGCTCCTGTCCCAAAGCTCCGGGCCTGAACCGCGAGAGCATCTACCGCATGGTCTCTGCGCGCGACCCCGGCGGCACCATCACCAACCGGCAGATCGGCTGGCGTGATGAGGACTCGGGCGTCTACAAGGCCACGAACCGGGCTTTTAACGGCTCCTTGTGGGAATGCTACATCTGTCACAAGGATTTCAACACCGATACTAGTCTTAGTCAGCATTTGAATTCCCCGGCTCACAAGCAGAAGGTGTATCGCTGTCCCAATGTCAACAGTGTTTGTGGGAAGCAGTTCTCGACGCTGGCGGCGCTGTTTGGGCATCTGGAGAGTGAGAGCTGTGAGTTCATTCGGTTTGAGAACGTGCAGCGTCGTGTGGGGGATGTTGTTCAGGGGAGGGGGCTTATCGCTTTCTAGCCTGATGTCTGGTTCTCAGGGATCACGGCAAGATGTCCTGAACGTTGATGACTGTCTATTCGCCAAGTGCTGTCTGTCTGCTGACCAGACATTTTAATGATGTTTATGTTTATGATGTTGCTCATGCCCATTCCCAATTGTCGTATGTTAGCTAATGAAAGAAATTCACTGTTCTCATCAATCCATACACGCATGTCTCCGAATATAATCAGCCACCTGCTCCGGCCGCACCAACCACGGCGTATGCGCCGTCCCAATCGTCTCCGTCTCAACCACAGCCCCCATCTCCCGCATCCTCCCCACCATAGCCTCCTGTATAGCCAGCGGGAGCGCCCGATCATCCTCACACAGCAGATACGCCGAGGGGATCTGCATAAACGCCTCCGCCTGCGCAGGGGCCACTTTCGTCGCCCACGCATGAGGCCGCAGCTCCGCCACCCACTGCGCGCCGTCAGGCACATCATGGAAAAACAGACCCAGGGGGTCTTTCGTCGTCACCGTCTTACTCTCATCCTGCCTAGTCAGCCTCTCGTCCATCTACCCACAAATCAGATAAAACTTACATCAACAACCCACCACTCGGGCACATTCCCAGCAACCGCATCAAGCACACTCTCCCCAACGACAGGCACAAACGCAGCGATGAAGCAGATCTTCACCACGCCGCCGGTCTTTCCGTCGCGCGCGCGTTCCGCCACGCCGAGGCCCTCCAGCGCGCTGTTCACGGGGAGCCCGGCCCAGCTGTGCACGATGAGGGCTACGTGTTTTCCGGCTGTGACGAGGGGCTCGACGAGATCGCGCACGGCGGCGATGTCGAGAGACAGGTCGTGGACATTGGTTGCTTGTTGGATTGATGGGAAGGCGATGGTGTGGCAGGTGTAGTCTTGGGCGAGCTGGTCGATGAGAGGGGTGAATGCTGTGCGGGGGTACCAGGCGCCCGGGGCGAAGACGAGGGTTGGGATTTGCATTGTTTTGAGTAATTGGGAGTAGAAGGTAAGAGACTGGAGGAGTGGTGGGTTGTATTATTATTTATACTGGGTAGGAATCAGCATGAGGGATTCAGACTAGTGACTAGGGCTTATTGTTTACATAGGGTTTCTTCCAATGGCCGAATCGAGTAGTTCTGTGGTCATCACTTTCGCAATCAATGAAATATACATTAATCTGGATCAACATAAAGCAGGACATAACATAACATATCGTTCGATATCAGGTTGTAAGATGTATGGATTAACAACCTCCACCCCCTCCTCCTCCCCCTCCACCGCACCCAGACGCTCCCACTGCACTGCCTGCCGCATAACCACCGTAGATAGCAGCATTGTGGCGACGCTTCCTGCGGGGTTTGTAGCCTGAACTGTAGTTTGACGGACGCTGTTGGTTGTAGTACCCGTTGTTGTAGGTAGACGTGGACGGGTACCCGCTGGGACGGGCGGCGGGGTAGGGGTCTCTGTCGGAGCTGGAGAAGCACATTGTTCTGTTTAGAACGGTCTGTATTAAGTAGAGGATATGATCTGGTGTAGTGTGTTGTATTTGTAGAAGGGTTCGGTTGATGTTGGTCGAGAGATGGGAGTTATATATATCTCTCTGGCTGACGGTATTACGTATGCTCAATGCACGATGAGTGAGCATGACAGTAGATCATCATGTCCATGGCTATGCAGATACTATTCGGTAGGATGTCTGCTGATCTTGTCGATACACTAATCGTGGCTAAGCGTGCCCGGTCTGGTGGCGGAGGACTCAGCCTTGCAGGTCTTATCATGGCTGTACCGAGGCTTATACTATGGAGACATACTTTCTTTAGAAGTGGTTGGGTAGTCAGTCCTACTTTATGTGTGTGCCTCTAGTGGCCGAACGACTATCAATCAACCACCACTTATGGTAGCTTGATGCATGGTTGATTGATCGCAACGGTTGACCACCGTGTATCATGCTACCACTCTACTAGATTGTCTAAAGCTACGAATTGAGTACTATCTGGACCTCCCAAGACCTGTTTAAATACAATTATGGACTTCAAGAGCTTTATAAATAAGAAGATGCGAAACCTCTAGTCATGCCCGGCCCGAGAATACTGTTTCAGTAGTGCTTTCGCAGCAGATGCGGCCGTTGCGGTTGCAAATTCTTTCCATATATCGTTCTTGTGGCTGTCTGCGTAGTCAGAGACAGCTTTGACTATAACGCAGGGTACTTCGTCCCACAACCCAGCGCCTTCCATCTCGAATGCAATCACACCGTGACGCTTGGCCAGCTTGTCACGGTCTTCGGCAGACTTCATCACAGAATCACCTGATGCGACCCGCCCAACGAATATCGACGGGGCTTGGGCATCCTCCTCGCGTCCCTCTCGCTCTAGTTGTTGCTTTGACTTCAGCCGTTCCCGTTGAACGACGTACGTTTTATCGCATCCAAGCTCATCACACGAGAGCTGGCGGGACTCCTCACAGACAGTCACCGAATCTTTGTGATTTTTTGCGCAGACACATTCTGGCGAAAGATGGTGTTTGTGCTGGTAGCTGGACTGGAAGAGATTGTCCTGTGAAGACCCTGGATACTGATATTTGGGAGCGCGCGGTTTTAGAGCGGCACTCCTTTGGATTTGTTGGAGGTAAAATGCAGTATTTTGTTCGAGTCGCTCACGACCAGCTGTGGTCTCGATCATGGTAAGCAGGGTGTGTATGTTTTTGGGGGCTCTGCTAGGACCGTCCTCCGCAGTATCTCGCTTGTGGAACTGGTCGGGATACCTCCTGCCCAGGTCGTACTGGACAATATGCCTGCTAATGACTACATCGCCAAGTAGAAGCTCTTGATTCCCTTCTGGACATGGTACGCCACCGCAGATGCCAATCAGAAGGACGAGCCTAAGTCCGGGATAGCTCAATCGAAGGCTTGCGGCAGTTCCAGCGGCGCTAGCCTTGCCCGTATTCGGAAGGAGAACCAGAACCACATTGAACTCTTCCATGCGGCCGGCCGTATATATGTTCGGATCTCCGTCGGCCCCCCCATAGTAGTCGGAGTCTTCGTCCCAAACTTCATCCATGAGAAAATACACGGCATCATACTCGCACGGTAATGCACATACTATTGCGATCTCGAATTTATCGCGAATAGCAGGTGGAGCAGACTTCTTGGTAGCGTGGTAGCTCAACACTTCCGGGGACTCTATGTCCGGTGGCGATGAGATTGAAAGCATCCTCTTCTGCGGAAGCTCCGACAATAAATCAGATCTTTTCCGCTTCAAGCTCTGCGGGTTGACAGTGAGCTCAAGATTGCGGACTATTTGCTCGTAAATAGCCTTCCTTAATACTTCACTGGCAGTTGGACCAGTTGGTTGACCTTGTGATTTTGGCAGGGCCATATGTAGATATAGACACCCTTCCACAGCCCTGAGGTAATTGTTGTTTCCGTCTCTTCCTGCCACGTCAACGAAGTCGCACAACTCCCCCCATGTCGACACGTTGGCTCTACTTTCAGGATGGATCGCCATCGGAATCTTCTCGCCGCTGTCGATCTCTAGCAGGAGCCTAGCAAATGAAAGCAGCACTGGGTTGCCTGGTCGCACTGTTTTGAGTAAGTCGGGGAATGCAGGAGTCGAGAAATTGGGCCTGAGCGAAATATAAAGTACACGGTCACCGATAAGGGCACCAGAAGGGCGTAGAAAGTATACGCTCTCTGGTTTCCAACTGTATGAGGCCAATTCGAGGTCCTCGTCGAAGAAGTCCATCAAACATCTTGCAAGCGAAAGAGCTAGAGTCGCCTTCTCTTGAGAACTGTATTTCTGGACTGCGGCTCCTTTTAGGTAGTCTAGGGGAGTGATCCGAATGAAAGCCTTCTGATCAAGTAGGTCACCGAGAGACTCTGCTGCAAATTCATTCGACCTTGACGGTATTGGTGGCATTTTATCTGAGATATCAAATAATCCCCGCGGGTCAACGCACAGGTGGAGTACTCTACCGGTTTCCCTTGCTTGTCGAATTGCCTCGCATATATTGTCTTTCTCAGTCCTGTCCATCGCTTTCCTAGTCTTTTGGTTAAAACCAAAACCACAAGGTTTATGGTGTTAGTACACACGTACTGAAATGTGCCACATTTGGCTTGTTGCCAAATACTTCTGTCTGGGCAACTGGAAACGAATATATCCAAGGTGGCAGTGGCACAAAGACCAGTTTGCCACTCATCCGACACTCTCAGCTTGAGTTCGTGGGACTCTCGACAGCTGAGCTGCCCAAACTCGTTGAATATGGCGTTGACAACAATGCTCGCGCGCTTTGCATGCACGCAAGATTGGTCCTGCGTTGACACTTTCTCTGATAGTTCCATCCGTGGCTGGGTAATGTCCCACAATCCCCGCGAGTTCTGAGTAATGACCATGACACGTTCTAAGAATGCTTTGAACTTGGTGATTCGTTCCATCGCAAGACTTCCGGCTTGCCCTTGAGGCAGATCAAACAGAAGTGAACCCGAGCCGGTTGTCAGGTTGACCTGGTCGGTGGACGTATCCAACACGCCAATGAGGGAAGCCAACCGGGGGTACTTGTCGCCAAGTATGGACATGTCGTGAGGGCCGGTCTGTGTTGCTTCCAGAGGGCCGATGAAATCTCCATTGACCATGTCATTTAGCGAAGCCAAAAGATCTCGTGCCATTTGATCCATATCGTCATAGTCATGCTCCGAGAGATCAACAACCACCGGTGCTGCCGTGAGGATATAGCGCAGATCGGCTTCAAAGAAAGCGGCATCATTCTGCAATTTGTGCGGGCGGCTGTAGGGTGTTGTGGTCCTCTTAAACCTCGCAAGTCTGCCAATCAAGCGTGACCGCACAGCTTGGATACCGTTCCAGCCAAGCGATGCTGTGGGAAGCATAGTTATCTCTTCGAATACGCGAAGTGCTGTCGGCGTCCGAGAGGCCCCAGTATGAAGTGTTCCCCGCCAAGGATAACCTGATGATGAGAAAAGCGGGGCTTCCTGAGCGGGGTGTCTCGGAGCGATATTCAACCCATCTGTTAGTATTGGAGCCGTCTTTGAACCCTCTCCCCGAACCAGGCTAAGTCACATAGTTGTTTTATATAGATGCCGATGATGCCTTATATTATCAGAGTGCTTTGTGATTGAAGAACTAGTGACCATGGAAGCTATCGAGGATGAGGAACCGATATATGAACTCGCTGTTGAATGCGAAAGGCTGTTCGTACAACAGATTTCCAAATTAAACGACGAAGACCAGCCAAATGGTGCCAAGGTTCTCTCGGAGCTGAGCCAGCGATTCGCCGCCTGGGCAGCTTTCTTGGGTGTCTTCGCTGTATCGAATGTGTGCTTGGATCGCAGACTCCGACGCCACGGCGAGATTCAAGATCAGTTACTCCGTCTGCTGGACATCATGCAGAGAAACCTGACATACTGTGTTTCCTCCCGTGTTCCCAGCGAAAGAATCAGTACTAACTGTATAGGTAGTATTCGAACGAGATGACTTCCCTGCTTGCATTGCTACTGGGTCGTCTGATGCGCGCCAGTCGTCGCTGCAACCATCTTGCATAAGAATTTACAACCTGGACGCAATTTTAGGGGCCATTGGACGCCTTGAGCATCTCGGATTCTCCATCCGAAATTCATCAATGACGAGCGAGGTAACAAAGTCTAGAAAATTTGCGGAAACATTTGACGTGGCGTCTTTCGAGGGACTCGCATATCTATCTGTGAAGAAGCTTTATCCTGATGTAAGCGAAGGCCTTCTAGAACAGCTCACCCGATCCATGACAGAAACCTACTCTCGGTTCCTTCATCGCAAATATCGCCAGGAGCAGTTTCAAGCCCCCAGGTCACGTCCCCGGACAGCGGTGCCATTATCCACTAATGCAGAGGAGCCTGTCGAAGACTCCGATGCGAAAAGCCCCGTGGATGTCCAGAAACGAGAATCCCGGGAAGGTGGAGGTTCTACTACAACGCTGCTTCAAGGTCGTTCAGCTCATGTTTTACCCATATCTGAGCCAACGTCCGTGGATAGTCAGGGAGTCCCAAAAAGGGTCGAGAAAATGCCCAGCCCCGCAGAAAAGGACGAGACAACGTCTATCTTGGCCAACCAAATGGATTACCCCCCACCAACCAAAGGAAGCTTAACCTGCGAGTGGTGCTTTAGGCCCCTCCCGACTGACTTGTTCGAAGGAGCCAAGTGGCGGTACGAAACATCCAAGCCCAACCATGTCCATGATGAACAGGCGTATTTCTCTGACCTTCAAGTCCTAGGCGGCATGTGAATGAAGATTTTGAGCCCTACATTTGTATCTCGGAAAATTGCTCTGAGCCATTGGTGAGGTTCGCGAGCTCGACACAATGGATGGAGCACATGCTTACCACTCATGGTAAATCTTGGCACCGTGAAGCTCATGTGCTGCCAACGTGGGCTTGCCCGCTGTGTGGCGATGGACACGCCACTTTTGCCGGGCCGGGTGTTCTTACCGAGCACCTTGAGAATCTTCATACAGGGACTTTTACGGTGTCTCAGGTACAAGCAATCGTGCGACAGAGTCAGTTTTGGTCTCCTCGTGGGCAAGATATCTGCCCGCTCTGCTGTCTGCCAGTACAGGGCATACATGATCCTCTATCTAAGGAAACGGGTGATGGGAATCCCCAAACGACAAGCAGGGACCGTGAACCACAGGACTTTTTTGGTCCGTCCTCGAGTAACACGGCCAGATTGGGAATGATTGCAAGCCATGTGGCTGGGCATCTTCAGGGTATAATGCTTCTCACACTGCGCTTGATATCCATAGATGTAGCGATGGATGTTTCGGCCGACAACCAAAGTGCACCCGGCAGAACTGACGATCAGTCGTCACCGATAAGGTCATTTATAGAGGACATTTCGCTCCCCACAGATGGCGAAATTGACCCTGACCACGATCCTCTAGAACATATCGTGCCTGATTGTGAGCAGGTTGATTGGAGCACTATATCTCGCCGTTACGAGGCCTCAACAGAGCCTTATCTTGAGGATATACCCCTTGAAGGAGTCGCTTCTCAGCAATCTGGTGACCAAGATTATCTGGGGTGGGATCTGGAAGAATTTATCTCCAACTACCCTACGAGAAAATCTAGGGACAAAAATTGCTTGGGTCAGGACCTAGAGGAATTTATCTCCAACCCCCCTCTAGGAGCACCTCGTGACTACAAGTACCTGGATTGGGACTTAGAAGAATTCATTTCTAATCCCCCTACAGGACCAATCCAGGACCAAGAGTACCTGGGGCAAGATCTTGAAAAATTCATTGGTGATGCCCCTATTTGAGTCGGTGACGAGATTGCAAACGGGCATTGTTGGATTTACATGAAGAAAGCCATGGATATATTTAGACCGGACCATACTATTAATCTGGTACGTAAATGTTGCTGGCAAAGAATCTTAGATGATTTAGGGCCAGGACTTCTTGGATAATGTCTCCCAACAGCATTCCATGTGTCGATTACATGATGATTTAAAGAGCATTAATTGAAGACCTATGTCGCAGTCTCCCGTGAGCAGGACTTAGAAACGGAAGTGAATGGTATATCAGAACGAATGATAAGCCAGACAGGAAATCCGGAAGAGAAGGAACAAGACACTTGTGTGATCTAAGCCAGCGTGGAGTCCGTCACCTCACATACATGCAGCCCTTCACCCCACGGACATCCCAACGAGCAGCGTCAGCATCCCGACCTAGAGCTTTCAACACATCCGCAATATGACTTCTCACTTCCAAAGTCTTGAGATGATCCTTCCCAAGCTTCTCACTTTCTGTCAGAAACACAAAACGGTACCAGCCCAGTGCTTGTTTATAGCGTTTTCCTTTTGAAAGAACCTCGGCAATGGTGAACGCCGCAGAAAGTGCTTCCTCGTGCTCCTCTCCAAGATTGGCCTTCTTCTGAAGCCAGTCAAGCCTACACAATTCCAGACTTTCTTTATCGAAAGTAGGCCGAGATGCGTTCTCAGGATAATGTTGCGGTCCGCTAACGGGGGGTGATAATTATTAATCCAACAAATATCGGGGAAATCAAAGCCCACAGGATCCACTTACATCTATAACCGCCGACCGTGTCGTGTCAAAGTTAACCACCGCTCCACGTTGACACCAACTCACACCAAGCTGGGGTTACTTACTCCCTATAATCATGAAGCGGCTAGGTCAGCCATCGGTTCAGCTAAGGTATCACTTTTCCATGAGGCTGCTTTGCAGCACGTACTCCACAAGCCGAGTGATGGCACACTACACATTGCGGCTGGACGTTGTATACTTTCGGCCCATCAAGGCACTGACAGCATATGTACATATAGGTCATATTACTCAGACGCGTGATGTTGCGATGGCTGGTTGATCAAAACAAATCAGATATAACAAGTGTCTCTGGCTGAGCAGTTGGCAAGAGATGAATAGAACATCAACAGTGACAGACTGGACACGGAGTGGTTATATAGACAGCAAACCAGCTACTTAATCAAGTGAGCTGCTCTTGATTGGTTATGAGGCTATAGGCTATGCACCTATAGGGGCTGTGTCTGTGCCTACGTTCATTGGCCCCAACGGTTATCACTCACAAATGAAAAAGTACAGAGTCCAGAGGTACTTCGTGGAGTGATATTACTAAGGTATAGATTGCTCCCGCCTAGGTAGTGTACCTTGGGTCGCTAGGTTATATGTCGAGTTCGTAGAGCAACACGGGTCAGGCGAAGTCTGTAGGAACAAAGGGTTGGTCTCTTATAAGGTATTTGCAACGACAGATCCAATCACTCGCTTAGATGTCATTCGAAAAGACAACAACGCTTGAATAGTGCATTTGATGGCACCGCATGGCGTAAAATAGCGCGTAAGAGGAGGATAAATAGTATTGCCGAGGCAGCCCTGACAACCACTTACTATTCCATGCCATCATTGCTTACAAAACCAATCATTATAGTTATCAAGAACAGCCTCATCCCTGACCTTCTCCCACACCATCTCAATCCTCTCCACCACATCCTCACTCAGCGCCCCCCGACGGAGCCCCTGCATGGTCCGCTCCAGCTGACCGGCACTACTCGCACCAACCACCATCGCATCTCCATACTCCCCGCTCAGACACGAGTGATACCCCATCCACCGATACGCCAATTCCGCCCTCGACACTCCCGCCTCGTCCGCAATCCGCCCCCAATCATCCAGCGCATCAAGGAACACCGGCTTATTGTACAGACCATGGTACACCATCCCGAACATCGAGCGCGGGTCCCATCTGCCCGACAGCCCTCCGCCCAGCAGGTCCTCCTTCGACTTGGCCAGAAAACCACCAGCCAGGGGACTATACGCATAAAACGCCAGACCGTGCTTGCGCAGGACGGGGAGCAGCTCGGTCTCCTGCTTGCGCGAGAGAGGATTGTAGTTCCCCTGGTAGACGGTGGGTAGGACGAAGTTCTTCTGTTTTGCGAGCTGAATGACAGCTTCCACTTCGTCTGCGCGGAAGTTGGACAGGCCGAAGGAGGTGAATTTGCCCGCTTGGTATAGCGCGTTGATGCCTTCGAGGGTTTCTTCCAGCGGGGTTTGGCGGTCTGGCGCGTGGAGGTAGAAGACGTTGACCTGAGACTCGTCAGAAAACTTGCCTTGGTTTAGGGAGGTATCCAATCCAGTCGATGTGTCTTGTTGGACTTACCTTATCCATCTGCAACTTCCGTAGACTCTCCTCCGCCCCGGCAATGACTTTCTCCTTTGTAGAGTTGCCCGGCGCGAACCCGCCGCAATGCTTCGTGTCAATGACGAAGCGTGCAGCAGCATGGGTCAGGCCCAGGAGCTCCTCGCTCGAGCCGTAGATCTGGGCCGTGTCAATTGTCGTGATGCCCTGCTGTTGCAGCACCTGGAGCATCTCTTCGACCTCGGCCGCTGTGCGGTGGCTGCCTTGTTCGTTGAAGCTGGCTGCGCCGAATACGAATGTTGGGAGAGGGGAGGTCATTGTCATGGCTGACTTAGATGGACAAAGATGTAGATTATAAATGTTGTTGGTTCTGGTAGTTGGAAGGCCTTCTGAGATGGTTATTTATACTTTTTATTTCCAGTTGCAACGGCTTGTAGGTTCAATCTGGTTGGTCATATCCAGAACATCAACTAAACAACACAACGACCTCGTTACTCACTCCTTCGGCCAAGGGTTGAGTCACAAATCATGCTTGTTGTATTCTTATTGGAAAATTTGAGAGCAGGAATGCAACTCCACCGAGCAAACTATATTGCAAATTATTAATGCTCACTGCGCAGGTCAAGTCGCTTAGGCGAGACAGTGGCCATCCCAGCCGTCAACACGGCCCTCTGGCTAAGCCTAGCCACACTCGACGGTAAAACGCGACTACTCGCCGGCAAAAAAGCATGACGTATAAAAACTCAAATTGAAAGGGAAAGCCAAAGCCCAAGATTTCCAGGCATAATCCTGTGTACACGTAGTATACAAGCCTAGAACTAGAAATATATAGAGGGCTGATGCCTGATGTACCAACCGCAAGAACATAATAGTCATTGCACAGATGCCTGATTCAAACAGAATTGTTGACTGTCTCTAGTTCATCTCCCTCATCATCCTGGTGCTGTCCTCCCGGGTGTTGCCTGGCACTTGCTGGTTCCTCATATCTCCTCTTAATAAACCCCGGAAGACGGCTAAATGCATGCTGGGATGTCTTTTGACTGACTGCAATGCTGGTCAGCACATATCAGCACTCGAGCCAAAATACATACAGATATGGTTCATGACTTCGAGAGGAACCCCCGTCGTGCGACTCGGAACCTAGAGGACGTTAGCGAAGTTCACCCACTCTGCAGCGAACTCACGAGGAAGAAGACAAGCACAAAGGCCAAAGCGTTCAGTCCACTGCAAGCATCAGCAAATGTATCTTCCCTTTATGCTCCAGGAACCGTACGTGAAGAAAAACAGCAGATTGGAATGCCCCATGAGATTCTTGCCGTCACTGTCGGATGGAGAAAACGCCTGGGTCAAGGCCGGCACGAAGAGAATCAGAAGGCTCAGGCCGAGGAAGTTAACCATAACGCTGAAGCTCATGCCCACCTCTACAGTGGACGTCAGTAACTTGCAATTCCGGGTTGATGGGTGCCGATGCCTACCGCGAAAAGCTAAGGGAAACACTTCAGCGCTAAACGTGAACGGAACGGGTCCAGCGCCGATGCCGTAGAAAAACGTAAAGATGACAATTGAAAAGGTCGCGATGAGGCCTTTGCGCGCGCTGTCGTCCCCCGTGATCCGGAAGAAGCCGCTGATTGCCAGAAGAGTGAAGAACATGCCGCCGAGCGAGATCAGCAGGAGGATTCGGCGGCCTCTCGAGTCGATGAACTTGTACGCCGGGATTGTGAACAGGAAATTGGCCAGTCCGAATCCTGGGCGTGTCATCAGTCATGTACAGGATGGAACCATATCGGGCATGTATGGCTTACCAAAGTTGAGCCAAGCAACCTGCTCATTATCTCCTCGAGGGGAACAATCCAGTCGCTTGCCGTCCGTTCCTGTAGCAGTTCGAAAGATATCCGACGAGTAGAACGAAAGGACGTTAATCTGCGATGGTGTCAGACGAGTCATTCTCTATCAGACAACGTAGACGGCAGCTCACCCCACAAAGCTGCTGTGCGGCCATGACCAGGAACGCAGCCACGCACGCTCTCCGATTGCGCGGAACTGTAAACAGCGCGCCCACCCGTTGGAAGATGTTCTGCCTCTGGACAAGCTCCTGATACAAATCCCTTTCCCACCATTGCTCGGGTCGCCGGCCCAGGAACAACTCGGTTTCGATTTGCAGCTGGCTGTGGATGTAGTACAGGTCCTTGGCGGCTTGGATGTCGGTGCCGCGCAGTTGACGGAGACTGAGGAAGGCGTCGGCGTATCTTCCCTGTCGGATGAGGAACCGCGGAGATTCGGGGCAGAGAAACACCAGGACGAGGAGGATGAGGGCTGGAACGGCGGCGCTGCCTAGAATTCCCCGCCAGCTGCGGTCGAAGACCCAGTAGCAGACGAAGCCGACAAAGATGCCACTATACAGGTTAGTGGCTGAGAAGGAGATGGTTTCTGGGTGACTGTACGTACAATGTGTCGAATAGCTGCCACATCATCAACAGACGGCCTCGGAGGTGTTCTGCTGCGGCCTCAGCTGCAAAGACAGGGGCGATGGACGCTTTTGCACCAATCTGACAAGTTAGTGCTGGACTCATTTGTATGGTATGCTGTACGTACCCCCACCCCGAGGAGTAGACGACAGGCCAAGAGTGTCTGCCATGAAGGACAATGAGCGGTGCCTAAGCTATATTAGTGACACATCTATTCGCCAATTCCACCCATAAGTACCGATGACACAGGCTGCACAGAGTACGGCCGATATAAAGAGAGCCGGTCGTCGACCATATTGGGTTTCCTGCAAGGGATCGCTGATCCACGTCCCGCTGCACCGGTCCGTCAGTGAGTAAACGGTATCGGATCCGCATGGACCTACATGATACTGGCTGATATCCATGGTGCTGCATCAGTCAAAGAAGCAATGTATCTATAATACCAAGACGACGATACGACGTCGTCTGTCGTGTCTGGACTGACGAGAAGGTCGCATTGCCATCCATGGGAACTGGCATTGATGGATGACTGTTGCCAGCCTCTGCAAGGAGTTAGTGTACAGTGAGACAATGTATAGACCGGCATACTGGATAATCGCAGCGCATGCGGTAGTCAGAATGATCACTTTGAGCTCCTTCGTCTGCTGAAAGAGCCCCAGTTCCGGCTCGGATGTGATAGCTAGCTTCTGGGGCCCTGTCAGGCCACATGTCTCTACAGCTGCCGAATCCCGGGCTATGAGCGCTCCCTTGACAAGAAGGTCGACATCAACCACATCCTTGAGCTCAACACCCCTGAGTTCATCATTCTTGAGTTTATGCCTATCATAAAAATTGTGGACGTCTCGTATGAGTTCTTCCCGGGTGCGTTCCCTCAACGGATTGGGGGGCCTGGATATTGACGGTTAGGAGACACAAGCACACGGTAGATCAGGAGTCATTGACTGGAGAAAGTGCATTACCTTCGGTCTGAGTAGGCGCCAGCTGTTCCATTCATGTCTGAGATTATAATGAATGTTCCAGATATGGTCAAAGGACGCAGGGGCATGGAATGTGCAACTGCAATTGAACAGTAGGACGTTTGCGGATCGAACCGACTCCCATGCCTTATTCATATATGCATTGCGAGCTGATGACCAACTACATTGGAGAATCGGTCTAGCTAATAAGGTCTAGTCCGTCGCATGCTTCTTCAGCCTGAAACCGACCTTTTTATAGCAATCAAGCCGGCTTCTGATGTGGTACATGAACGTCCCCGCTTAAAGTTCAAGAAGTAAGTTGGGCTGCCAGGGAGAATCCTAGTTGATGTTGATTTTTCTTCTCTGTTCCATAATGTGGGCGCAGTCTTCTATTGTCCGTACATGAAGCTATCCATATTGTTCAGCATACCCCAGAGACCATTAGCTGTGTGTTGGCTACATATACCTCTAGGTATGAGGTGGCATAGCGTACTCACTCTCCAGACAAACTCAAAACTAGGTCTGAAAGATGCATGACTGGATGTGGCTGCTTCTCGACCGGCGAGGCTGATACGATCCGTATCCTTCGAACAAAGCGTCCACCGTGCAATTATTTCTCATTCGCCCCCCCGTCCAGAATCAAATTGAATTGGACATTGCATTTCCCGAAATTGGCTATTTAGCTTCTTGGAAACCGATCATCATCAGCCACGTCAGTGCTAGGGGGCCGTCGGGTTGGCAATGTGTCAAGGGTGTCATCGAGGGCGAGGAGGGCGAAGAGGACGGCACGAAGTGATCGATCACTGCAGATCGAATAAACCATTCCACATCACTGGTTCTGCGGTCCCCGAACTCCGGGATACACTGGCTGCGTCGGCGGTGCGGAGATTTTCAGCCCTTGGCCATCAGTCCGTCCAGTAGCTGTCCCCATTCCCCAGCCTCGTCTGTTGCTTTGAGGCTCACAGAATAATCACAGTAGGCTGGGTGGCGAAAATCGCTGATTTCCCCCACACCACGGGGTGAGATTGCGTAAGAAGTTCTAGCATCCCGTCCACTGGTTGCTTTTTTTGATGCTATGCAACTCCGCTACTGACGGTCAGATACGAAGTGACCCTGGTGAGTAGTTCAGGGGAATTGGGGCATTTTGGTTGATGAAGACATGATTATAGCTGCAGTGCATGCATGTATACTTCCATTGCAGACGGACACTGCGGCGAAGAGCTTTCGTCTCCGTGAGGATAAGAACCCGTGTATGCACTTTGCGCCACTGTGTCAGATCTTTGCTTCCTGGCGCTAAGCGAGATTTCCAAGTTGCCTTATGATGTATTGTACAGGTAAACTGCCTTTCAATACCGGGAAAGGGCATCGACTTTGCCGAATCTTCCTCGACAGCGTGAGCGATTCTCACTTTGTACCAGATGGCTTGGCTGTTGGCACTGGTGCACGACACCACGAAACCACAAAGTTCAAAAGAAATGACGGATCTGGAAGTGGTAGATACGAGTTATTCTGCGGGAATCTTCGCTCTATAGCTTGGTATCTTCACTGGATTCCATTCTGGTAGACATTATCTTGTCCTATAAATCCGCGGATACATACATAGATACCAAGGCTTCGTTTTCTCCCCCTCACCTCTGACAGAACTAGTCCAGCCTGGTTCGCAATACCTCGTACGAGCTATTATCCAGGACGCGACAGGTCGACCTCGGCACGATACAACAGCCGGTAGGCGCTCGGTAGCAGGGATAAGAGCTTGTAGTCTGGCTGCTTACTAGACGTCTTTACCCCTGTTAGGTAGTCCAGTGCGAAGGCCATTCAGAAACTCGTTCTCTAAAGGCGTTGGAACATACTGCAAAAGCCTCCCAACAGTTCCTTAGAGACCTGTAGCTATGCTGTTGGAAGGGTTGTAGAAGGATGCACATCCATGATAGAAGCCTCGTGGCCACAGCCTCGCTTTCTCCAGTTTCCCTCGTAATTAGTACTTTGGCCCGATAACGATGATGACGAGCGGGCTTCTCCATTAGCGCTGTTTACGATCCGGATATGTATGTGGTCTATCAATTAGGTAACGAATGCAATGGCAAAGGAATATGATTGCCTCTCTAGGGGTTGAAATTGGACAAATTATCATAAAACAACCATTACCACTGCCGCCAAACGGAGTCTTAGCGGGCATTAGTCCTAGTATACTGCCTATTCGAGGCAGCAGCCGATGCCCACATGACCCCCCTCCATGGCATTGGGTCTGTTATGTCGGGGAAGCAACAGGAAAGATGACTGCCTAATTCGCCTTCTGACATGTCCTGCATTTCCCCTGTTTTCTCTTCGTGGACGCTGCATCATCACGAGTTCGGAGAGTGCCTCGGCATGGACTGCTAGACAAATTGTATGAGAAGTACGCCCCATCCCGCTTCTCTTCCTTGCCCAGTCACTTTAGACACTATAGCTGACGCTGCATGGTCAGAACCAAGGCCCATAGCTTGCTACCCATCCAGCGAGCTCCCAGCCCGTGGGGAACTATGGACCTGTTTAAACGAAACCAACGACTACGAAAGCAACTGTTAGCAGAAGTGTCCAAAGCCATCGAAACCCCCCGCGCTGGACCAGGAAGATTTGCGCCCCGCGACCGCCTGAGAAGGATTTGGACTGAAGACATACTGCGCCAATTCTTCCGCCGTGAGACGTCGCTGCTCGCCCGGAAGACGTTCGTCCAGGATATCCGCAGAGATTTCGTCCAGACCATATCAATTCTGATCTATGTAAACTGGGACGGCTGGTCGCGCTTTGATAAGATTTTCTTCTCCCATCGGGGGCCGGATGGGAGATTGGATCGGACCGATCGCAGCATCCGACACTATGACCTACAGACCTTGACGAGCGAGAGTTTCCTGGGGCCAGTGGCTGGATCGCATTTCTTTGACAACCGCCATACCTTCTGTCCAGTCGATATTGAAGAAGATACCGACCTGTGTGGCGAGGATGGCTGGCGACTACCGTTTCTTCCCGCACAGTCTGAGCCTCGCAAAAGTGGAGGGTTTGGTCACATCACCAAGGAAGTGATTGCTGCGAGGCATTATCACCGGAAGAGTGGCGTTTGCACGGTAAGAATATCGTATCTGCATGTTGTGATCATGAAACTGACAGATGGGCGGTATAGACCGAGGTCGAGGTCGCTCGCAAACTCTTCCGGTCTAAGTTCGACTATGATCGAGAGAGGATCAATCTGAAATGGCTCAGTGAAAGCATCGCCCAGCACAAACACATCGTCCTCCCCATTGCGACCATAACCATCGGACACCAGTTCAACATCCTCTTCCCGCTAGCGAAGATGGATCTTGAGGACTTCCTCGTGAGTGGACGAATCTCCCCCGCACAGTGCAGCATGGACGAACTGCTCGACCAAGCGACCAATCTGGCAGATGCGCTGGACCACCTACACAACCGACTAGGCGTTTCGACTCGGGGGTACCACATGGACCTGAAGCCCGCCAACATCCTGGTCTATGAAGAACCCAACCTTCTCAGGCCGCATGGGGTCGGAACATGGAAGATCACCGACTTCGGTCTCTCCATCATTGAACGCCCCGAAAGGCGGGATAGCGTTGAAGGCTTTCCTCAAGATCCTGTCACCGAGACAATAACCCAACTGCGGCAAATGGAAGGCACCTACCAGGCACCGGAGGTCTGCGCCGGTGGAATCAGTCGACGCAGTGATATCTGGTCATTTGGCTGTATCCTGGTCCGGGTCCTTGCGTTTGCCCTGGATGGAATCGAGGGTCTTCGCAGATTGGATAGGCTTCGTCAGATGGCCGAGGATGGTGTCGGGCCTTATGAGCACGATTACTTCGCTCGAGGGAACCCACCAGTTCTCAACCCGCATATTGAGAACTGGATCAGAAGCCTACCACATCGTCGTGGCGCTCATCGCCGGGACGGTTACAATGACGAGTTTCTCAGCGGCTGCGCTAGGCTGCTGTCATCTACCCTGAAAATTGACAAGAATGCTCGGCCAGAGGCAATCAGAGTGAAGGAAGCGCTGGGCGACCTCAAATTCGCTCTCCATAGGCCGCCTCGACCATCGTCCTCACTGAGCTCAATTTCAGAACATCGTTCCGAGGGACTGGAATCTGTTCAGACGCCTAGGTCATCGGTGTCCGTCCACTTGGCCCAGACTACATCTGGTCTCAGCCTCGGCCTTGCCATTCTAACCGACCAGCTAATCGATGAAATTAAGAGAAACGACTTGAGTGGCATCGAGAGAGTGTTAGGCCAAAACGTACAAGTTGACAGACCCGACAAGAATGGCGACACACCCCTGGGCATTGCCACCAAGCTGGGAAATGAGGCGGTCGTTCGGCGTCTGCTGCAGGCCAATGCGAGCGTCGATGCAAGGTCCGCAGGGAATAAAACACCCCTGATGATAGCAGCCCGCAACGGTCACACCCAGATCGCTCAGCTTCTACTGCAAAGAAATCCCGATTTACTGGCCTACTCGGACGAGGGCCTCACGTGTCTTCACTACGCGACCTGGGCTAACGTCAGTCTGGAACTTTTTGGACTGTTGGTCTCACAGTTCCCGTTGAATGTCGATATCCCGACGCCAGAGCCCGAGAAGGAAACGCCCCTGATGATGCTGATCAAGCACTTTGTAGATCACGATTCATGGGAAGCCAAGTTCAAAAAGTTGGTTGGCGCTGGAGCAGACGTCAACTGGGGTGCTGGATTCGAGATGACACCGCTGCGATGTGCCGTCAGCGAGGGCTTCATCAGAGCGGCTAGACTGCTGATTGCGAATCATGCTAAGGAAGAGGATTTCTCCAAGATCCCCAACATGTCACACAACATGACCGCGTTGTTGGAAAAGAGTTGGGCGAGACGACGGAGGAGCGGTGGTCTCTTTCGGAGGAGACGCAACTCGTAGTTCTGTTTCTTTGTCCTCTCTTATTTGTACTTTTCTCTCTTTTGTGCTTTCCCCTGGAGTTTATGATAGTTTCCAAGTGGACGGGCTTCGGGTATAGGAGTTGCGCGTGGATACCCCGAGGATGTAGTTGTTAGCAATAATCAATAAATGAGATGTCCTGGGGGAATACACCTCTAGATAGTGGTCGAAATAAGTATTAGGTCCACGTCTGAGAGTGGTTGCTGTCCATAGTAAGGAAAGGATATATGGCCATGGGTTTTGCTTCGCGCGGCCTTGCCTCTAGAAGGACAACCCAGGCTACCAGCCGTATTTAGGGCTCCCTGTAGATGAAGGACGCTGGGATTGATATTTCCGACGCGAAACATTTATAGTTAGAATTGTTGGACGGACTGCACTAGAAACGATAAGAAGACGGTTGTCTGGATGACTGGTCGCCCTCATTGGAGAGGAACTAACATACATTCACTGTCTCTTACTCTATGCCGTCCTTATCACCCCTCACTCCACCACCCTCAGCCTCCATCTATTTCATCCACCCTACTGCAACCAAAAGTCCCAAAGACAACAATGGCACGTGGTGGGCCATTCTCACCAGCCACACGCAGGGGCGCGAAAGACCGAGGAAAGCCGTCTCCCTCCCAGAGCTCAACATCAAACTCCACCTCAACCATGCCCGCAGGGCAGTCCACAGCGACCCCCAGCCAGGCAACTCCTACCAGAGAAGCCAGCAAACGCCCTCGATCCCCGTCGTCGGCCACCACTGAGCCCCGCAAGAGAACCAAGATGAGCGCAACTGCCATCCTCGAAAAGGCCATGAAAGACATCAAGGCGTGGGAGGAATCGCAGCAGTCTTCGTTGTCTTGGGTGGCGATCGCAGAGAAGATCATCGACGACGGGAAGACGCAGCAGATCGAGTGCTCGGAGGAATATGTCAATGTCCAGAACATACTGCGCGTTTATCGCTATGCCGTGGAGCAGATGTTTAATGAGCTGGAAGAAATGTTGCACGACTTGCATCATGATAAGCCCTGGACTGCGTGGCGCAATGTTCGGCAGGTCGTGACTGATTTGATCGATGCCAATGGAGACGATGTCGAAGGCGTCGAAGCTGTTCGGGCGAAGTTGGAGGAAGCGGAAGGGGAGATTTACGGATCTGGCGAGGAGTGATGGCTTCGTGGGCTTGCGAGGTACGATACTGGGTGGGGAGTCTACTTTAGGTGGTTACAGTTGGTCTGCTCCTGCAGTGCATTATTTGGAGAGTTGGATCTGACAATTATTGGGTGTATGTAGATCATCAAGCAACAAGGTTGGTCCAAGGGCTGTGGTGAAATTTGGTCTCTTGGTTGGTTTCCCTTGCCATCTCCCTCTGGAACGAAATCTGAGGCATTTTCTATAATCTTGGCATCACCGTATACTTGTTAATATTCAGATCGTCTTCGTACACTTCGGCTTTTGCAGAGTCGCTAGAGGGTGCGTTCTTTTTTGACTTTGGTTCGCTCCCTGGACAGCCTGAACACCGCAAAGATACCCACGCGGTTCATTAAGTATGTTATTGCCCAGCAAACTTTTATGGCTGCCCACCTAAGGTAAATATGAGCTGCCTCTTGAATATTGCTGAATCTAACTCCATCTCACTTTACCGCAGTTGGGGCTCTGTACCGAGGTAGGAAATTGATGTTGCATGTTTGTAACAATGCAGATTCTGTGTGAAGGATGCTTTGTTTCATCATTAGCAGACTCTGTATGGTTCTAGGATGCGTTAGAGGACACATCACAAACCTAAAGATGGTTATTTGAACCTCAGCTTAACACACATTCTGGTCAAACATGTGCGCTATAGATCCTGGGAATATCCTTGGGTTACCATCAGGACATTCCGCTCCGTGCAAACAATAATATAGAAGCTTCTTGAGTAAGGGACCAGGGACATTGCCATGGTTGCAAACAGACTGAATGTAATGATTTGCGTCCCTTGGTCATAATATCGTGGCCATTGCAAATGGATACTTGACAGAGAGAACTGGGGTATGGCGACAAAGAAAAGCGATGCTTTCAGTCCTGGAAGTAGATTTGGATATAAAGGACCAAACTGTGTTGCTCGATTCTATTGATAGTGCTATTGACTCCTAGTATCTATGGCGCTATTCTTTGTCCTGACCACACGCGACTTTTGTTGGAGGAGACAACGATTAGCCACGCCGTAGACCATAGTCATTCGTTGAGATAAATAGCCCACCCAGTCAGGGTAAGACCAATTCCTAAGATACGCTTCCGTTATAAATCAACATGATCTACACTAAGACAATCCTGCTCTCTCTCCTCTGGCTCTCGTTAGCTACAGCAGACGTTGTCGTAAGTACCTCTACCATACGAATTATTCCCTTCTAATCTAGGCCCAGATGTGGAAATGCAAAAACCAGAATCCCAACCTGGACAACCTCCAGTACAGCCAAGACGACGCCCTTGCTCTCATAGCACAAGCACCCCTAACCAAAACCGAAAACGAATCGGGCTACCCGTACTTCTTCAACAACGGCTACGATAACCTGGGAAGGGTAAAAGATCCTAAGAACAATCCACCGTTGAAATTCCCCGCCGCCCACTGCAACAACCCGACAAAGCGCTCGAAGGGCGGTGGTGGCATAAACGACCATTATCTACTCGAGATCCCCATCTCCCCGCAGGATCACCCGTACCCCTTTGGTAATAGAGCAGACCCCCAGTTCGGTCTTGCACGTGTCATCTATGCCTATCCGGATAAGACGTTTTGTGGAATTGTGGCTCATCCTAGGGGTAGCCAGGGATCGCTTGAGCTGTGTCAGCAGTGCAAGAATGGTAGGTCTTTATAGATATACTATTGGGCTGGCGGATTCTATGCGTCACAGCGGTATTCAATTTGTTATTTCATTAAGTTGGGCTTGTCTCCCTTTCTTGCCATTACGAAACTGAAGTCAGAATCATAATATGACCACGCGTCCTTTATCGACGTATAGCATCCTCCGTGCATTCATATCTTGATATCCAGGGAGGTGGCGTAACATATGGGTCAAGCTATCGAGGTGGTCAGCGGAATGGTGTATGGTACAGCATATTTCCCCTGGCCATGACTGCCTGAAGCCCATATCCCTTGCTTGTATCATGGCTTGAGGTCAAACAAAAGTAATCCAGTACCAATATCGTATGCAAGTAAAGTAGTGCTAGCTCCGATTTGATGAGTCATCATTCTCAATCGGGAAGGTAGTTCAGCTCTCCTCAACAACGATCCGTCTTTCTTCCACGCGTCTATCATGACTGCACTCATCAAATGGGCCACGAAGGCAATTAAAAGGCCTCCATCACAGCCTCTGTGTTTTCCTACCAGTGGCTTCAGAAATATCCCTCCCTCAGAAGTGCTGGAGGAGGAACGGTTTGCGCATTTCAAACAAGGACAATACTATCCTGCCAATATTGGAGACGTGCTGGACTCCAAATACCAGATCGTCGGTAAACTTGGGTTTGGGTCTACTTCTACCGTATGGCTCGCTTGTGATCTTGAGTACGTTGAGGAAGAGACACTTAAATAACCACTTGCTAACGCAACCAGAGGCCATCGATATGTGACCGTCAAAATTTATACGCGTAGCAACGGTAACGAAGAAGAATTCCAGATCTTTAAGCAACTAAATCTGGGAAGCTCACGGCATCCTGGCCATGCTCATATAAGAAGAGCACTGAATATCTTCACAATCCCCCGCTCCGGCGGCGACCATTTATGTCTGGTGCAGAAGCCGATGTGGGAAAGTTTCAGGGATCTACTCTATCGTAATCCAAGTCATCGATTCACGGAAGATCTTCTCAAAGCGGGTCTGATGCAAGTCTTCCTTGCACTTGACTATCTCCATACTGAATGCAAGCTTGTTCACACTGGTAAGGCGCATTCGATTGGCTTTGTTAAATAGCATTGCGCTAATCAGAACCACTATAGACATCAAAAGCGATAATATTCTGCAAGAGATAGAGGACAAGTCGATTCTTGAAAGTTTTACCCAAGCTGAGCTGGCAAACGCTTCGCCTCGCAAATTCGTCAATGGGATGCCAGTATATGCTTCACGACGGTTTGACTTACCGAAGGTGTTTGGCCGGGCTGTTTTAAGTGACTTTGGCTCTGCCGTACGAGGAGACGAGAGGAGGAATCATGATGCGCAACCAAACATCTATAGATCACCGGAAGTGATGCTGAAGACGGATTGGAGCTACCCGGGCGACATTTGGAATGTTGGGGTTATGGTATGCTTTGCCTGTTCACCCTCGATACTATCTGCTAACCAATCGGGATAATTAGGTCTGGGACTTGTTTGAGGGAAGGCACCTTTTCTACGGAAACGATCCCGATGGTAAAGGGTATTCGACCCGGGCGCATCTTGCAGAAGTCATGGGCGTTCTAGGGCCACCTCCTTTGGATATGCTTCAGCGTGGAAAACGAAGCCATGAATTCTTTACGGAGGATGGTAAGCATTCCTTCCGCACAGATTGCGCTTGATGGAGGCTTACGAAGATACAATGGCAGGGCAATGGAAGCAAGATATAGAGATCCCGATGGGAGTCAGTCTGGAACAGTCAGAGGAGTTCCTCGAGGGGAAGAATAAGGAGATATTTCTAGCCTTCATGAGAGGCATGCTTCAGTGGCGGCCTGAAGATAGGAAGACAGCGAAGGATCTACTCCAGGATCCATGGTTGAATGATCAGATAGAGTAGGTTGAGATTTTCAACAAGAAACCGATATGAACACCACCCACTTGCTTCATTCAGTAAATCACCTGAGCTTGAAAGCCCTCAAGGATATATACCATGTGAAGCGCTTATATGGAGTCTAGTATAACGATAAACAAATACTAAATTCATAGCAAGGGTCATATCAATGACATGAAGTTGGAGAACTATCCACTAAGAAACTGAAAACGTGAATGCGCAATGTCACGTTTTCATTACTATCAAAATAAGAACCATGTAGCATTTGACCTGAGAGGTCAATACGATCCAATTCGTCGAACAGGACACGACAATACTCTCTTCGTAGCCTCGTTTATGCCTGCAACCCCATGGCTTCTTTTCGCTCCCTCCGCGCCTGCTTGCTCTCCTCAGACCATGGAAAGGGCATGACAGGTAGCGTGAAGAAGCTATTGGTCGGGTCGAGCAGCATGGCAATCGCGTTGTACCAGGCCAAGAACGATGATAGCAGAATAAAGAAGCCCCCAGCCATAATGATTTGTGCGTTCGGAATGTCGTTGGAGTCACGAATCAGGTATCCAATGGCGAGGAGAAGAACTCCGAGATCGACGATGAAGAAGAGGATGAAGAATGCGAAGTTGGATTTCAAGGTGCACATCATCATGAGGGTCGTAAAGATGAACCATCCCTGAGAAAATAACGGAATTAGCGTATTGAACTCGTAATGGGAGGCTTGCATACCATTAGGAAGATCCCAAATGAGTCGTAAAACATCCCCTGCCTGCCACTGTCGGCCTCGATCAGGGTGCTCATGATGTTGAAATCCCCAGGAGTAAAGATAATCCCAGTAGATAGCCAGAACCCGCCATAAGACGCCATGACTGTGGCACCGAACGTGTTACCGCAGGCGATGGCCCTACTCCTCGTTAGTTTGCCCCGTCCCTGGGAGACAAAAGAATAAGAACAGTCAAAGACGTACCACATGCCAGAACACACTTGCACAAGACCACCATATCCAAAAGCAAGTCCAACCAGGATGTTTGGCGTAGTAATGTCACGAACCTGCATTTCGATCAAGCCTAGGACAAAGCAGCCCAATGCAAAGGCACAGAGACCCAAGGGGAGAGGGTTTCCCAATGTGCGCTGCTGGACTGGGGGATAGAAAACAGGCTGGAACTGTCCCCCAAACGCTGCAGTTTGCTTTTCCATAGTCTGGACGTGAGCCATGGGCTGCAAGTCGTACTTCTCAGGGGATGCAGCAAGTGATGGAGAGGAAGACATTGTAGAGTGTGTCTGGAGAATGGTGAGTTTTGTCAACAATATTTGCTCTCGCTCTTTGGATGGGGAACCTGCTGGTTAAATGAGCAACACAATGGCCGCCCCAACAGTTCATTTCGTCAAGATCATCTTTGGCCGTTGGGTCGACAACAACCAAAGTCCAATGACAACAACGACAGCCGTGCTACCTCGCTAGTACAGAATGTGCCAGTGGCCATCATGACTCGTGGCGTTGGTCTATCCCATATTTTGAAGGGACGCTTGGCGGAAACGCAGACCCTAATTTCCTCTACGGCTGCCAAAGCAAGATCAACATCGTAGAAGACCATCTAGCCCGCATAGCTTAACCACCGTCGAAGAACGGGGGGTCTTGGAAGCGTAGATAAGTGGACCACGGGGCCCCACAGTGAATAGCCCCATACTTGCCTCTTGTTCTCGATTCTGGGAACTGTCTTGTATTTTATAGAAGTTGTCCATGCTAAGCCACCTGGAATCGAACTGCATAGGGCTGATGAAGTGAATTGGCTTGCACGCATCGTTGCCTAGAGCCCTTGAACGCGTCTGATCTTGATAGCTGTCGCTTCCAACCCAGAAGCCATTCCTCGGCTATGCGGTGGATATCCCCGCGATACCTCACAGGCCAATGTCAGGGCTTCTGATTAACCTTACTAGGACATCGATCTGCAGATGCGGCGGAATTTACAAGCTACGAGAAGAAATTTGCTCCATCAATACCCCCGTATCTCGGCTAAGCAGCCGCCATGACAGGACCGCCTCTGTTCCATTCACATGCGAACTGCGGCAAATATTGAACGCGCTAAGCATCTGCTGTGTGTTTCGATTGACAGAAGAAAAAAGGAAAGCAAGCTTTACCAAACTGCTAGTCCTGCAATGATGACCCGTTGAGACGCCAACACATGAGGAATGAGGCATATCTCAATGAATAGATTCAACTGGTCGGGCTGTTTGGGCCAGCATGTCTTCCAGAATTTCCCCCTGACTTTGGCAGCGACGATCTCGGGAGCCTTTGGCCTTCCAGTCCGCTGTCCGGGCACGGTCAGAGCCGACAATCTCTTCCAAGAGTCTTAGTGCGACGCTAGGACACGCCGTCAAGAACCACACGTTGTAGTCAATTTCTTCCTGAGCATAATAAGCCTTCATTTCTATTATGAAGAGCGTTGATGCATAGCACAAATCCATCGTTGCCTCTTTTGCCATGCCCGTTTTCCTTTCTGCCTTCAAAAAAAGCAATGCATGGCATCGCAAGTTCTTTCTGGCTCCACATGGCTCTCTTTCTTCCTCATCCGCCTTATAGATAGGCCTAAAATGAGCAAATCCCAAACATATAACGACTTTTCCTTTTTGCCCTCACAAATTGTACCGGAACGTCGGGGCCCTATCACCCAGCTCGAAGCTCTCCCTCGCATCATGAAGGCCACTTTGCCGGTCTCTCTTGGCATTGATTTTTCGGCAAAGGAAATAGTAGATTGTCACAGTTAGAAGCCCCAGAGACACGAAGCCAAGTACGAGGGAGTGCCCCAAGCGATATCTGGGGGCATCTGTACTGCGGTAAAAATTGGACGCTGCTGCGCCACCTAGGGTCCCGAAGCCGATTTGTATCGCCATTCCAACAGCGCGTTTCGTAGCGGGGGCGTAATTGTTTGACGACAAAGCCAGAAGGCCGGGTATAGCTGGATCAACTTAGCATCTCAACGAGTATATGGGAATGTCGTTGGAATCTGCATAGTACCTGGATAAATGCCGCTGGCGGCGATGAAACAACCCGCGTAGGTCAGGCCTGGGATGAAGCTAGGGGGGCAAACGGCAATGAGGAACCCGATAAAGACGGCTGTGTATGACGCGAGAGTAAAGAGACTCCGTTGAGCCATTCGGTCTGAGAAATATCCAACTACAATGCAGGATATGGAAGCGGAGGCATAAACGGGTATAGTTAGTAGTTGGGCGATAGCGGAAGTATACCCGAGGCCTTTGATGATCGTAGGGAGAAACAACGACACTGCATACACGGCACATGCCTGGAGAATATCATTGTTAGAATACCCCAGTAAGATGGGGATAGATCTTACCATTCCCCAGTAGCTGAGAGCGTGGAGCGGCGTCTATATTGACGTTCTTAGTCGTCATTCACGCTGGGAATCAGGTCACTCACCTGCCAGTCGACAAGTGCGAGTTTAACTTGCTTCCAGTCGGTAGCGCTTCTTTCCTCCAGTTGATTTGCCCTGATGCTTGCGCGAGAGTCCGCCAATAAGTCGATGATGATGGCTTTCTCGCTTTCCGAAAGAAATGTGGCAGTAGAGGGTTCGTCCCAGATAAGGAAGTAGGATACCGTAGCGACTAAAACTGTCGCTATCCCCTCTAGGATGAAGCTTTTCCGTGTCAGCTTGTAGGACAATAGAAGCATTCCCACTGTTCGAGAACATACATCCACCTCCAACCCTCCAGTCCGCCAACACCATCCATCTTGCTAATAAGAAACGCAAGGAGACCGGAAAACGCGCCAGCCATGGATGCAGATGCGAAAATGAGGGCGATCCGGAATTGCGCGTTGGCTCTTGGGTACCTATGCTGCATGAGTACCTTCCAGCCAGTATCCGTTTATTCTCACAGCGACACATACCACAATGATACGTAGAATGCAAGTCCAGGGACTGCAAGGAAACAAGGTTATCAGTTCGTTTCCGTCGATGGGAAGATGCGAATACTAACAGAGACCAGCTTCGGTCAATCCTACAACCTTGTTAGGCTCGGACATATTATAGACAATGATCATGAATTCTCACCGAGGAAGAACCTAGCGGACACCAATCCTGCATAGTTCTGAACGATTCCCATCAGTGTCGTAACAATGCCTGTGTACTATATCAGACATAGGCCGTCTTAATGGCGCATTCTCTTGTTTCCACTTACCCCATGCAACCATGATGGACGGTAGCCAGATCCGTGGCTTGAATCTGACGAGTAGTAGGTTACATAATGGCTCGAAAAAGCAATATGGAAAGAAGAAGACAGTCAGAGCCCTTAGGATGTCAATATCAAATGAGCCGAGTTTAGAATTTGGGGCCTCACCAATTATACTGATTTCCCACCAGGTTGAGATCAGTGGAGAGCCCTTGAATATTAGCATTGCCGATGTTGCCTGGTTGTCATGAGCATTCAAACTGAGACAAGGAGGGACAGATGTTCCAATTACCGCGATCAAGGAAGCTGAAGAAATAAAGAATTGCCAGGATTGGGATCACGCGGCGATCAATCTTTCGCAGTAGCTTTTTGGTCTCTGCAGGAGAGAGAGTTGATAGAGTGGCCCCTTTAAGCTCTGGACTTGAGGGCTCCTTGACTCCCTCGAATTGCGTCGCATGGTCAATAGGAGCTGCCATCGTGTCCTTGACTGTGGAGCGCATTGGGGCCTCCGTTCTTAAAGTCTTCTATTCTTATTCCGCTCAGGAGCAGAAAGGATGTGAATATAAAGAAGATGGTCTGTGGTCCTTCCCCAGACCCCGGGTGAAGAATGCGGGGAAGCTCTAGCCGCCGATATAGGGGTGTTTGACAATCAACTATGAATCATGCGCGGAGTCAGACCGACATGCACCGGACATTGGCCGGCTTACTTCGGCCTCAATGCCGATGGTGATCATCTTTGTTAGGATTTCTTTGAAGTGTGCGTGCTACACTATACCTTTTGTGGCGGTCTCGCAGTCATCCGATCTAGACAGGGATGCATCTCACTACCCCGCCGACTGTCAGCGCTAAAGCATCAAGAAGCTCCAGCCAACAACTAACCACAGCAACTACCCTCTTTGTTGAAGGTCAAGAGATGGATCCCCCAAGCTTGAAACCCCCACTGGAGTTGATCAACGTTGTTTGGGCGTCGCATATTCTCTCATTGCGAAACCCCCACACCATTACCGCATCAGACAAGGCTTTGCAGGCCAACCAAGACCTCAGTGATGGCGAGGAGGAGGACTTTGACGATGGTGGACCTGACGATGATAGTTTGAGCACAAAAGCAGACTCTGACAGCCAACAGCGACGTGCTCCGTCAGAAGTTCCTCGATTGCATCAGTGAACTTCTTGCACACACCAAAGGCGGAGATTTCGTGACAGCCACAGCTCTCAGAGAGAATGAAGATAATGTTGAAGTGGACGTCGCTCGTAACAATGGTCTCAACCTTGAGGACGAAGCGTATTTGGGTGATCTAAAGCAGTTCCTTGCCATGCAAGCCGAGGGTAAGAGACGCAGCTCTGGGCAATGCAGGTCTAACGAAGACGTTCAGACGTCTCGCATCAGAAGCGCGCCGAGTTTTCCCACGCATTCTTAGACAGAACCATTGCGTATAGCGCAAGAAGGGTGGATACGCAAGCTGAAGCTGTGGCAAAACTTCTGAAGGGCTCGCCGTACCGGCCTTTGCCGCACTCGGTCTCAAAAGAGGAAACAGAAGACAACTGTCTGCTTGGCTGTTGCTCTGCTCCACAGGAGCCAATACCTAACAATGCACAGAAACTCCTCTTGGACTTTTTGAATCGCGATTTCCTACACTCGAAGTTGCCCTCGACCGAATTCCAAGATGAGCAAAGACGCAAAATCGTGCAACTCGCGGCCGCTACTGCTTGTTCAGAAGGGGCCAGACAGGCTACACAAGGCGCACTGGAGACAATGGTTCCTTCTGTGAATCCACATAAGGCCATCAAAATGTGGCGTGTCCTAGCACGGGCAGTAACCTGTCTCCGTATCCTTTCACGGATTGCAAGTCTGCTCCCCAACTTCCGGGCTGTCACTTTTATCCCCATATCACCTCCAGCCCCCTTCTTTCTCCATAAACGCGAGATTTTGACAATCAAAAAGGTATGGAAGCGCCTCGGTCTACACATGGAGCCAAATGGGCGTATTCCGGCTGCTCTGGCACAAAAAAATGACAAGTTTATGAGCGAGTGCCGATCCGCCCTCTACACTCATTGTGAAATACAGCTCTTGACGCGCTACGAGACGCAGCCTTCACTAAGCCCAACAATGGCTTATTTTGGATGCAGCAAGAAAGCCTGTTTCCTTTGCGAGAAATTTCTGACCCTCTCGCCGTGGAATATCCGCACCCAGGGCAGGCATGGAAAGTGCCATCCTCGATGGGCAGTCCAGCCGTGTACTTCCGAAAGCACAAGACAAAGACTAAGAAGCTTATGCGATATTGTAAAGGAGAAGATAAAGGCCAGACTCAACGGAAGCCATACTCCTGCTCCAGCTGCTATTCATCAGTCGTCTGCCGTATCAGAGTTAAGATTCCAAGCATATGATTGAGCTTATGCGGCAGAGCAAGAACCGCGAGGTGGCTGATAAGAAAGCTCAGGAACTGCGCGAACAGAGTCAAATCTTGTGAGTCTCCATCGGGTACTATCCTAGTTTGTCATTAACAATCCCATAGTCTTAATCCCAGATCCGTCGGTCCGCGGAAGATCTGGTACGCAGACTTGACCACCCTTTGCATTATGTGCCAGACACCCCGCGCAACGAAATGCTCTCGATGTCGCGCCACTTCGTACTGCTCCAAGCGATGTCAAGCCCTTGACTGGCCGGCGCACAAGCTCTTATGCTCCAAGTATCCGAAATTCCTCGATACCCGTGTCTCACAGGACCACCGACTCGGCATCTGGTTCCCAAGAGATACAGACAGACCGAGACTCATATGGACACCTATCTTTTCTGCAGAATATGGCGTCCACATGCCCTATTTTGACCCCTACCTTGGCCCAAACCATGGCTTGTACTACACCATCCCATTTGCAGTAAACAAGAGAAGAGGACTAGAGCTTGACCATGCTCTCACAATATATTACCGTGACTGGGATGAGGTAACCAATAAATCTGTTCATGCTACTGTGGAGGCATGTCCAGGTATGACAGTTCCCTACAATATGGTCGGCGACTACGTGGTGATGAGCGGCCAGTGGGCAACCTATACAGGTACTTCTGATCACGAATTCGTGGACATGACTCTTGCCGATTTCCGTCATGCGCTTGACTGGTTTAGCACATACTTTGACGAAACAATCCGCGAAACACCAAGCGGAGGATCCGTGCTTGCTGTCAAGGTTAGCTGCCCCCTCGAGCAAACGATCTCCGGCCGAGAGCTTTTCTCAACTGTGGCCGTTAATCGCGATTTTCCAAGCACGAGCAGTGTGTCGTCTATCACACGGGCACTAGGATTTCCCATACGGGTGTGTAAGCTCGACCAGGTTGATCTGGAGCGAGCCATCCACTCGTTAGATGAGGAATCTAAGAAGGGCGGCCGGACAAATCCCTACGCCCGAGTTCTGATGACCGATATTGATGTGGGCTCCGAGAATTGGGGAAAGACTCAGAGGCACTGGGATATTGATGGGAGTGTCTTGCTCCGACGAGAGGAGACAGAGGATTTGGATATTGCATGGGCGAAGCACATAAGTTGCTACTGCCTCAAAGTGCTGAGACCTTTGTTTGAGAGGGCACTTTCTGGAGAAATTTCTCGCCAGGAAGTCATGGAGGAGACTACGCCCGAGAAGGTTATCGCATGGCAGCCGGTTGATGATTATCCTGGCGTAGCTGCTGAACCTAGACCGCAACAGGGATTTGTGGCTAGGATAGGGTCTCAAAGATGGGAGTCTGAGAAGCAGCACTGCCCTGTGCTTAGAGCGGCGGATGAAGTATTACGCAAAAGAGCAGGGTCCTGACAGGGCTTTCATTCGTCATGTACGAAATGCTTTTCGGGGAACGTGAGCCTATGTAGTTGCCTTGCTGTTTTACGAGCCTATCGACATTTGTAGCTGACTACAGCGTCAATCAGACTGACATTAGGTTCATCAGAAGCCTTTCTATTTAGGCCAACAGCCAAGGCTTCACCTACGCGACCTCCGTCTCAATCACCATCTCATACTCCTGGGGATCAGGCCAATAGTTGATAACCTTCAGACCAGATTCCGTCAACAACTTTTCCCATGCGGCCTGGGTCCGCTCCGAAGCAGACAGCAGGGACATCATCTCGACGTCCATCGTGGTTTGGCTGATGCTCGCTCCTTTTGGCGGTACGACGACCTCATAAATGAAGAGCTTGGAGTAGCCCTTTTTCATGGCATCTCTGAGGTTCCCCAGCAGCACCTTTGCCTTTTCATCGGGCCAGTCATGGAGGACTGCGTGCAGAAAGTACGCGCGGCTTCCTGCACAATGTATTAACAAGTAGTCCTGACCTTGCTTGGAACGTTCGCACCTTTCACAGGCTGGGGCAGGAAAAAGTCATGCACCATAGGCGTGATCTTCTTATCGAGGTTCACGTTCGCAATCACCTCCGGAAGATCTTGCAGAACCAGCGATCCCGCAGGGAGGTCTGGATGTTTATCCAGAACGTGGGAAATATCTGTGCCGGTGTTACCACCGACATCGACTACAAAAGCAGAGCCATCGTCTAGTTTGGCGCCGTCAAGCAGCCGGCTCGTATCGTAGACCTTGGTCCAGGGCGTCTTCCATTTGGTCCACGCTTCCATATGACCTGTGAAGGACTCCAGACAAGGTGGGCTCTTCTGCAACCGCCCGAAGAAGGTGAGGCCATCAGGGTCTGAGTCTGTGTGGTTGTTCACGGTGACATCGGTAGGCTCTTTGTAGCCGATCTTGGCGAGATAGCGGGGCAGGTTGTGGCCCGCCGGTATATACTGGTTTGTCCTGTTGGCTGTCAGTAAACAAACATAGGCGCATGGACATGTGGATGTGGCTGGGAGGCGTACGCAGCTTGGAGCGAAGCTCGGACCCTGCTGCGGTCGTCGCCGATAGCCAACGAGAACGGTGTAGGTTTGAACCGATCTTCTCCCGTCTCCTCCACGATGTTGAACGCCGCGAGCAAGCGGAAGAGGCGGCCTGTATGCACCGTCAGCCGGATGGACCGCGCCACACTAGCGGGCTGTTCGACGCACGCAGCAAATTCGTATCGACCGTGGGTGTGGTCATCTTGACCAGATCCTCGATAGACTTCTCACCGCCGCCCGCCTTTGTCCAGGCTTTCCACAGCCCCAGATCGATACAGGTCTGCAGGGCGGCGAACACGACCGGGTGTTCGAAGCAGTAGCCCCACGCACGCTCATAGGGCGTTTCAACCCGGGCCAGCAGGCGGCGCGCTGCAGCACGTACCTGCAGGCGTTCTACCTCCGTGCCGAACGCCTCATGCTGGACTGCATCCAGCGCAGCGATGATCGTTTGGGCCTGAGATCGCATTTCGTATCGGGGATTTGGAGAAAGCTCGGGGTTAGGATGTGCTCTTCCGAGATTGCAGGAGGGTACCAAGCCAGGAGGGCGATGAGACGAGTGAGGTATATATGGCTGTCTGTCTTTGAGCGCAGTGTCGAGAGAGAGGGGTTCCCGTCTGGTCAGCGACGCTAACCCCCATCCATTTCCTGCGAAGGATGTGCTGAAGACGCTCGAATTGACCTGTACGCGCGACCTGTGCCTTAGCTCTTCACCACTACCCAATCTGCTGAGGCACGGTGGAGAAAGCGGGACGAGTGGCTATACGAAACCCCCATCTGGAGGAGGTCCGTGTTGTCGGCGCCTTTCAGCCCGCCCTCGTTGCAGGACGCCATGGCGCGGAGCAACCCTGACAAAACCCCAAAATACGGTTCAGTTGGCGCACGTCGATCACTGACATGTATGAATCTTCGCTGCGCGTCGGCCGTCAACCATGGCAAAGGATCCTTTGGATGACTCCCGATTGGGCGGGTGTTGCAACTCTCCGGCGAGATCGTCGTCTACCGAGAGTTTGGAGCTGTCAAGTATGGATAACGGCACTTGCGGAGTGTGTCGTTTTGGTTTAAGTACTCGACGATCGCCAGGATATTCAGCGATCAGTCAATCTCTAACGTAGGCACGAAACATCTTCAGCGCATCTTGTTCGGCAGTTATCGTGAATAGTCTTGATTCCCTTGCATAGACCACTTGACAGGCCACAATGCTGGATTGTCCTAGCGTACCTGAGCGTCGGATCAGTAGCAAGATCTTATGAGATCCAATTCCTTCAGGCTTGGAATCAGGCCCTTTCGTACTATAAAACACGAGAGGCGGCATCTTGTAGAGGTCGACGGCTGTATTCTTTTTCTTTCTTGTCACAGCGATACTATTGCGCTTGTTTTCCAGCTTCTTTAAACCCCCTCGACATGAGTGCATATGGAGGTCTAGGGCCCATGACCGTTGCGGTCCACTGGGTGGAGCTTGTCATCTGCGCGATCTTTGCAGGGCTACGACTGTTTACGCGGAAGTTCATTCTGGACTCCGTTGGAGCAGATGATTACCTAGTTATAATTGCCCTAGTGAGAAAGGCACCAGCAGACCCTCATGCAATTGCACAGACTGACATCACACAGGTCCTCCAAATACTCTATGTTGTCTTCGTCACCATAGGGAGTGCCTACGGACTAGGCCGGCTTTTCGTCGACGTTGGTGATCCCGTCACCTATTTCACGGCCATCAAGTATGAATTATTCAGCCAGGTCGCTGGGATCATGGCCATCGGCGTCGGCAAGTTAGCTGTCGGCATGTTCCTGCTGCGCATTGTACGCAATAAGATCCAGATTGGGGTCATCTGGGGCTTCCTGGCAGCGACCACGTTCATCACACTGTTCGCCAGTATCTGCGTCATAGTACAATGTATTCCAGTCGAAAAATCGTGGAACCGCATGGCGGAAGGAACGTGTTGGCTAGACTTTTCCAAGGTTGGCTTCACTGTTGGATGTGAGTCTCCATCTTCCCTCGATAACGATACAGAACGCTAAGTCTCACAGCTTGGTTTGTCGTTGACGACTTTTGCTTTGCGATTCTTCCATGGTTCATAGTCTGGGATCTGAACATGAAGCGAAAGGAGAAATTTACTGTTGCTGGGGCTCTGAGTCTAGGGGTGTTGTAAGTCACCATATCCTCCGTCTCTTTGGCGCCACTAACAATCTCTAGCGCTGGAGTATGCGGCATTGTCCGGACAGTGGCTCTCGGAGGGCTGAATGCATCCGAGTACATCTGTACGTCTGCTGCTCCACCCACTACTAACCCACAGATAGCTAACTGGCCCAGATGACACCGTGCCCATGCTCCTCTGGTCGTCCACCGAAAGTACGGTCACGATCATGTGCTCCTCGATCGCCGTCCTGCGTCCTCTGTACGTTCGCATCCGGTACGGCACCGACAGCAAGAACAGCTCAGGCAAGGACTCGTATAAAATGCCTATGTACGGGAGTAGTCGGAAGAATGGCAAGTTCTCCGGGCTTGACGATTCCATCCTCGACACAACGACCACCTTTACTGAGCAGAAGTCTCCGGTCAACTTTACCACCAACAATAAGAGCGATGAGGCGATTGTCCAGGGTGCTGCTGGGATTGAGAGGACGGATGAGGTGTCGGTTAGCTATGAGGCGTATAACAAGGTCTAGACAGTGAATCGTGAGGCTTGATGATGGGGGATACCTGGGAGTTGGAAGTTTGTTATGGCGTAGGCTATGAGTTAAAGTGTATATCCACTGATGGCTTTCTCATTATTACTATACAAGAACTGGTACTTACTTCTTCTCCATCCACCAGGTCGTCCCCAAGATCCGTAAAATCTTCTGCTGGGACCGTGCTGACAGCCACTGCCGATCAGTGCCACGGTCTTGACACATCTATCCCGGCCGCCACCGGAAGCCACTAGATCGCTACACACTTTCTGAGCTGCAAAACCCCTGCTAGTCTGGTCAATGCGTTACGATCGATCGAGGCAGGCGGATTATTGGCCCGAACATTCCTGACATCCGAGTCAGCATTGTCGATCCCAGCTCACCTTGTGCATCTTCACGATCTCCACGCGTAACAGCACCCTCTCAATCATGAACAAAACAGGGACCAGAGCACTTAGAGTGCCCTTATTTCGGTTAAACAACATATGCAGAAACATATCCATCACCTGCCGTGGTACGCTACATCCGTCCCCCTAGACAACCCCTTTTAACGCATCACAGGAGAACCAATCCAGCGCGAACAACTCTTCGAGTACACAAACGGACGGTTTCTCGTCAACGAGAAATCCCAATTATCAAAACGCCATGTCAAGTTTGATCTCGACTCATTATGCAGACGTGTCTCGTCTCTGCCCTCCGTCTCCTCGGCTTCCTCGCCCGTAACCAGCGTCGAGAAAATGGAAGGCGGCTTCAGCAAAGCCTTGCTGATGATCGCGCAAAATGGAACGGAGGTTGTTGCCAAAATCCCCTGTCCGACGATCGTTCCGGCGAAATACAGCACCGCGTCAGAGGTTGCTGTCTTGGAACACGGCACCACATCCGCTCCGTTGTCGGCCTGCATCTAATGTGTCCAGTGAAATCTCACACTTCAGTCCCCGTGCCGAAAGTACTTGCGTGGTGTTGTGATGCATCTGATCCCGTCGGGACGGAATATATCCTCATGGAGAAAGCCAAGGGACGCCCACTGGTCGAGGTATGGGGCGAGCTGGATCAGCTGCAAAAGATCCGAGTCATCCAAAACCTGGCATATTTGGAAAGCCAGCTGGCCTTGCAGAGGTTTCCGGCGTACGGGGGTCTTTAATTCATGCATTCGATTCAATCTAGCCGAGCAGTACCTGTAGATGAGGTCTTCTGCATTGGTCCTGCCCACAACGCATCACGGCTGCCGCAGTGGGACAAGGTGGACGACCATGCCGGTCCATGTGAGTGTATCTCTCTGTGGGGGTTAAGTGCATGCTGACATCTACTTCACAGAGATGACACTCTGCGATCTTGGTCTTTCACTAGTCAATTGTGGCCTGAGCCGGATAGAGCATTCCCCACTGGCTCCTCGTGTGCCGCACTTCGGTTCCAAAGAGGAGCACACTGCAATCGTCACAACAACTTCCAATCTCCTACCCATCCTAGCAGAGAATCCCTCGCTTCAGCGATATTCTCGGCCAACAATATGGCACACCGGCCTTCACCTGGGCAACATATTCGTATCCGACGAAGATCCCACCCACATCGTGGACATAATAGACTGGCAATTCGTTTCCATTAAGCCGGCATTCACACACGTCCAGTGGCCGTCGTTCATCTTCCCTCCTGAAGACTACAAGATAGGCATGGTCGCACCAGAGCTACCGAACAATTTCGACGAAATGGACGCCGACGAGAGATCCTTCGTCATTTCAGAAAGGGACAAAGCGATCTTGTCAAAATGCTATGAAGCTGCGCTTGCGAAACGCCATCTTGCGTCTTATTTAGCGCTTACGCGCGCGTGGACCCTGCCATTCGACATTCTTTTACTTTGGCTGAAAATACGCATACGGATGGGATAGTACCCCTGCGGGATGCTGTTATACAACTTTTTAAGAACTGGGTTCGAATGGGGTTTGAAGGACCGTGTCCGTACGCGGTGTCTGACGATGACGCTTTGAGGCATATGGAAGAACTTTCCAGGTATGAGGATTGGCGCAAGCTACAGTTTTATACCCATGAGTTGTTACAATCAGACGAGGATGGCTGGGTCTCTCCAGAGCTTGATTTTGACAAGGTGAAAGCAAGACACGATGAACTCTTTCAGGTTTATATGGCAAAAGCCACGGAGGAAGTATCGGAAGAGGAGGCGAGGAATCTTTGGTTCTATATTGAAGAAGAGGAGTAACATTTAACAACATTTGTTCAAAAGTTATATCTAGAAAACAAAAAATTGACTATTCCCCCTCTCATTGTCGCGCGCATACTGATTCCATTTCCCAACACCATGATACTCCGGTCTTGACCAAAAAGCTTTGAGAAAACGCATAGCACTATAGTTACACCAAAGCCCCGTCGTCGAGACGAGCCGGAGGAAGAGTTCCGCAATCATGTGTTGTCGGTTTTCATCGTCCCAGCACTCCGTTCCCGCGATGAAGAGCGGCAAGAATATATTGTGGGAGAACGTATCAACTGATCCGGTGGTGAACGCTTCGATCTCCCCCAGCAGCTGCGGAACCAGCGTCCTTACTATATTCGACGCCTCTGGGAGCGGGGCCAACGATTGATAGCTGTATATAAGAGCCGCGTGATAGTACGCCTGTATGAGAGCATTGACATGTTGTCGTATGTGTTCTCCCCGACTTGATAGCCACAAGGTATCAGTAGAAGCCTGGGTGCAGGCTTGTTCTACCTTCTGTCGCCAGACGCTCATGTCGACGTCGGGAAGAGATTTCCCGTTCATCAGCATTCGATGACGCTTTCTCTCCTCTGCAGTGATTTCGTATAGAAGACCCGTAAAGGTACGAAAATGGTTGCAAAATACGGACTGGGGCAAAGATGGGACTCGCGACTGGTCATTGCTGAATGTGCCGAGGCTATAATAGACTTCGATATCGGCGACCTCCTGTAGAAGGAACGGCGCTACCGCGTCCGAACGACGGGTCCCATCTTGCCGCCATTGCTGTCGCTCGATAAGGAGACGACACGCGTGTAGGTGGAGGTGCCAATCGGCTGAGTCCGGGACGACCATCTCGCCGTAGCAGAGGACCAACGTGGTCGCTAGAATATCGACCAGGGGGGATGCGGCAGTGCCTCGCTTTTCAGGTGTGAACAGGTCGAGTTCATGCTGTATCGCTCTATTGAGATTGCGAATGCATGTGTCTCGAAGGTTGTGGCTGATGGCTTTGATGGAAGCTGCATATGGCGCATCCTGCGTGGATGTAGACGACAAATGGGCGGCCGCTGCACAGAGGATCGCCATGCGAAGTGATGAGCAGTGTTGTGCAAGAGGGAGCATGATCCTTCGCCATGGATGATCCGGGCTGTCAATCCAGGTCAAACGTGGAGCAACGCTGTTATTGAAGTGGGCAAAGAGCTTGTTGGATATGATTAAAGATGAGTGCCCGTCAACCAGATGAGAATCTGCCGTTGGAGAAGATGCTACCGCAGGAGCGGGAGGTGCGTTTGTCTCATCTGATTTTTGTGTCGATGTCGCGTTATCAGCTGTCAATGCGCTTGATTGACTTGGCCGTGCATCTGTCACGGTCTTCCGCCGCACAGGGGTCCGTTGTCCGGCGAGGGAGCCTCTGCTTGCGACACCTTGGTCCCATTTGAGTCGAACGAGGTCAAAGCCGGGGCATTTTATCCCTCTGATAGTGCATTTCCTACATTTCGGTAGGCTTCTATCACACTTAATGCGCCGTCGATAGCATGAATGGCAGTCTACCCCGTCAGATGAATTTCTCCCAGTTTAAGTGGCGACTCACCCTTGGACGCTATTGCGCGGTCTGGCGGCAGTTTGTCAATCCGAACGTTCAGCATGATAGGCCATCGTGAACTGATGGATCACTTATACATTGGTGTGTAATACTGGGGTGACACGAGAACAGTTCATAAGTGGTGAAGGAGGTGGAGATGGATCAGGGACTTTTCCACGAAAAGTTCAGATGTGGGGTTGGTGCCTGGCATATCAGGCAGCAACTTGTGTCTACCAATGTATACAATCGGGCTAACCATGCCGAGGCTAGACTAATATTTATGTAGGAAACATATGAAAAGTACAAGAAACTGGATTCTACTTCCGAAGAAACTCCCTAACGGCATTCGCCCACTTCTCCCCATTCTTGTACTTGAACATATCCGGCACGCTTCCTCTTTCGAGTCCATCGATTGCCAGAGCGAGCTGCTCTCCACCGCCTTCTGCCTTGATTTCCTCGATGGGATAGAGATACGTATGGAAAGCGAAGATGATTGCACCGGAAGTAGGGAGGCGATGAAGAGTCTGGCGCTCACAACGAAGGAATGTCTGCCGCGTCGTCAGCATCGAAAGACGCTCGATATGGACCATCATACCTTGTTCAAATCCAGATCCTCTAGTGCCAAATTCTCCAGCTTTCCTTCCATGGCTGGCGTACTCTTGTCAAAATTGGAATACAGCTCCTCGTCCACGGTGATACTCCAGTTCACGCGTTTGACGCATTTCCCAGCCTCCAGACGTGAAAAGAACCTATCCATGCTCTTTTGTAGCTTTTCTTTGTACCCCGGTACTGGACCATGTATGCCAGCCAGGCTTTTACCTAGCTTCTCCTGTGGCTTGAATCCAGACGGAAAGCAGGCGGAATACGCTTCCAACCGATAGTAGCCACCTTCAGGGTTGCTTTGATCATGGGGCAAGAGTATGAAGAAATCCTCGTCCACATTCTTCGCAATGTTGGCTAGACCGATATCCAGCGATTCTCCGTTTTCAATCATGGTTGGAAACGTCTTCTGGGTGATGAGATTTCTGACCTTGGTGGTATAGCTTTGTTTATCGTAGTATGTCTCGAAGATGGTGGGATAGCGCGAAGGCAGATATAATCCGAAGAGAAAGCTGTACAACTCACGCACCGCTAGTTGAGCGCGTCCATCTAGTAGATCCCTGATGCCAACTATCTCTTTGGGATATTGATCAAGCAGTGAGTGGCGTAGGACGAGACGGTCTGGATAGGTTTTGTCGAAGAGAACGAGGTCGTTTGGATCGAGGGTTTGAATGCCTGCCAGCGTCCATGATCTGTTAGTTACCCAATACAGATAGAATCTTCTGAACTCACCCATTGTCAGGTGGTACTTTGGTTTGAAAGGTCGAAAGAGAGGTGGCTCCGATGTTGTCACTTCAAAGCCATCTACTGGCTCAATCGGATATTGTTTTTTATCCCATATTATATCACTCTTCCTAGATGCCTGTAGTATGAGCTTAGCAATAGAACCCATTATTTTGTATTGTAGGCGAGATAAAAGAATACTTGCCTGTTTGAGTCTCCAGACCATCCATATCAGCAGCACGGCAAATACCACTGCAACCTCCCTCTTTGTTAAAATCGGGATCTCCCATGTCCCCAGCAGCAGCCCCATTGAGAGTGGCGGCTCTGTATCATCGCTCTGGCTATGATCCTGCGTCCGCATAATCACCAGGAAGAGTCTGGATGCGACTTCGGATAAGTAGTTGGGAAACATCCATTATCATTTCTGCGAAGATTTTGAACCCAGAACCTCCAAACCCCGAATTCCTGCCGCGGAGTGCTGTCGGTATACTCCGTAGGTACAGGTGGAATCCTTCGTTTGACCAATCCGTAGTTTTATTGGCCGTTGACCAGTTGCCCCACAGCTTAGTCATTTTCTCAACATACATACTGTATCGGGTTAGCGGCAACCATATCTACATGTTGGCATCTCGAATGACGACCGACTTCATGGAGAATATCTGGATCAATGAGGATGATCACTTCATGGTATATCGAAGGATTCGACATGTGGATACTGCCAGAAACCGGTTGCTATTACCCATCCAATCCTTTCCCCTCTGATTCACCCGACATGACCAATATATATTCCTCTACCTTGAACGCCAGGTTGCTAAAAGCCCTGCTGACGACGCCATTTGGCCTCCCAGCCCGGAAAGTACGGACTGTCCTCTAACGTGGATACTTCCGACTCTTTAACCACTAGTCCTACATTTTCCTGTTCCTCGGCCCACTGCTCCAAGTGCGGAACAACAACGTGCTCGACAGGCCACGTCTTCTTATATTCCAAAAGGGACCTCTTGCTATCCTTCAATATTTTCAGCAAGAGACGTGGAATCCCTGGCTCATCCCGAAACTCAACGACCGGGGTGAAATGTGCCTTGAAATTGAACACCACCGCACCGGACAATGGCAGCCGACGGAGCGTCTGCCAATCCACCCGAAGATAGCAGTCCTCCAATGAAAGGTCCGGATCCTGGTGAGGTTCTTTCAGGATCTCGGGATGATCCTTTGGAAGGAGAAGAGTCTTTCCCGCTTCGATGCTCCAAGCCCCGCGTTGAATAGGTTTATCTGTTGGCATCTTGGCGAAGTATCTGCAAATACATGTTAGCCCCATATCACGTTGCTCGTGCAAGAGAGCTTAACAACGTACCGCTTCATTGAAAACCCCATCCGTTCCTGATAGTCAGGAACCGGCTCGTGAATTTGATCCAGTCCAAGACCCAGTTTATCACCGAGGGTCCATCCCATCGATGCGCAGATGATACCTGCACGGAAGAAGTACTCGCCAGTCTGGCTGTCGCGTATCATGATTGCGAAGTCTTCAGGCACATGGTCAAAGAGGACGTCCAGCGGACGGGATGTAGTGATATTCTGCGTCGCTCCGAGGATCTCGTTGTGCAGGGTTGTCCCGTCACAGGAAAAGTAGTGAGGATATCGCGCGCAGAGAAATTGCACCACCATTTCCATCAGCTCCCTGCATGCCATCTCTGAGCCAGGAAGACTGTCCATCACCAAGTGCCTGTACTTTCGGCGGAGTTCTTTTCGTTGCTCGATTCGGTCCCGGTACGTGTTGTCCAGTTCGATCCACCAGTCGTAGTCCATCTTGGACAGGGCTGTACATTGTTAGTATTTATTCAGGGATGGGCCTACTTATGGGATTAATATACATTGTTTGGTGATAGGCCCATCGGAATGGGCGGTGCGGGCGTGGCAGAGCCTTGTCGATGTTGAAATCCAGATAAGGCCCAGGTAATGGAACACCGCTCAGTGCGGCATAGTCGGGGAATCTGCCCAGGTTTTTGATATCAGTCATGGTGAAGCCGGTTGGTGTGTACTGGTTCCCGTCACTGAATCTGTCATGAGCATCCGGAGCGTTGAGAGGACCTTGTAAAATGAAGCGCCGGCTAGGTGGAAAGACAGAGACCAGGCTGGCGTTTGAATTGGGTTGTCGTGCGAATGAATGAGACTCTGTCCACAAACACGCCTTAGTATCAGCGATACGAGTCCGCCCCGAATGTACGTATATGGCCATCAACGCTAGACCAGCAAAAGCAGAAATCACCCAGAACAGCATCCCGTCAGCTATCGGCGTGAAGAGAAAAGTTATTGACTAAGTTAAGAGTGAGAAGAAAAACTATGGCGATACAATAGCATTCATTGGGGGTCACTATCTATATGGGAAGTCAATAGATTGCTGTCTGAGTTTCTCATGACACCTGCCAAATGAAGTATAGCGTATTCCTGGGAGAGAAGTTCAGACGACTCGATGTTGGTGACTTGTGAGGCGTGCCTGGAGAGGTCATGCAGTGTCACATCCTTGAACGTAAACACCTAGCATATCTGACGACGGGGTTGATAACAGGGAGTACCATCTGCTCAGTTGCACAGTGCACTTAGGCCAACTATAGTCCGCATGATGAATTTTCAAAAAGCACTATAGCCCAGTACATATCGACCAAGAAACCCATCAATATATGAAAGCACGTGGCGGAAACCGATCGAAAGCAGTATGCCTCTCATTTTTGTTTTGAGTAAACTGGGTTCATTCTCCTGCACATAGGACCCTTCGGGGGCGGCCTGGGCGCTCCCGACACCAGCTAGCTCAGTTAACACACTGCAGCAGGTGCCCAAGGTGATACCATGCCTCCGTACGATGCGCCAAGTGATGGATTTCAGGTCTGGATAAAGCGAGCACCTTTCACGACTGCTTCTGCTTCACCGAGCGCCATTCGATCAAGAGACTTCCCACCAGGGTTGTGCACGCCAGTCCGACAGTCAGGTACCAGGTCCGAACCAGGCTCCGATCGATGCCAGCCACAGCTTCATCCCACCGCTGCGCGGGGACCATTTTCCGAAGATCACCGAGTCCATGACTTTCAATGTACGCAGGGGTCAAACCCGGTACGATATCATCCAAGGTCGACGATAGCTGATTCGTAAATATCACCTGGGCAATGGCGATGAACACCGCCGGCCCCATACTCTGCCCGAACAAGATGACCCCAATGCCCAGGTTGACGTCCGCTGAACTTAGTGTCGACTGCACGGCGGTCTGGGAGCCTTGGAAGCCGATACCTCCGCTGAAGCCTGCGAATCCAGAATAGAGGATGACCTGGGCAAGGGAGAGCTGGGGGTTGTATGTGGTCATCAGGCCTGCGGCAATGGGCATGCAGATGGAGCCGAAGACCATGAAGGGGGCGTAGTAGCCGAAGGTGGAGGTGCCGATGCCGTGGAGAAAGAGCCCGAGCATCATTCCCACGAGGATGGGGATCATCAGATAGCCGCTCTCGGCAGGAGTCTAAAAGAGGATAAGATTCAGTGCTTTTTCCATGGGCATGAACTGGCAAACTTACCCGAGATCGGACAACTTGGTAGTAAGTTGGGAGATACCACTCCAGGACGTTTGTCATGGAATTCGTGCACGCTGTGTAGATGAAGCCGGCGATGACGTTGCGGCTTTTAAGGATACGGAATGGGAGTGCAGCCGAGTCCCCCCGTCGATACTGATTGAGGAGGAAGGCGACCAGTAACACGCCGAAGACAACGAACAACCCGATCACTTTCCCATCGGACCAGGGGTACTTTGTTCCAGCCCAGGATAGTGCAATGAACAGCGCCGTTAGAGATGGGATGAACAAGCAGTTACTGACGAGGTCGAGCTCTCGAATCTTTTGAGCTAGGGTGAGGTCGTCTTCCTGACGGGCTGTTGGGTCTGACAAGAGGAAGAACATGGCCGCCAAAGATACAGCGCCAATGGGAAGGTTGATCCTACGCGGACATCAGTGAAGCTATTGGGCAAGCCTGCGACGGGAGCACTACCAGAAACACCATCTCCAACCTAGAGACTGCGTCAGTGCGCCGCCCACGATCGGCGCGGCAATGATTGCAAGCGATTCAACGCAGGTCATCAACCCCACATACGCTGGTCGCTTCTGAAGCGGCAGAATCCGCACAGCTACGGCGAAACACCCGGCCAAATTCCCGGCGAATCCGAGGCCTGTGACTGCTCTCCCTAGGACAAACATCATCGACGAAGCCGCCGTGGCACAGAGCAACGAGCCAACCAGGAAGATTCCCACACTCATCAGAAAGACAGCTTTGATGGAAAAAAGCTGGTACAGCTTCGCGAACCCGAATTGGAACGCGCATGTGCAGAGTCGAAAGGCGGACGAGTACCAGCCGACATCGGCAACCGTATGGAAGTGGTCGGTGATGCTCGGCACGGCGGTCGCGACAATGTTGGCGTCGAGGCCGCCGAGAATGAGGATCACGCAGGTGGCGAGGATGGTGAACCAGAACTCCGATCCCGTAGGGTAGTTGGGTTCTGTGTCCGGGTTGGATTCAAGGTGGAGAGATTCCACTGCTGGTGCCGAGGCTGCGGGAGGCGGTTGACCTTGCGATGTTTGCTGATCGGGCAATACGGGAGGCGCCTCTTGCTTGGGCGAAGGGCCTTCTATCGTGGCTACACTCGCCATTGTGGATGTGGATGATTACCTTATCTGGGTAGAATTGGAGTGGAAGGGAGAAAGAGAGGAGAAGAAGTGCGACTATGGAGTGATCGCGGATCTGCATGTGATTGCTGTACTAGGTAAGGTACTTTTAACAGCTCGGACCCCCGGTTACACTTCGGCACGGCCTATATTGCCAGAAGCCAAGTTCAATACACTATCTTAACTCCATTCAACAGGTAGGGAAGAAACCTCTGGCTTCCAGATTTCCATGAGAAACACAAATGGGCTCAACGGCAAGAATGGAAAGAATTGAACAACAAAGAAAGATACCTAGTGTCAAACTACGAGAATAGCCATAGCCATATATCACACCTTACATATCACGAAGCGGGTTGTCCATTTTTGGTAGCGTAATGGTCATGTTGGTTGACAGATAGAGAGAAAAAAACCCCACGGGATCAATTTGTCGTGGTTATGTCTACTAATCTAACGGCTCCGCCTCTCCCTTCTTGCTTGCCTCTGTCGATGGCGATGGTTATTCGCCTGTGCGACGCGAGCATATTCCACCTCCAGTTTGTTTTCCCCAGCCCACTGCCCATCAAGAACACTCTTCGCGCTCGTGGCCTCTTCGGTGCTGGCGAATGTTGCGAAGCACGTCCATTGCGTGTAGGTTCTGGATCACCAAAGGATGATTAGCACTCATCGTAACTAAACGGTGGGTACGAAACAAAATGCAGAAACTGGATGGAAAAGAGTAGAGAGACTCAAATGAAAGGAAGCCAGAGAAGGAGCGTAGAGGAATGGCGAAGGGAGTGGCAACATACCTACGAGAATCACGGTGCTTCGCCGTCTCTTTTGCGGGGTGGAGGCTATCTGGTCGAACCCCAAGTGTGAGGAGCCATTGGCGTAACTCTTCCATCGAAGTATCCTTTGGGATTCTCCTAATGGATAGCTTTGGCGTGGGGGAGAGGCCAGGGCGGTCGGGCCGCGTAGACTCGGCCCCCTGCAGGCCCTGGCCCATGTTCCGTTGCCTTCATAAGGTCTCTTGCGCATGCGCTTGCTCTGGGCCATAGTACACTCAAGCAAGGTAGCTCCGATGACGACCGCTGGTTGTAGTTCCCCCACTGCAACAGCTCTCGAATTCGGTCACGATTCCCTTGAAGGGGGGATATGGGGGTTAAACTGTGCAGGGCCCCAAGGATGACGCCCAGAGCACGCCCAGTGCGCGGCCTGGCCACGACTGTCATGTCTCCATTGGTATTTACCATGACGGGCTATGACTGCCTTCTGGATGGGATGGAGGTCGATGATGTTCATTGCCGACACGTTGGCACGAATGGCGTTGTTCAGGTTAGTCACCTCAATTGCCGCGGAGGCGGGACCTCCGTTCACTAGAACAGGGATTCTTCAGTAATTAGCAGTCTGCATAGATAAAGTGAGGGAGTGTTGGGGGATGTACTCGTTATTGGCCGCAGGTTGGGTGGGGAGAGAGCCAAATGAGATGGACATGATGGTAAAAGCTGAGTGGCGAAGGGTTGATTTAGCCGAAAGAAACAGAGAGCCAGGGAGGTGGAGATTGATACAGGAACAGACAGAAGATAGAGATGGAGAGACAAAGGTGGGAACATCCTGATAGACAATGCTGGAAAGAACAGGGTAGATATGCCTGGCATACCTGCGGAACCACCGCAGTGGTCATATATACGGTAGGAATATCATGGATAGGTACCTATCAAACGCTGGTCCAGCTTTCCTTATCCACTGAGTGTATGTCCTGAATTGGCCGGCGATGATTAGCGTAGGGGTGCTGACACCTATCAAAACCTAATCCGCTGTGCTGGGACCCCGCCTATTACCGCACGTTAGCATGCCTTATAGCCAGGACAGCAAGGGGAATGACTTACCGGGCGGCAGGCGTGGCGCACCGCTTGACAGCGGGTGCAGGCGCGGCGGCCGGGGGCAAAACAGCAGACAAAATCTCCATCGGGGGCGTCAACAAGGTGCCCAAGGCACCGCAGGCACCATGAGCCACCCTCCTGGGCTGCATCGGAGGCAACGGTCTCGTGGGACCAGAGTGGACCTTGATGAGCCCTTGGACTGTGTCCCACTGCCTTTGCAAGGTCGCTTGGTCACCTGCTTGATCCGGGTGGTAGTAGACCCTGGCCACGTACCTGTGGCGTAGACTACTGACTTGTAGTCTGTCCAAGGTACGTTGCGCCTGCGTTGTTCATCTAAGAGAAGAGTCAGAATGTTGCTCTACTGCAGAGTTGGCAAGACGACCCTACTCACGGTAAACGCGAAGGTCAGTCAGCAGGCCAGTGGTAGGGTGACTCTGGTGGTAAGTGCGCAAGATCAACTCACGGATGACCATAATGCCATCAATGACGGCATCCACGTCACCGTCGGTCGGCTCCTGCGTAATCGGCGAGCAGCGACCAGAGCTCGGGCTCGATGGCGCGTACGGCCTCATCGATCACGACCAGTTCGGGCTGGAGACTGTCGACAACCAGAGGCTGGCTGGCCCCGAAGGTGGTCCTAACGACGATGTCCGCGAGCTGCAGGGTGTAGCGCAGCAGGTTTGTGATTTTGTAAAGCTCTCCTACTTTTCCGGGTCAAAGACCGCGCCGTCCTCGTAGAAATCGATAAACCGCCGGAATCCGGCATACTTCTCCGGCTAAGACAAGAGGGAATGGATGTAGCCCGCAACCTATAGCGCCCGATACCCCAGGCTCTGCCGGATATTAACGAATAGTTTATCAATCACAGGAGAGAGGTTGAAGGTGGCATTCCCGTGCCACTCGATCAGAGAACACACTTCTTCCACCCATACGTCCAGGACATTCTTGGGCGCCAGCACCAATGTCAGCCTGTACAGCCATGCATCATGGGATCGCACCACGAAGGTTGTCAACGACGTCACAGTCTTACTTAGTCCGCACGCGTCCGCGAACACGCCTCCCTTCACCGGGGGTTTTCGGGGTCCCAGTCCTTGGCCTCGGCGAAACGACGGTATTCCTTCACTGGATCGGCCGCGTCATGCCCGTGGTCGCCTTCTGTTTCTTCTCCCTCGCCTTCTCCATCACTGTCGGCCGGGCCCTTTTCTTGTTGGACCATTCAGGCCGAGCCGGTAACGTGCCACGGCTTCAGCATTGCGATCGGGATCGTGTCGCTCTTCTCCAGGTGCTGCAGGGAGTCTCCCGGTCCGCAGCCGCAGGCAATTAATATCTGTACCACCGCCTCGGCTAGCGCCCTCTGCGGGATGGATAGACGGGCATTCGGCGCGACGTGGCGTTCGCGGTTGGCGAGATGCAGCGCTATAGCGACCTCTGTCTCACTTGCGTAGAGGCGGATCACCATAGCCTGGTGGTCGATAACGACGGAGTTCGCAATCTCCTGTGCGGTGCAAGCGAGGTTGTTCATGGCATCGTTGCTGGGCGTCACCATCAGCACCTGCTGCCGGGTCCGACCCAGCGGGACGAGCTTGGGCGGTGGCCGTTCGTCCACCAGCAGATTAGAGGGCACCAGGAGCAGGATCTAGTGGGGCGCAAGGTGGCGGAGTCGTCGGGGGCCAAGTCGATGAGACGCACCTGCAGCTCGTCTAACGTATCAACGGTCACTGCTTTCTTCTGTAGTCTGCCGTAATGCGCTCCTATCTCCCCGAGCCACGTTGGGAACAGAATGGCGGGGCATAGGATGAGCGTCGGTGTGAAGGGAGGCGGATTCGGATTGACGGACTGGCGGGCGGCGCGCTCAGCGGTATAGAAGATGTGGGAAAGGACTGTGATCGTTTTTCCGAGGCCACAATTGTCGGCCAGGATACAGCCTTTCAACGGCGAATCCTCCTGCGTTGCCATCCAGCCTCGAAGTCGACCCTGCAATTTCGTTGGGCCGGTATTGCACAGGGACGGACAGCAGGTATTGCCGACATATATATATGACCCATGAAGGCCAGATTGACGCGGTCGATGGAGTTGCGAGAGAACTGGTGCAGCCACTTTTCATGCAGCTTGGACAATTACACAGGAATAGCCCGAATGCTTCATTAGCCTTGTCTATGCCAGACACAGTTGGACGCACAATTGTTGCATTCAGTGCCCGCCTATCTGGCCCCAGCAAGTGGACGTCTACCCCCTCGTTCGCGTAATTTTCCACCCTGGCGCCGGGACAGTCATGTCCTAACATGCACAGGCCGTCGTCGCATGGGTTTCCGTGCACGACCCTCATGCAGGAGGGCTGCACGTGGAAGCAGCCACATTTCACGGGCAAGATGACGCTTATATATAATGAGGACTAGCCTCGCAATGCAGACAGCCGTGCAAGCTGGGAAAGACAAACTTGCCCAGTCAGTTCGGCGGGGCAGGCCGCCAGTATTTCTGCCCTCAGGAGCTCATTCGAGGACGGCGACACATGCACAAGCTTTTCGGGCTTCATGTTCAAATGACGTAGGCTAAGGAATGATCAATCATGTTAGCAAACTGCTGTTCGACGTGCTATATATCGCTTGACTTACTTGTCGCTCAAGGTTTTTTTGACGACGGTTATTGAGACTGGCCAGCTTATGGTTCAGGACTTGCAGTCTAAGTAAATGTTGGATCATATTAGCAAGCTGCAGCTGGAAAGGTTTTATGCTGATCAACTTACCTCTCCCTCACGGTGTCACGCTTTGTCGTGATGGACGAAGCAACACATTGCAGGGCTTACACCCTATTCTAAGAGGTCCAAGTGATAAATAGTTCATCGCCTAGGAGGATGACATGGGCTACATGGCCAAAGAATACAATGACATATTGACCAACAGATCATCACGCTACCAAAAAGTGCCCAAGCACCTAGAAGCGAAGGGGATCATAATGTCCATCAGGCCATCCTGACTGAGGAAGTGATGAGGATAGGGAGAAGTGGAGGGAGGAAGAGGGGGGAATGAAGGGGTATATATGCCTGAGCCGTGGAGGACGGGTGAAGGGAGCGAGTGAAGAAAAAGCAGTCAATATTGGAATGGACAGGAGAAAATGAATATTGATTCTCTGTTTGCTTGTCACTTGAGGGAAGCCAGTCACCCTGTATAGTAATAATGAATGTACAGCAGTAAATCCGTATGGGGTAAAGGGTTGTCTCGGCAAGCAGCATAAGTCGGTGAAGCCTCATTCTGGACGCCTACGTACATGTCTTGGTGGGAATCCGTGGAAACCATGCAAACAGATTTCTCAGGTAGAACAGGATAGAGCATTTTAGAGTACTTGAGTAGAGGCAAGATTTCATGCGAAAGGATGATCTTAGACATCTGCTGGGTGAGAAGGCAGGGTTTCTTTACTATCATCCCTACCCTGGTTAGTAGTATACAAGACATTAGGTCGTCATTGCTTGTATATTGATGGCAGATTTCTGACAATAAACAAAGGATATCGTACACTTCACTGTTCACAAATGTCCAAAGGTTCAGGATCTTGTAACTTTTGCGTCATAGTAGTACCCCTAGCCCTGTTCTTAGAGCTTCACCATGGCATTAGTTAAGTATAATGCTCTATATTCCAACAGGCGTCAAGAATTCCTAGTGGAGACAGTCGCTTTATGTATAGTATGGTTCCTCCCCGACCACGCGCAGGGGAATGGTGCTGACTGACAATGTCGCTTCATAGGCTGGTACAAGTCTCTCATCTTTCTAAGTCATCTCATTGTTCATGGAGACCCTCGTGACAATTGCCTCTATGTTTACTCTTCTGCGTGGAGAAATACACCAAGTCAGGGGTATGCGTTCACTTGCTTGCATCTGACAGGTGGTTGCTGAATGCAACAATTGTGCCTTGGTGGCCGGCGTAGACAAGGTCAATGAGAAACTCAGAGAGAGATGTTGCTTGGGCGAACCTGGTAAATGGTATAGGAGGACTACTGTGATGTGGATCACCAACTACCTACCTTGAGATAGTCCGTCGCGTTTAGAATATAGTGGGTCGGCATAATGACCATACAAAGATGGTAAGAATAGCTCACGAACTCCGGACCATTCTTTGTAGTCTCTATATCAATACTGGCCATAATAGTGACGGAGTGGCCCTCGGGCCGGGCAGTGGAAAGGTCATGAGAGAATTGCTTCTGGGGCGGACTCCTTCTGTACCAACCTCGGGGTTTGGTATAGAGCCGGAGGGAAAGCATCGGCCCGATGATATGACCATCATCCAGTCTTCTTCCAGTTAAAAGTCTGTTGTGGATGCAGATAACGCTCGCCTGGCTTCGGTGGCCTGCAGAAGGCCTTGAATAACTCTTTCGTTGCCGTGTGCGTCGTTAATTCTTATCAATCTAAAGAAGTCTGACGCATTTACGTTTGTAGCTAGTTGTAGGCACTGCATGTGAAACATGTTGCTTCCTTGGTACATCTTCCATAGGCCCTAACATGTGGCTGCCCCCTTTCACGCCAGATGTTCTTTCGAGCGGAATCTGCGCATAACACAGTTCCCAGCCAACGCGCTGATTCTAGTTCGGATGCTCTCATTAAAAGAGCTAAGGGGCGGCTATCCAGCGTTATAATCCCAGGATCTGTGCACAACTCCCTTGAGACCTCGGTTGAGGATTGAACCCCTAGACAAAAACCTTCTTTAAAATTTCGATCGGTTTGTATTTTTGGATTCGGTGACGTGTATATCCTTCAGACTAGTAGGCAGAAGTGACTATCAGTAGGTATTTATTGTGGGCTTGTTGTTTGATTTGGCCTTCTTCGGATTGAGACTGTAACTTTTTGAGTATCAGATCTATCTGCCATGAAAACACGTCGCAGGAATAGACCAAATTCCTGGCAATTGACTGCTTGCAGATTCTTCAACTAGCCATTAGAGATTAAAGGATTAAGTCCTGTATCACGCTACATAGAAAGCAAGTCATAAATATGCTTTAAACATCCTCCTCCATGGCGAATCCGGTGGTGGTAAGGGTCTCGAGTCTGTTAGCAAGTCTTCTTTTCATATTAAAAGTGAACCGATTTGTATGAGCTGTGTGAGTTTTCGGAACCTCTCTGTCCAATTGCTCGCGTTTCTTCCTCGCAAGGACAGTCAGAAAGATGGCATCGAGACGAGCTCTAACAAGGGCCTCCGTCCCCGGCGCGTTTCCACAGGCCAACTTGTAATCAGAGAGGATAGTGCCTATTTTCGTTAGGATGGATGCATGATACCTTGAATATTGGAAAGCTTACGAAGATATTCAGGCACTGGTTTGCGGTCCTGCGCGAAGAAGCCAATGGCTGTTATCCCGATCCGGCTTCAGTGCGAAGAACTGCCTTCGTCAGATCGGTGACGGCCGGAGTCTCAGAGTTAGACACTTGTTAACAAAAATAACCATTACACTACGAAAAATGGACAACCCACTTAGTGGTATGTAAGGTGTGATATATGGCTGTAGATGTGGTTTGACAGTATATCAGCGCTTCAGACGGACCAATGTAATCTCGGTTCTAACCCTTATAACCGCCAGCATTGAAAGTGATTAGCGAAGTGGACAGCTGTTTCTTCTGCTATTTCCGGTACAGTAGCATGGGACGGAAGATAGGCGATATCTCGGATTGCTCCCCGGCGCAGACTATGGCTAGTAATCGGTCCGACTATCCCAGTAACCTGGGCATATGTTTAGGATTCCGATTCATCCCGCAAGCGGTTAAGGGCTGATCTAAGGCCAGTTTTAAAGCACGATTGTTTTCTTACTGCGGTAGGACCGGATAGTAAGAATATGTCAACCAAAAATGACCATTACACTACCAAGAATGGGCAACCCACTTAGTGGTATGTAAGGTGTAAAATATGGCTGTAGGTGTGGTTTGACAACACCTCAAAGTCCTCCATACCCCAGTAATGGTCGTCGTCGTCGTCATAGTCGTCTACCTCCCAGTCAACATGTGCGACCCCGGACAAGGCGATCACCTATTCATAAACCACTGCATCTCAATGATTTCCCAGTCTGGAAGCGGCCGAAGCTCTGGGTGGTCGGTGGTCATTTTGATCGTGTCGCCGGATCTGATGAGGGCGCAAGTCTCATGGTCGAAAGCCGGCTCCTTTAGGGTTGTCGGGGAACTTCAAGGACCGCTGGCTACAAAGGGTGACTTTCTTCGTATGATCGCCTTCCATGAGCCAGTAAAATTCCAGTGTCAGACACTTCTTGTCTTGGGGATGGCAATAAGTTCGAGGGCAAGAACCCAGCACCGTGGTAGGGGTGGACAGGAGGCGCGCAGCAGACAAGGTTGTAGCATATATCCACGTATTTGCCGTGGGGGGATACTGTAGCATGCTAAGTATTGATATGCTCTTCGGTTCAGAATTGCGGAGGGCAGAGCACATATTTGCATGCAGGGGCTCTGCATCCATCGGGGAGAACTGCTGCAACCAGGGTGAATGATGGGCAACATGGTGCATTTGGTCCTTGGTTGACAGACATCTGCGCCCATCTCTCTCTTTACACTGTATCCTTATCAGCTGTTATGATGTCGCGCAGAAGTATGGGGGGAACTGACGAGCTTTGTGGCCGGGGTCGAATGATACTTCAAACTCGTGTTCTGCTTCCCTGTATGCCATCAGCGAATGTTGTGATAGGAGGGGGATGGACGTACATTTCACCAGAACATTTAAGCAGCTCAGCAAGTGGGCTAGGCGATCCAGGTGTGGAATCTGAAGAACGGACCTGCAGTCTACGAAAGGAAGAATACCACATCTGCATAATGCTGAAAGAATAAGTCAAAAAATTAGCCACGTGTTGAAATAGGTACGGTGTATTATCAAGGTCTCCTCGTGAGATTTTGACAAGAGCAGTCTGACCAGAGTAAGGAGGGTGACAGAACAGTATTCATGGGCCCTACGCTTATGAGGCAGGCACCAGAGTGAAGCATGAAATCAGTAGTTAATATACTCCACCTATCACCAATCCATAGCAAGAACATTCACCCAGTATCAAGTACCAGGTATATTCTTGACAACCATGGATTGAACCAGGCCTTCAAGATAGCAGACCCCTAGGTCTCGCCTCTCAATCGAGCAAAAAGAGGAAGTACATTGGCTCCAAGTAGCCAAACCTGTTGGCCAGTTGTAAGCCGCGTGCACATTTCGAAAAAACAGTAATACTGAGCTCACTTACTCCATACCAGTAATACGACACGTAGTCATGCCGTTCATCGTAGCTTGAGATATATCCATGAAGACAACGGAGGCCTACCCCTGCCAAGGCTACACTGGCCGCAACGGGTGGCTGCCAAAACGCGACGACACCAACGGTCCAGGCCATCATAAGCACAGCCAGCGACCAGCGAGCCGCAGGTTGTGATATAAGTAGGGGAATCGTCTTCCGGTCCATGTATGCATCTCCTGAACGGTCCCGAAAATCTTGCGCATGTCCCTGATTCCATTCATTAGACCTGTATTCTTGATTCTAGAGGGAATACCGACGGTTGTGGCAAAAATTGCACCCATCATCATTACGGCAATTGCCTTCAGGCCACCAAGCTCTCTCCCATGGTCTAGATGTCCGGTCAGCCTCGCTCGAGCGATTTAAGACCCTTTGCATCATGAGGGACATGCCCAGAATGACCGTTGCTCCCCAACAATAACACGCCAATCCTATAGCCCCAATAACGTTCTTCACGATAGGCACCTTGGCTAATCCTCCCTCATTGTATGCCACGATGGCCACCGTGTAGGCGAAGGTACACTTGACGGTCCGTGCGTGGACACTCACTGCCCACATAAGGGCAAACAACATGACGTACAAGACCCAGGCACGTCCGAGGGAGATACGTCCGGATGGTAGTGGGCGATGAGCCTTTGCTAGACGGTCCTCTTCCACGCCATCGATCTTTCATCCAGTTCAATATAAGAACACTGCTGAGACTAGGGTCATACACACTTGGTTCTTGACCTTGATATTGGTTAGTCATAGTCCGAGTCCAGAGGGTTCACGGCAATACCTGGAATGTGAGCAGGTGCACTTGGATCCAGAGAAAGGCCCTCAGCAGCAGCTTGAATGATGACGGCCCTGCTAGTATGAGAGCCACTGCCGTCTGTTCGGTTAGATTGAGACTATTATGATGATTAGGTATGCGTACTGAAGACGGAACAACAACGGGGATGTCGGATTTTCCGAACAGATAAAGGGTTTTCAGAATCTGACCCAAGCGAGCTCCGATGTTCATAGTTCTCTGCATCTTGTTGGTGTCTTCAAAATGTGTTGTACTGGTGTGGGAGGCCACAGGTGTATTTAAACCTTCGTCTGTATGCCACTAGGTTGCCTGTTCCCTTTCCTGTCCGCCCGCAGGCCGTAAACCTTAACATCTGCCAGGGGAAATTATGTTCCAATGAGGTTTCAAGGTCGGGAGGAATATAGTTGGGAAAGGGGCACGATTCTGGAAGATAATACTACCGGCATTGCCTCTGTTGTCGATTCACGTTAGCAGTGACGAATGCATTTCCATATCAAGCTCAGCGCCTAGAGTCAAGTCGAGCCGGTGCATGAAGCATTGAACAAAAAGATGATACTGCGTTTCGCCAGTTGAGATCATTGGGCTATTGGCGGGCTTTCTGGGCTGTCATCTCATCACGCGCGAGATTATACTAGCCCAACGTGGGGTGCTACAGGTGTGTTATGGCCTATACAGCCCTACCTGTAGCTACATGTTCTCTATAGATACTTCACCCTAGCGATTGGAGTGGATCTTACATTTCAGCAAGCGATGCGTATATACAGTGAGCCAGATAATGTAGCCGTGTCATGTGTCGCAAGGAGCGTATTGCCTGTACCTCCGCATCTACTGACCTCCCACTTAGATACAGATGTAGACAAGGGCCCAAGCCTGGTTCCTCTGGCCGACAGGTTGTGGTTCATCCAGCACATGCGGAAATCCAGGAGCTGCAATTCAGCGTCATACTTACGTGTAGGCGTGAAATGCCGAGTTCCCAAGTATCTTTACAGGTTGCAGGATGCATCACACTCAACGCAAATAACAAAATAAGAGACTTGACTATTCTAATGTTTGTGTCGGCACACGCTGAATGGTGAGAAGGCCCATCGAGTAGTTGGACCGCCAAACATCCCAAGACCAAAGAGACTCCCGGCATCAGACTGAAGACTTTGGGCTTGCCTTGTCTCTTTTTTTGCGCGAGAACATTCCGATCATATTACCCTGTACCATTTGCTAAAGTGTGGATGTCAGTTTTTCTGCTGTGTTATAACCTAGAATGATACGATCGGAGGCACGAACAGGAATACACTTGGAGATCAACCATAAAATGCCGGTGGTAACAAGCGACATAAACCCAAATAATATAACCCACCTCCAATCCGGATTATCTTGGAGCAGGTTCACGTTCATGCCAAACAGGCTCTAGAATTCAATCAGTCAAGGTCTCCACATAGGAGTGTCATGAGTAGAAGCGGCTTACTGAAACAAACATCAGCGGCAGAAAAATGAACTATCAAGATTTGATTATCAGCCAGCTCCGCAAGTCATTTGAAGACTGCACTCACATTAATCCAGCTCAGACGCTTTAAACTTGCCGCTTCGTTTGTAGAGACCCATGCAAGCTCCTATTGGGTTGATCTTAGTGTCTGAATGAGATTTTTTGAGGAGTTCTGTGACCCAACGTACAATCTGTAAGAGATCTCGTGCAGCCTGTTCCAGATGGTCAAGCTTTGCGGTCACGGCCTGGTCAATATTGTTGACCACTTCTCTAAGCCGCAGTTTACCATCTATTTCAAGTGAAACATTAGTAGTAACCGCTTCGAGGAGTCCCTCAATGTGACATCGCAAGCATCGCCGCAGCTCTGCACGCTCTAGAGCATCCTGAGCAAGCTCATCGACTAGGCCGTAACTTCTACCACGCTTTTTGACTTGATCATGCCGCTAGTAATTAGGTCCTCATGGATCAGTTCTGTGCTTTGCTCATTTGACATGTAATAAAATTAGTAGACTCACCAGCAGCTCGACCCTTGTGTTTGCATTAGAACATTTTGCTTTCCACTCCTGGTGTAGAGTCTCAAGAAACAGTCTGAAAAAGTCCGAAGGCTCATGAGGGACCCCGCCGCGTGGAAGCATGCTGATAAATCCATAAGCGAGCCCTTCTGCTGTCGTCTTGCTACACCAGGCGATTCCCCATGCATCACCGCATTTCCCTTGCTTATTTGGGAAGTTCAGTGAAATATAGGTAACCGACCGATACCCAAAATCTTTCTGAGCATAGTTCCAGTAGTAGCCCTCCTTGATGATCTCCTCACGGAAACCAAGCTTCCACGGTAAGTCGGACCATATTGACGATTGCTCGCAGATACTTAAAGTGTTCGGGATCATGGCGGCTGTTCCTGAACATGAATCCCACTCACCACAGTCTTGTGTCTTTTGCTCTGGGCAACCAGTTGCATTCCCGTCCATCGACTAACTGCAGCTCGAAACCCCAGCTTTGGCCCCTTCTAGTGATTTGAACCCACGAATGCTGTTTATCGCCCAATGCGAACCATTCCTTTGACGCAACTGGTTCGAGCTCTATTAATGGAGCATTGAGCATGAGATCCACGATATGCTTTCTTCGCGCTCTCAGAGCATACTGCAATGGGGTCTGGCCAGTATGATCTCTGGACCTCAGATCTGCATTGGATAGGATCAAAGCTGCAACAAGCTCCTCGTTTTCCCCAAGACATGCAAGGTGCAGAGGAGTTCTGCCTTTCTGGTCAGGCTGGCTGGGATCATAGCCCGTCATAAGAAGGTCGAGCACCATGTCCACTGTCTTCTCTTGATCGATTGAACTTATACCTTCGACCAATAAATGCAAAGAGATGGTGTCACCGTCTTTCAACAAATTAACTGAAGCTTTATGTTCCCCCTCCAACGCCCAAATCAATGGAGTCCTCGAAATTGGGTCTTCGCTTCCATCACGGATGTTTATGTCCACTTTACCCACCAAGTCCTCGTCTAGGAAATACCGCACAACTTCGTCGTCGCCGTACTCGGCTGCCCAGGAGAGCCAGTTGCGCCCGCTTCGATCTTTTTTATTTGGGGATTCTAGGTCCTTGATCAATAACGGGAGGTCGGAAGGATTCATCGTCCCACCAAGCTGGGGCCGGACCAAAGGATTCGAAGACTTGATAGATAAATCATTCCTTGCTTTGAGAAACCACCAAAATCCTGTATGTCCTTCGTTATCTGGGACATGGGGATCTGCCCTTTTTGCCCTATTTGCCCTTCTTTGGATGAGTAAATGCATGATCTGAATGAATCCACGCTCTGCAGCCAGCGAAAAGGGAGTGCGACCTTGTCTATCTTGACAGTTCACACTCACTCCTGTTTCTTTAAGGAGAAACTTCACTATCGGCTCATGTCCATTCGCAACAGCCCAGGAGAGGGATGTCCACTTCTGCTCATCCTCCGAGTCGATGGCTGCATTCGAACTGAGTAATTGCTTGAATATGTCGAGCTCACCAAGACTTGCTGCCATGATCAGCGGAGTTCGACCAGTCGCATCTCGACAGTCTACAGATATCCCGGGGACGCCCAGTAAAATCTTCACTGCCTCGTGATGTCCCTTTTCAACAGCCCATGCTAGCGCTGTCCGCGTTTCTGCATCAACCGAATTGACTTTTGCATTGGCATCAAGCAGTACCTGTAAAATGTCGACATATCCGAATTCTGCTGCAAGTGATAATGGAGGTCGTTTTGTTGGGTGATGGCTGGTAGAGAAGTGCTCAATTTCCAGCAGAATTTCTTCAGGTGGAAGATAAGTGTCAAATAGCCACTTGTTCAGAGTCGGCCACCTGACTTCATCTAGCGCATGTACATCCGCCCCTGCGGCGATGAGAAGCTTGGTTATACCAATTTCTCCACGCTCTGTGGCCATAGACAGTGGAGTGCGACCTTTCACGCGATGATTCGCCAGACTCTCGTCAGCCTTGAGTAAAAGCTCAACCATCGCTACATCTCGCTGAAAAATTGCCCACAGCAGGAGGTCGCGTTCACCCCCAGTTACTCGTCGACCCTTTGCTTTAGCACTGATCAAGCACCTTATACTTTCGGCATTTCCAGTCTCTGCAGCGATCCCTAGAGGTGTCCGGCCCTTGATATCTTGATAGTCGCTATCCACGTCTTGATTCGAAAGGAGGTATTTCACCGTTTCGGGATGCTGTCTCCAAAGTGCCCAAAATAGAGGCGTCCAGCTTTTTGAGTCCACCGAATTAATATCCGCGTTGGCTTCGACAAGGATTCTCACGTGGTCGAGACGCCCAAGCTCTGCCGCCAGTGACAGCGGAGTACGGCCTTCATTATCCCTCTGGTCAAGAAGAGCTCCTTTATTTATTAAGAGACTTAATGACTCGGTTTGTGGGCATTGCACGGCGGAAAAGATGCTTGTTCGGCCGTCAGAGGTGCAAAAATTCACGTCGATTCGTTCGTGCTGCAAGAGTTTATCGAGCACTCTCCATTGCGATGTCGCCTTGGCCAAGGGTGAGATGCCGTCTATTTGGAAGTTGATGTCAAGGGACGAATCTTTAAGGTAGCTTTCAAGCCCTTTTTTGTTCTTCTTCAGCTTTTTGGACCTCGTTATTTCAGACGTGATCGAAGAAAGAAAATCCTGCTGAAGTCGCTCTCGAGCGATAGTTTCCTGGGGAGTATTATCATCAAACTCCATTTCTGTAGCCTTTTTCTCCTCTGAAGATTGCAGTCAGAGTCAGTGCACTGGGTGTGTCAGAGAGAGTCAACGTAGCTGAGGCTCGAAATCGCTTTGCTGCCTAAAACTGAAGCCTGATTCATCGTGCTCTAAATAAGCCAGGGCTGACTCGAGTCCTCTGACCATCTATTGGTCCGTATGGCGCCACCAGATGTACTCAGAAGTCAGAGATCTCGAGGCTCCGCCCCTCATTTCAGATATGAATTTGGCCATTACTTCAAGCCTAGCACATTTCCTGCCATTGGCAATTTCGACCTTGTAGTAGTGGGAGTTGTTCCCCGGTTTGGACACTTGCGTCCGACACTCTCGTTATTTGAGTTTCAACCTTACAAAGGCGGTACATAAGAAGGGATAATGCAGGGCGTTATATGTTAAAAAGATTGGATTGTAGCTGGAGTGGCAGGAATGCCCATGAACAGTAGGCTCGCGATAGCCTAAGACCCCTTAGCTGCCCAACAGAAGCCGGGGCGTTCAAGGTGCGCTATGGGCAGACTAGTGCGGCACTTTCGTACAAAGTTCCACGCTGATGGTGGACTAAGTTAACTTAAAAGATTCAACGAGCGACTATGGTCAGTAAACAGATACGATGTGAAAGAGTGCTTCGGATTAGGCATGAAGTCCTAATAGTCCTCCCCACGACTGATGACTTCCTTTCCACCGCTGTGGAGCAGAATTGTCTATAATAAGGAATTAGTAATAGTATTGTTCGTAAATAGGGACGACGCGTACATGTTCGAACTGCGCGGTGTAGGAACCCTTCACATCAACGAGTGGAGCATAAGACTCGACGATCCCATTGTCAATTAAGTTCTTCATCTGTATTATGAATCAGCATCTGCTTCGTTGTCAAACCCATACCCATCACTTACCCCAAGATGATAGCTCTTCACTCCAAGACGCTCAAGGTACCGGCGACAGAATACCAAGCTTCCAAAATTGGCGTCAATAGTCTTGAGGAGAGACTTTGCCGATGCGAGACGCAGGTGGGAACCAGGAACGTTGGCATTTCTACCGTAGCCGTAGATTCCGATCTATTCGCAAGTTAGAATGAAGACTGAAACCCCCTAGGGGATCATGAATCCTTACATCATCATCCAAGACTCCCTTGCCGGTACTTCCAAACGTCTCGATAGCGAATACTTCTCCTTCCTCCATTTTGTCCGGGTTGTTGTTTTTGATGAAAGGAATCTGCTTCCCGCCATGGATATTGTATCGGAGAATATCATGGCCGGTGATGTTCCTGATTGCTTTGACAGGAATGGTCTTTCCAGCCAGATCGACTTCGTAGCTCTCCATCACTTCCTGGATGGCGGCACTAATGTCACTTATTCTGGCATCGACACCAGCATGCTATTATAGTCAGCTTACACTTCCTACAAGATCATCGAGAAAGACATGTACCATTATACCAGTGTTCGTCGCCTCCTTCACGGCGGTTAAGAGATTGTCATAGGTATGGTCAAAGGCGACGGTAAAAGCCGAGTCGACAATACGTCCATTGATATGAACGCCAAAATCAACCTTGAGGACATCGCTCTTCTCCAAGATGACGTCTTTCCCGCCGGGGTTAGGCGTCCAATGAGCCGCAATGTTGTTCAAACACAACCCAGTGGGAAATCCCATGCCGGCTTTCAATGCGTCGCCAGTGTCCAGTCCCTGGTGGCCACACAGGGCACGAACGCCGTCTTCAATCCCTTCCGCAATGGATTGGAGACTCGCGCCTGGCTTGATAAGCTCGGCCTGGGCATACTGGCGCACTTGGCGGTGGATTTCGGCGGCCTGCCGGTAATCGGTCAGGAGGTCCTCGTCCCAGAGACGCGAGTTGTACTGCGACTCTTCGTCAGTGGTGCGGGCCGTATTTTCATACGGGACCAGTTCGCCCACCGGGTACCCGGACGGGAAGAGAGTCGACAGCGGGACGCGCGGAGGTGTAGTTTGCTGTGTCGCGGGGGCGGCTCCGGACTTGCTCTTCTTGTTCTTCTTCTTGGACTTCTTGCGTTTCTTCTTCTTTTCTGTTATGACGGCAGTCAGCTGGATCGCTCCAGTGCGTGGCCGTTGGTTGTCCGAGTATATTGCACATACCGGCGTTGGTGGTAATCACCCCCACTTCCTCGTTCTCATCATCGTCGTCATCGTCTTCTCCGACAACACCGCGGTCCAAGTCAGCCGACTGCGAGCCATTCTGAGAGGGCTTGGGGTTGGGGCTGGCTGGCTTGAGCTCGCTGGAGTTGGAGGCTGAATGACGAGAAAGGTCAGTGAGAATCATTACTTGTCTAGGAAAAGAGAAAACATACCATCAGGCGACTGCCGGTGGCCGTCAGGGGTCTTTGATCCCATGCTGCACTTTCAATGGGCAATTCTGGCATCAACGAGAAGTAGGATGATCAAGATGATCGATTTTGGAGGTTGTTGGCAGACTTCTCATGTTAGTGCTTATATTCCCCTCGTTTTTGTCCCGCATAAACAAGATTAGTCATCGTATCGGTATAAATATGCACAACGGTAGTACAACCACTCCAGTACCTATACCACCAGGATATCTATATAAACACACCTCGAATCACTAGAAACCCCATTGAAGACGATTCTTGTGATGCCATGAGCAATATAACCAGCGCGTTAATCTCTTTGTAATGTGGTATAATCAACAGAATCTGCTACCGCAATATATAAACTGGAGTGGACTGGAGTTGAAACTACGATTTGAAAAAAAAAAAAAAAAAAAACTACACGAAGAGCAACTGCAAGAGACTCTACAGTGGCATAGTCTCTGTTAATACTCCTTAATTTATCGATTATCAAGCTTCTCGTCGGAATAGTCTGCTGGTACTGTGGCAAGAATGCTCGTTGGAGGGGAGCCCCAATCACAACTCAGTTAGCCGGGTTACTCGGCCTATGCTCGGCTATAGGATATGGCCCACGGAGTACATGAAAGAACAAGGTAGCTTAGAAGTGGAAGAGCCTCAATATGCTGACATGCACAGCCATGTTAGGGATAAGTGATATCTGTGTGATCCATGAACAAAATCTTCAGTCATTTGACTTCATAATCGTACTTTATATTTGGAAGTGCTGTGCTATATCTCAATCATTTCTCGGGTCCATCCATCAAACTGAGGAGAGAAGAGTCATCGTCCTTAATTTCAATATGGTCAGCAACAGTCTGGTGATTCGCGCTCTCTTTGCTGGATTAAGAAATCTCTACCTTACTGGATTCACGGAACTGCAGGGGGGTGAAAATGATCTCTTACTGCTTTCGAGTTATCTGGCGCCTACGGCATATCTTCCCAACGATCATTCACTACAGAATACTAAAATTATACCACGGAACATCTCCGTAGCTCCATGATGTTGGCGCAATCGTCCAATGGCTTCGTGTGATGCTTCAAGGGTGTATGGATCCCATCACAGCGCTAATGCGAGGAAGCTGCGCCGCCCCCTCGAGCTGACTCGCTCCGAACATGTATAGTAACAGGTCGACAGGGGTGTCCACGGGATAAATGCCCACGGTCACGGCCCGATTTATTCTTTTGATTTTGTCTCTCCCAAATTACAGCTCTCTTAAACCCATCACCATGACATCTTCACCCGAAGAACAGGCCATGCATCAGCTGCAATCGCAGCAGTCGAAGCTCCTCGACAAAATTGACGAGCTCCGGACAATTGGCGTCGGAGGTCTTGTGGATCTCCCTCAGCTGATCGTCTGTGGTAATCAGTCGAGCGGCAAAAGCTCGGTCCTGGAGGCCATTTCACGGGTGCGCTTTCCGATGAAAGACACCGTCTGCACGAGGTTTGCGACAGAAGTCGTTCTGCGCCGAAGCCCCGAGCCCAGTATCAGGGTCTCGATTGAACCCGGCAGCTCAGGTGGAGACAGAAGGTCACTCGAGGAGTTTCGCCAGTTCGAAGAGACGTTCTCGGATACCAAGGATCTCGACATCCTGATGACTAGGGCCCAGGAGTGCATGGGGCTCGACCCTCAGACCAGCATTGGATTTAGCGATGATGTCCTCAAGATAGAGATCTCTGGTCCAGACAAGCCGGAGCTCACTCTCGTTGATCTGCCGGGGCTTTATCATTCCACGAGCGGCGATCAGGGTCGGGAGGGTCGAAGTCTTGTCCGTGGCATCACCGAGAGATACATGCAGAACCCAAGGAGTATTATTCTGGCTGTCATCACAGCCAAGACAGACTACCACCTGCAAGAGGTTCTAGATATCGCTGAGCAATTCGACCCCAAGCGTGAACGAACGCTTGGTATCATTACCCATCCTGATACTCTGCCCAGCGGTTCCGGTGAGGAGAAGATCTACCTGCAGTTTGTGCAGAACGAGAAGATCAAGCTGCGTCTTGGATGGCATGCCCTGCGCAACCGACAATTTGAAACAAGAGGAATCAACGACACGGAGCGAGATGAAAAGGAGAAAGAATTCTTCGAGAAGGGGTCGTGGAGGTCTGTGTCGCGCGAGTGTGTCGGCATCGACAGTCTCCGGCGGCGGTTGAGCACCATCCTCCTCAAGCATATCTATCATAACCTCCCCGGCCTGATCTCCGATATCCAATCCAAGATCACCGAAAGAAAAGAAAAGTTGGCGAAACTGGGAGCCGCTCGGGCGACGCCGCAGCAACAGCGGGGCTTCCTCCTGGGCATCAGCAGCAATTTCGAGCGCATTACAAGCCAGGCCCTGAACGGGATGTATTCAGATGAATTCTTCGGTGGTCTCGATGCTGTCTCAGCAGACACCCCGGACTTCCGACGTCTGCGCGCCGTTATACGGGAGCTGAATGAAAGTTTCGCCGCGGCGATGGAGTTTCGAGGATGTCGTCGGTTGCTGGATCCCCCGTTTGACTTGAAGTCTGTCATGCAACAAGAGAGCGACAACCCTTACCTAGTGGATTGGGTGCCCAAATATGTCGACCGCCATACGTTGGAAGAAGAAATGTGCGAGCAAGCCCGCAAGAACCGAGGCATTGAGCTTCCAGGGAGCGCAAACCAGCTGCTTGTGGGCACTCTGTTCCGCGACCAGTCGCAGCCTTGGGAAGAACTCGGCCGTCAACACCTGACGAATGCGTGGGAAGCCGCAAAGTACTTTGTGTGCCTGGTGCTGCAGCATCTGACAGATGAACACACCTACGTCTCTTTGGTCTCCACGGTGATTAGTGCGGAGCTGGAGAAGATGAAGACTGCCTTGCTGGAAAAGCTCGCTGAGCTGACGGCACACACCAAACGCGGCCATCCAATTCCAGTGGGAAAGAGCTTCATCTCCAAGATTCAGCAGTCTCGGGCGACCCGCCACGTTGCGGCGCTGCAGAAATCCCTCAGCGGGCCATTGCCGCATTTTGGACCGCAGAATAAATTTGAGAAGAGCCTGAGCGCCGCTGATCTCGAACAAGCGGCTTCTAGCCTGCAGCTTTCCAGTAACCAGTTTGCTGCAGCGGAGGTTATTGATCAGATGCAGGCCTATTACGACGTAAGTTCCTTCATCAACTTTAGGTTTAGGGTTATGTCGCTGACGGTATAGACTGCCATCTTGACATTTGTGGACAATGTGGCGACGCTTGCAATTGAGAATTGTCTCCTAGTGCCACTTGAGCGCATCTTCACCAGCCAAGCAGTTAATGACATGGACGATGAACAGATCAGCGAGCTGGCTGCGGAGCCTCCTCACATACGACAGGAGCGAGAGCGGCTGAGCAGCGAGTTGGAGAAGTTGCAGGCAGGGATGCAGGCGTTTAATGTCTTCACGACGGATGGATCCTCCCTTCCACCTCCGCCGTCCTTTGGTAAGTCCATAAATGCGTTTTGATGTTCAGATTAACAGTGTCATAGCTACCCGAGCGGCCACTCCTGTCAAACCCCCGAGTCCAAGCCCTGTCAAGGTAAATGGGACTGAGCGAAAAAGTATGTATTCCATTACATGCATTTGCAGCGTTATCACTGACCCCGGTAGTAAAAACACCGAAGAAGCCTAGAGCCTCGGTGTCTTCCGGCGCACGCAATGGGAGACACTCTCCGCAGCCTTCGGTCGATGGACATCAGTCTGCGGTGAATGGCGAAGCCAGACGGGCGGCTCACCAGAGCGATCACCTTCTTCCTGGATTTGGTAGTCGCTTTGAGAGCCCGGACTATGATGAGTTGTAGTTATCTTCGTAGACTACCAGTTCTCTTTGTTGTCTTCAATATACATGTTTTTATAGTTCTGAAAATAGATTAGCGGCTGTGGATCCCGCAAAGCAACCCCATTGGTAGGACCTGGTAGCCTTAATGGAATGCCGATTCCGAGATTAACCCCGGATCAGTTCCGAGATCAACACCAAATCTCTCCCTCCGTCTGACAACTTCATCCCTTCGCTCGACCATGACATGGCCCTACCATATACTCTCCCTCTCCTCCGAGCAGAAACATGAGCGTCGGGTGTTGCTCGATCGGTATGGCTCGTACGCTCAACTCTCCGCCCTGATTCCCATTCTGGGCTATCAATTCTACCTCCTCGGACAATGGGCATACTGGCGCACCGCACGATCACGAGCTGGGTACTCTGCAGTATCGCAACCCTCGGGTCGCCATCCGCATCATAGCCCCCTCTCCACGACACTGCGACGATGGAGGATAGCCCAATGGTGGCTGAACGGAGAAATCGCGCCCGGATGGGGATTACGACAGTACTGGATCGCAGGCGCTGTCTGGGGTGTCTGGATGCTGTTCCTCTGCATCCATCGCACCGGTGATGGTAATAGTCCCTTCATCCTCCTGAACCACATTTGACTGACCCTAACAGACTACCTGCACCTCACCAAACGCTTCGGCATCGTCGCCGCTGCCCAATTCCCCCTGCATTACATGCTGTCCATGAAGTCGCGCTACGCGCCGCTCGTCTTCCTCCTACGCTCCTCCCACGAGCGTCTCAATCCATGGCACCGTCTCTGTGGTCGCATCATCTACGCCCTTCTCAGTGTTCACGCCGCACTCTACCTCAACTACTACGTCCAGTCTGACGCCTTCCACAAACTGCGCTCCCGCGCCGCCATCACGGGCCTCCTCGCCTTCACTCTCCTCACTCTCCTCGCAGCCACTAGTGTCGACCGGCCCCGCCGCATGAGCTACCGTCTCTTCTTCACCCTCCACCTCCTCGCGGCCGTTGTTCTCATTCCCCTCCTCTTCCTTCACGTCTCCCATCTCCGCCTCTACATCCTCGAAACCCTACTCATCTACGCGTTCGACCGCCTCACCCGCCGTTTTCTCTCCACCGTCACAGTCCCCGCACACATCACCTGTATTCCCCGTACCTCCCTCCTGCACCTCCATCTTCCGATTCCAGCTATCACCCTTGCCGCCTACCGCGCCGCTCCAGGCCAACACGTCTACCTGTCGCTCCCGCCGGGACGCACATGGACACGCCGACACCTCAGCAACCCGTTCAGCGTCGCGCGCGTCTCCGAAGCGGGCATTGAGCTGGTCGTGCGGGCCCGCGACGGGCCCATGACTCGCGCGCTGGCCGCGCTGGCTGACGAGTCTTCACCCGCAAGAATCTGCGTCGAGGGTCCCCTAGGCGGTGCGCGCTGGTTCCCTGATTTGGGGCTCGAGTTTGATCGCGTATTGATCGTTGCCGGCGGCGTCGGCGGCACATTTGCCGTACCTGTTTATTGTGCGTTGCGCGGTGGTGCCGAGGCTGAGACGAAAGGCGCGGGCTGGGTGCGGTTCGTTTGGGCCGTCAAGACCGTCGAGGAGGTGAGCTGGGCCGACTCGGAGGCTGGGTGGTTGCGCGATGAAAATGTCAGCGTGCATGTTACGGGCCCGGGTCGCGAGGGTGAGGCTGGGGTCGAGATGGCGGAAATGAGTGATTCGGGCATTGGGGCGCGTGGGAGGCCAGATCTACGCGCCATCGTGGACGAGGTGTTTGCCCATGGCGAGGGCCAACGCGTTGCCGTGCTGTTCTGCGGGCCGGAGGGCATGGCGCGCGACGTGAGGGCGTGTGTTGGACGGTATGCGGGACGGGATATCTGGTGGTATGAGGAACGATTCGGGTGGTGATCACTTCGATGTCTACTCTACTCTATCATACTGTCTTGATGTTTTCTTGTCTACTGGAACAAACACTCCCAAACACCCCCAAACCCACGCCGATTCTTCTCCCATCCGTTCACCACTAGATCACCTCCAATGCGCACCAGCTCGCGCACCTGCTCCTCCGACCCCCAACCGGGTACCGAGCTCCCAAACGCGATGAAATGCGTGCCAACATGCACCGCCGCGCGGTACGCCATCTCCTCGCCCATCCCCCCGTACCCCTCCACAAACCCCTCGATCATCCACTCGCCCGCCGCCACGCCGCGGAAATGCGTAAGCTCGTACAGCTCGGCCATCATCTGGCCCAGATCCAGCGCACGCGGTCCGCAGTGCGCCAGCTCCCAGTCCACCACGAACATCCGCGACGCCGTCGCCGTCGTTGCCGTTTCAACCAGCACACTACACAGTCAGCCATATCTCCAAATCGGTTACGAAGTGTAGGGAACATACTTCCCCGTCCAGAAATCCCCATGAATCAACCCAACGCCCTCGCCCTCGCGGCCAAGCTCACCCCGCGCCATCTCCCGGACGGCCTCGAACACCTCCCGCCGATCTCCAAGGACACTGGGATAATGATCCACAGCCGCAACCAGCCGGTCATAGTTCACGCTACACTTGAGGTCCCGCATAAACGCGTTCCCGGCCATGACATCCCGGACGCCCGCCTGCGCCGCATCATTCCCCCACGCATGGAAGGCCTTTAACCACTGCCCCAGCGCACGACCGACGCCAACCGCCCACGACCGGTCCACATCCCGCGGCTGCGCGACAAAGAAGGACTTTAGGTCCTGCGCGGCGGGCAGTTCCTCGACGATCTGCGTGTTGGTTTCGGGGTTGAAGTGGTAGAAGCGGGGTGTTTGGATGGTGATTGAATCAGTAGTCTGTGCGGGGAAGGCGTTCAGCGCGGACAGGATGGCGGTTTCGGATTTCTGCTGCCGTTAGCCGAGACACTTGCTTGAGGGTTGGAAGGAGAGGGAGGGGAGGTACGCAGCGGTCGGCGGGGATTTTGAAGGCGCGGTTAGACGCGACAAAGTCCTCTGTATGTTTGATCACGACGGCGGTGGTGCCGTCCGCCAGTGGTTTGGAGAGAAGGCCTCTGTAGACGAAGTTGGCGGTGCCGCCGCTTAGTTGGTGGAGGGAGGAGCAGGCGTAGGGGGTGTCGGCGAGAGAGGCCAGGACGGATTGATCTATGGAAGTGTCCATTGTGTGCAGATGGTGTAGACGTAAATAGTGTAGGTATGCAAGTGATGAAGAGAAGGTGGATGGAGGGGAATACGAGGTTACGATATATATTTAGTCGGGGACCCAGTTAGGTTTAGTTCACCAAATCGATGTCATTCGGTTGAGCATTTATGATGCTTGTATACAGACACACCTATACACACACAATAATAACATCCTCTACTCTATACTCTATCGGTGACGGCACGCAACAACGGCGCCCGTTCCGGATCTGTCGGTGTCTCTGGCATCGCCCGATACAACGCACTAGGAACATATCCCTCAAAATTCGTGCGATCCAAAAACCCACAAAACAGCCACAAATACACCGTGCCGAGAAACGCAATGATCCATTCGAGGATTCCCGCGCGGGAGTAACTAGGATTCTCCTCGGGGACCGTAAGCGAGATGAACGCCACGCCGAGGGCCAGCTCGACCACGATGAGGGCAGTAGAAAGCGCCGCACTATACGACCGTTTAGTACAAGCACCTCTCACAGAACGAAAGCATCGTACAAAACCCTCACGCGGAGACTCCGTTTCCCCCAGTCGTGCTGCCAGATGCCGAGATGGTGGACGTAGGAGACGAAGCCGGTGACCTCGTGGGCGTAGACGACAGCCGTGCAGGCGGACTGCACGGCGAGCCCGGCGAAGCAGATGCGCAGGAAGACGTGGTGGGCGACCTTGTAGCGGAAGGTGTCCATGACGCTGAGCAGGATGAGGGCGGTGGCGGCGAGGCCGGCGGCGAAGATGGCGAGGAGCGAGATGAGTTTGAGGGTGCGGGTGGTGTTGTCGTCTTCGTCGGGCGGGTCGGATTCGTCGTCGTCGTGGGTGTCGGGGAGTGTTGTTGATCGTACCAGCGCGAAGCCGGGCTCGTATCGCACGACGTGCACCGCGGCGACGGTCAGGACGAACCCGACGGCTGTGATGGCCGAGCCGACCAGGAACAGCGGCTTCAGCTCGAACGAGGCGATGTCCGAGATGAAGGCGACCTTGGGGTTACTCTGCCCCGGGTATCGGGGCATGCCGCGGGCGACCCATGTCAGCAGCAGGCTGGCCAGAGTGAGGAACCAGACGGAGCCGGCTAGTGCGGGGAACAGGGCGAGTCGTGTCGGGGGGATATTGAGGATGAGAACGTGCAGAAAGAACCAGAGGGCATCGTGGCAGCGCTGGAGGATCATCGAGGTGGTTGGAGAGGGGAAGAGGAGGAGGGAAATCAAGAAGTGTAGATAATGTGGACGAGGATCAGCTGATTTCCTGTTTGGGGTTCCCCGGATTCTACTGATCGTGACGTCACCCTACATGACCCATACCGGCTCTACACGCGCTTCCACCGGTGTATAGCACTGCCATGCATTCATATACCCGTCAACATACGATGGGATACGCTCGTCCATATACTCTTCTTCGATATACACGTCCTCCATCAACCCAGGCACCTCCCATTCATCTGTACAAACACTCTCGCAGAATACACTCTCCATGTATAGATCCTCTATCGGCTGGGCTGGGTAGTAATAGGGCGCAGGAAACATGCGCACCTGCTGGAGGGTAGCTTCTCTTTTCCTGATATACTCCGTCCAGATGTCTGTATCCAAACATACTCCCTGAGACGTCCAGCTGAGCCGGCGCTTCTCCTTTTCCTTCTTTGGGTTCTTCGGAGGATGAATCGGTCGTCTGGCAATATCCTCCCACAGACGTATATGTTCTTCCTTTTCCATTCCTGCACAAGCGCGGGCAGCTAAAAGCAGCAGTGCCCTCAATGCAAAATGCGCATCGTTTCCTGCACAATGAAGCCGCTCATAGGGGCAGTCGGGCTCCTGAAGCACTCTGCGAAGCTGCAGAGAGGGGAACCCGCCTACTCCCTTGGCAACCCACTGGGTATCGATAACGTCCATGGGGAACTGTTGAAAGTCGAAATGTAGATAGCGGAGGGCAATTAAGTCGTTACTGACGTCGTAGCCCACGAGAATGATGTTGCGATACCGGGCCATGCACGCCTCGATCGCCGCGCGCATATCTTCCAGCGGGATGTGGACTGTTGTACCGAAGAGGAACTGCCTCTCGGCTTTTTCTTGGCATGCCGTGGAGCCGCCGGCGAAGTTGTATGTCGATATGCAATGTTTTGTGGCATTAGAGAGGTATGTGAGGTCTCTGGTGTCCAGAATGGCGAGGCCAACCTGGACGCCCCGGTTCAGAGACTTGTCCGCTAGGATGTGCTGCGTGTCTTCGAAGTCTATCGCTACGATTATTGCGTCGTAGAGATTATCTGGGACGTCGTCATCCGATGCCCCGAGAGGCTGAGTACGACCTGCAGGCCGTTGGGTGTGATGGTGGGTAGCTTGTTGTTGGATAGTATGCCAGGCATCTTGTCTGTGGGGTATTCGCATAATGCTGGACGTGCTTTGCGTTGTTGTGGACACTGGTTATGCGTATCTTTGTAGCTGATTGCGAATGTTGAAACGATGGTGTGTTGGTACTTGGTAGTACTGTTAAGTGATGGATGGAGTGTTATAGATAGACAGAGAAGCTCGCTACAGTCCTCTCTTTATACTAGCTACCATAACCAGCAAATCTATACATCGTGACAACGTTCTTCCAACACATTTAAATCACACCGTCGTTGTCGTCTAACAATAGCTTCAGCATCGCGACATACTCCGTCTGTATACAGTCATCGCACGTGACATGCATCAGATAAACCATCGTCATCATCCCCCACCCATTCCTCAACTACACCCAAACCAAACCCCGACTCCAACCAAAATGACACACTTCAACATCCAAATCATCTCCGACACCGTCTGCCCGGTACCTTGCCCTCCCCTCCTCCCTCCAACCCACTCCCCTACTAACAGACCCCGATAGTGGTGCTACGTCGGCTTCCGCCGGCTCTCCCGCGCCATAACCACCCACAAAACCACCCACCCAGCAGACACCTTCACCCTGACCTGGCACGCCTTCTATCTGAACCCGCAGTCGCCCGCCTACCCAGGCGTCGATAAGCACGCCTTCTACGCATCCAAATTCGGCGGCGAGCGCACGGCCGCCATCTTCGCGCGGCTCAGCGCCGTCGGCGAGTCCGAGGGCATTGCGTTCCGCTTCGGCGGGCGCACGGGCAGCACGCGCGACTCGCACCGGTTGCTGTGGTATGCGGGGTTGAAGGAGAAAGAAAGCGGGCCGGCAGCAGCGGGCGAGGAGATTGGCGGGCTGCAGACGCGCGTGGCCGAGAGGCTGTTCCGGGCGTATTTTGAGGATGAGCAGAATATTACTGACCCCGCGGTGTTGCGGCAGGCGGCGGTTGCGGCGGGGTTGGATGAGGCGGAGGTGGATCGGGTGTTGAAGAGTGAGGAGGGAGGGGAGGAGGTCGATGGGGAGGCGGAGAAGGCGAGGCGACAGCTTGTTACTGGGGTGCCGTATTTTATGATCCAGGGACAGTATGCCGTCGAGGGGGCGGATGAGCCGGAGACGTTTCTGGAGATCTTTCAGCGGTTGAAGGCGTGATCTTAGGTACTTGTGGAGGATGGAGTGGAAGTTGTGTCTATGGTCAATTACGAGTTTCAAGTACGTACATCTGTACATGTTATGAGTACATGTTTAGCCCTAACAAGATGTGGACGACGCTTCCCCCAACGCCAACCCATGCATACCCACGCAGATCAAAAACCAAAAGTTGAGTGGAAGATCGCCGTCCCATCCATCCGGCGCCTGACGCGCGCTGTAATGCGCCAGGATGTAGTACACAATAGCAATAGCAAGATAACTCCGAATAAGCAAACAGTCATATCATATCATCTCATCTCATCATGCCGACCCGGAATCTAGTTCATCGTCGCCTGGCGGAGTTTGAAGTCGGGAATATGGTCGAACCAATCGGTCTCCGGGTTGTAGCGGTACGCCTTGAACTCCACCCCGTACGGCTTGGGCTCGAGCATGTACAGCATGCCCAGCGGGACGTCCAGGTCGGCGACTTCGTTGCGCTTGAGGCCGAGGAAGTAGGCCAGGAGCACGCGGGCCACCGCGCGGTGCGTGACCAGCAGGACGTGGTCCGTCATCCGTTCCACCTCGACAATCACCGCGCGCAGCCGGTTGATCACGTCCAGATACCCTTCGCCGCCGGGGCCGGGGTATCGGTAGTACAGCTTGTCCTTCTTGCGGGTGGCGTAATCGTCGGGGTACTTCTCGCGGATCTCCTCATAGGTCATGCCTTCCATCTTACCCGCGTGTAGCTCATCAAGCATCTTCATCTGCTTGACGTCGTAGTCCTCCTCGTTGTAGTAGTCCACCGTCTGGATGGAGCGCTTCATCATCGACGACCACACGCAGAAGTTGCGGGGTCGGTCGCGCGGCACGTACGACGGGTTGGGCGGTGTGCTGTCGCCAGGACGGGGCGGGAACTGTTGCATGATGTCTTTCTGGCGTTGCAGCGATTCCCACAGCTTCCGCTGTTCGTCGATGAACCGGGCCAGCGCCTTGGCATAACGGTGGCCGTTCTCGCTGAGGTCCGAATCACCTCCGATGCGTCCCGACTGGTTGTCCTTGCTCTCACCGTGCCGGGTGATCCAGATCTGACGGGGTGAGAGGTTGAAGTTGAGGAGGTAGTACACAACCTGACTCGAGAGGAAACCGTGCGTCTGGTGCGACACTACCTTCCGTCCGACATCGATCATCTGGATGTACGCCATGTTGTTGCGTTCCTCGTACTCACCAAGGGGCACGTATGATTTCTCGTACAGAGCCACCCGCTTCTTGAAATCCTCCAAGGCTTTGACTGGGTCCTGGTCTTTGTAGTCCGGACCGGACAGCTTCAGCCGCATATTCGCTTCCAGGAGTTCCTGGTCGACACAGCTACTTTCGAGGAAGAGAATGTTGAGTTCGGGACCGGCCCGCTGGCGAATATGGTCCACAATCGCCTTCCGGCGCTCCATTGTGCTGTTAGTGGCGTCGAGGATACCGACACTGCCGCCCTCCTCGAGAATGTAGTTTAACAGCTCATCCAGGGTGTCGAGGGCGACCTGTTCGCGGAGCTTCACGGCGAGCTGATTCTTCGGGTCGAAGAAGCTGGCGGACTGGTCGAGCGGCTCATTGGACTCGGCTTCCTCCATGGCTCTTTGGTCTTCGGGCGACGCATGGAAGGGGGGCACGATGGTGCTGCCATTGTGGTAGGAGTCATCTTCCTCCCGGCCGTTGATCAGGATCTTCGTTGGGACCGCCGGTGGGGGTAAGTGGTTGTCAAGTTCCGGCGGAGATGTGGCAGGCTCGAGGTGCGCACTGTCTCTGTGAGCGGGGGAGCCAAAGGCGCCGCCGACACTAACGCTGAGACGTCGCACAGAATCGACAAGATCCTTATGGATGGAACTAGTCCGCGCGCTGCGATGTCTGCCCGGGGGCGACGGGGACTTTCCAGCCGCGACACGGCGACGCTCTCCGACGTTGAAGATCTCGGTGTCATGCTGCAGCCAATTCAGGTAGCGCGCAAGCTTCTTGGTGATATAGCTCTTTCCCCGCGCAGGGAGGCCGACCATGACAATGACCAGCTTGGAGCCAACGTCCCTCTGAGCAATGCGTCCATCGGGAGAGACTTTAGACTTGGTGAGACCGGGGATATCAAGAGTGGTGGCGCGAACACGGCTGGGCGTGGACGGTTGGGTAGTATTCGCCGAACTAGAGACCACAACAGATTAGACTCGCGATGCATGTATAAGACGTGCAATTAAGCGTCAGAGACCCGGCAGGATCGCCCACTAGAAAAAACAACCCGGGACGTGCCGATCCAACGGAGAGACTCAGGACAGCCGACAGTATGCAGATATCACCGGCAGACGGGAAGAATAGGAGGCAGCTTACAATTGTGGAGACGAGGGCGCGGTAGAAACCGGAGTGTCTGTTAGGGCAAAGCCCACGCCATCCTTGGACGCTGTTGCACCCTTATGACCATCGGCATGCAACTCATTCCCTAGCGCTCGTCCGACCAACGACTTGGTCGGAGGCATCAGGCTGGCGTCTTTCCCTTTGGCGGAGGGATTCGAAGTGACACCATTTGGACGCTCACGCAGAGAGTCGGCAGAGCTCATGATGGCCGAACGCGCAATTCCCGTGTGCTGGGCCATTCAGCGTGGCGCAGCGGGGGCGTCAGAGTGGGCGCTGGTGGTTCTCTCTGATATGCTTTGTTCTTTTTCGACGTGGACAGAGAGGAGGACAGTCGACTGATACGAGTCCTCCCAAGAACGGTGGGTTGGAGGTTGAGGGGCGAACGGGAGAGAAAGAGAGAGAAAAAAAAATGGGGAGACGGCGGGCGGCGGATGAGTCAACGAGCCCTACTCTCTACACACAAGATGATCCTGTTCAAAAACAAGAAGAATTCTGCACAGACCGAAGAAACCTAGTAGGAGAGATCGATCAGATTGATGGTTGTCAGTTCTCGAGAGAGGCAACTCCTCAGAACCATATATGAACAGCTAGTTGATCGGCTCCCAATGAAGTCACCCAGTGGAGCCTCTGGGATGAATGATGTCAAAAATCCACCGTCATGACCCCAACAGAGACGCGATGCATTCCGGCCTACAAGCTTATATACAGCGACTTCTTCACAGTTCAGCAGGTCGCAGAGAAAAGAATACACCCCGTCCATCCCAGAATGCTTGGCAAGGCAAGGCGCGAATCATCCGCCGCCAATCAAGCCTCTCTTCACCTCTAGACCTCCGCCTCCGATCATCCTTTGGGACTCAACATCGCCAGGCGACACATCCGATCTGGCATCGCTGCTCTCTATTGGACCACGTCTCGCCCTTGCGCCCGTCCAGAACATCCAGCCGAAGCCTTGCATCCTCCGTCTGACTCGGCTCACCTGCCAAGGTTTGCTCACGGCCGCTCACCGGAAGCAAACACGGCGGATTTCAACTTCGAAGTGTTCCACAGGGCGTTTCGGTACGACTCCGCGAGGATCACCTCTGCGGTCCGGCCTGCGTGACGGATTCCTCCGTGTAGAGCTGGTCACATTCTGCGATGCTTGGCGCTTGGCAGTTACACAGGGGTCTGCAAGATAAGAGTGTCTTGGAAGATAAGGGTGTGGTTGTGAGTGTAGGTGTAGTGTATGTAGGTGTGAGTGTCCGTCGCCTTGATCTTGGCGTACCATCGTAATGCCTACTTGTCGAGTCGTAAAGTGAGAGCGATCAGTGTCGCGTACGCACCCATGCTCAGGGCGGTCAACACCACAACAGCATTCCCACTGGTGCGGAACTTGCGACGATGGACGCCATCCTCCCCGACCTCGGAGAAGAACTGTCGGTTTCCTTGTTGACGACGGAACAGCCCGATAATCAACACGCCTGTCCCGTAGATGGCGAACAGCGCCCCGGTACTGTAGAACTCGCTGGTGAAGATCTTGAGGACGACGAGAGCGAAGGAAAACTGAGACAGCGCGGTGCGGACGTAGGCCCCTTCGAAGGTTCGCTGAGCGGCGCGCACTTCCACGATCTCATCGGAAGTGAGGGCGACCGTGCGGGCGCGATGCATGCGCAGACGATACCGATCGGCGGCGCGACGCTAGACGATAAGCATGAGACATTAGAAAGGGGAAGGGACCTACCTCGAACATGATGCAGGAGACGAAGGAGTGGTAGGAGGAGATGTGAAGTGCAGTGGTGGTGACGTGAAGATGGAGGAGAACTCCGTAAATGATGGACTGATCATGCGGGGAGACAGCTGACCCGAGAGGTACTTACTACTTCGAGGTACTTGCGAGGTACCTCCAGTTGGCGGTGATTTCTTAGCGGGAAAATGTCCTCCGCAGGTCCCTGCCAATCAGGCCGGGTCGGTTATCGAGATTCCCCAAAGCGGCAACCCCCACTCGGACTTGACTCCGACGGCGCTTATTAAGGCATTGTTATCTAACTACTCCATACTTTCATGCATTCCTTCGTTCATCCGTCCATCTTCCTCTCTCTTTCTCTCTCCATCTCTCGCCATGAAGCAATTCGACGCCGCTGAAGGTATTCTTCCCGTTCCTCGACCCAGACTCCAGCTAATTGTCAGTCGCACAACACACCTCCCCCCAGAGCTGCTGGGTCATCCTCTACGGCAAAGTATACGATGTATGTCACCCCCACGCCCCCGATCCCAACCACTACTAAGAAATTTCAGGTCACAAATTTCCTCTCCGAGCATCCTGGTGGTGCCAAAATTATCCTGAAGCTCGCCGGTAAGGATGCCACCGAGGAATACGATCCCATCCATCCCCCGGGCACTCTCGAGGAGAACCTCCCAGCGGAAGCTCTACTGGGTACCGTCGACCCTGCGACGCTCCCCAAGCCCACAGAACAGCCCCAGGATGCCTCCCAGGCTGAGAATCAGGGCCCTCCCCCCATGGAGTCCCTCCTGAACCTGGATGAGATCGAGCAGGTCGCGACCAAGAACGTCAGCAAGAAGGCCTGGGCCTACTACTACTCCGCCTCGGACGACAAGCTCACCAAGCGCTTCAACACGGACGTCTACCGTAGCATCATCCTGCGCCCACGCGTCTTCATCAACTGCGAGCGCTGCGAGCTCGACACGACCGTCCTCGGTAACCCCCTCTCCACCCCCATCTACGTCTCGCCCGCCGCAATGGCCCGTCTCGGCCATCCCGCCGGCGAGGCCGGCATCGCCGAGGCCTGTCGTAGCTTTGGCGCCCTCCAGATCATCTCGCACAACGCCTCCATGACCCCCGAGCAAATCGTCGCCAACGCCGCGCCGGACCAGGTCTTCGGCTGGCAGATCTACGTGCAGATCGACCGCAAGAAGAGCGAGGCTATGCTCGCCCGTATCAACAAGCTCAAGCAGATCAAGTTCGTCGTGCTGACCCTCGACGCCCCCGTCCCTGGCAAGCGCGAGGACGACGAGCGCAACAACTTTGTCGGCGCCTCCGCTCCCGTCCCCAGCGCAACCGCCAACGCCGAACGGAAGTCCTCGTCCGACGATGACACCCCCGGCGGCGTCGGCCGTACCCTCTTTGCCGGCACTGACCCCACCCTCACCTGGCAGGAGACTCTCCCCTGGCTGGCCAAGCACACCGATCGTCCCATCGTCCTGAAGGGCCTGCAGACCCACGAGGACGCCTACATCGCCTCCCTGCACACCCCCCAGGTCAAGGGCATCATCTTGTCCAACCACGGCGGCCGCGCTCTTGACACCGCGCCCCCCGCCGTCCACACGCTGCTGGAGATCCGCAAATACTGTCCCGAGGTGTTTGACCGTCTCGACGTGCTGGTCGACGGCGGTATCCGTCGCGGGACGGACGTCGTCAAGGCATTGTGTCTGGGCGCGAAGGCGGTTGGACTCGGCCGGCCGGCTCTGTGGGGTCTGGGGGCGGGCGGTGTCGAGGGCGTGAAGCGGACGTTGCAGAGTACGTTGCTCCCCTTTCCTCCTTTGACAGAAATGCTAACAAGACTAGTTCTGACGGACGAGACGAAAACGTGCATGCGGTTATTGGGCGTCGAGCGGGTGGAGGAACTCGGTCCGCAGCATATCAACACGCGGATTGTCGAGCAGCAGATCTACGACGGGCCCGCGGGTCTCGACTCGATACGTCGCGCCTACCGCGCGAAGCTCTAGATTTAGCGTGCATTGTACATACGTTGGTTATCTGTTGAATATCGTACACTCCATGGTAAAGCACATAGCCGGGTATAGTACACAGTAAGGTACAAGAGAAGAGAAGAGGTCGATAACGCCGCTGCCCATACCAAAACCAAAACCCACCCAAAAAGCACAATCACCGCCTCACCCGTCTAGAACCAAAACACCCCTGCATCGCAAGCCCCGGCTGCGTCCCAGGCTCCAACGACCCCCTCGCCTTCCCAATCAACCAATCCGTGAGCGTGACAAACTTCGCCGTGCGATCCCAGCCACCCGCATCCTCCGCATGCTCAATCGTATGCGACGCCACGCGCCCCTCCTCATCAAACGAGAAGATAAACAGCCCCGTAAACTGCTCCTCCTTGGCGAGCTTGAAGATCGGCGCGTCCCCGCCCAGCAGCACGCTCAGACCCTTGTTGATGCCATGCGACTCTGTCGCCTGCGCCTGCTGGCGCGCATGTGTATGGTCGGGCGGGTTTTCGCTGTCGCTGCGCGGCTCAGTCCGCCACCGCACGACGAGCCGCTCGTCGCCGGTGTCCTCACTGCCGGGGGAGGCCGGGTCGAGGACGGTGCCGGCGCGGACGATGCGCTCGCTCAGGATCTGCAGCTTGACGTTGCCGACGAGCGGGAGGCTGCCCCAGGCCACGGGGACGGTCCAGAGCGCGGCGCGGTAGAGGGTGCGGCCTTTGACGGTGGGGAGGTGCGGGTGCGTCGATGGGAAGAGGTGCAGGGTTACGCTGGGGGCGAGGATGGAGGGCGGGAGGGGGTTGATTAGGAGCGTTGGGAGGAGGGGGGAGAGGATGCGGAGGGCTACGCCAATGTATGTTAGCTTCAAGATTAGACCGTGCGAATAGGGAGGGGGAGGACGTACTCTTGCCAAGTTTGAGGATGCGCTCGTCTGGTGGTTTGTGGTCGTCTGGCGATGGGGATGGTCCGTCTGGTATGGGGTGAGGTGTTGTTGCGGAGAAGAGCGTTGGTGTTGGATTTGAAGGTAGACTGGGTTCGGTGAGGAGGCCATTTTGGGGCTGTGCGAGCGGTCGTATAGGCGAGGAGATGAAGTATTGTCGTCGGGAGAGGGAGGTGTTCGCGCGGAAAGTCCGCGGGGAGGGAGGAGACCGGGGGAGGACCAGTTTCGGCATTGCGAGTTGTGGTATATGTGGCTGACGCAGAGCTCAGTAGGCGACGGCCAGCGAAGCCTGGATCATAACATGTGGGTGGTAAGGGGAGAAGAAGATGATGAAGTTGGAAGAAGTCGAGAGAAGATGAAGAGCGAAGTCGAAGTATTCGATGGGGCGATGACGTTGACCCACCAACCACATCGCTTCTGCTGCCGATTACAGCAATACTTAGTATACAACTATTATAGCTATGATAACATCAAATATAATTGCTCGTTACTACATAACAAAAATCCTCATGCCAGTTCATCATCATCCTCCCCCATGTACCGCTTCTCGGCCAAATCCCGGATCTTGTCCTCCAGCACGCCCCGGCCATATCGCTCGGCCACCTTGACGGCCGCCTCGACCATCTTGCCGTTGCGATCCTTCATCATATGCACCAGCTCCAGTGCTTTCATGCCTCGTTCTTCACCCTCGCGGCACTCCACCGCCAGCATCTGCAGAAGCAGCTTGTCCAGCTCCACCTCCTTTCGGGCCAACTCCGCACGCTGACTTGCCGTCGCATTTGTCGACGACAGAAGATCCTGGAACAGAGAGAGCATGACATTTCCACGGACAAAGGCTTCCTCGAAGCGCGCAGCATCATTGCGCGTCGACGTGCCGTCTTCCTCCTCGTTGGGGTCTTTGCCGGGGGTGTCGGAGATCGGGATGCGAAAGTCGAATTCACTCAGCAATGGACGGGGAAAGTAGGGGTATTTGTCCCCTCCCTTGAGAATGATGCAGTGGAACTTGTTCTGCGCAACCGCAACAGGCCAGTACGTCTCTTCTTTGCGTCCGCTGGCCAGTCGCTCCATCTGTTTGGTGTCGAGAAGAGGCACCCAACGTGCTTGTCCGGGAGTACGCCAGTGCTGGAGGACCAGAAGCACGCCCTCAGTATCGTAAATACATGGGTCCTAGTTGGTTAGTCTTGGGCTCCGATAGATCTACATTAGCCACTTACCCCGGTATCAGAAAAGAAGACGCTATGCAGCTCCGCCCCCTCGGGCAGGGCAACCACATCTTCGTTCTGACAGACTTCGTCCCGCTTGACATTCTCAACCGTGTAGCGTAGCGTGGCAGTGCGACCGTCACTACCCACCGGGCCATTCCCAATCGTCATGATGTAGTCTCGCCAGGCGGCACAGGTCACCGCGGGACTCTTCTGTCGGTACACCTTGAACGGCGTTCCGAACAGCGTATATACCCGGACGTAGTCTTTAGTCGTCACCGCAACGATGTAGGACTCGCTGAGCGCCAGCGCTATCTATGGTTAGCCGAGGCCACGGCTATGGGCTGGTCGGCCTACCTCGAATGTATTCTCCCTGCGGCAGCTGTGTCCGCCAGTCTGCACGCGTAGTCCAAGTCTCGTGAGGTCGATAAAATATCGTAGCCGGACTGCCGTCATCTGGGTTGTTCGAGAAGAGAGCCCCATGCTCATCTACACACAGTCAATACTTGTCGGTCAAAGAACAGTCGTGTCACATACTCAGGCATGCCCGATCATACATGTACGGGTCGGTGAAATGAAAATCACGATGGAGCTCCCGGTCGTAGAACTCCACAGTCACGGTGTTATGGGTCTCCTGGTCCACCGTCCACACAGCACCGGTCAAGTTCAGGCCTACACAAGTCAGCATATTGCACCTACGCAACGCAAACAATCGTCCATACAGAGATACCGTCTGTTTCCTCTCCAAGGGGTGCTGCCGGTCTGAAGAGGCGGGTGAACCTTAGGCTTGGACAACGAAGTCAACAGCCGCTTATCCGCGTGTCCCTGGATGTCATCCAAGTGTCCGTTCGTGCGCTTGCCGTACGCATTAATTCCCTCCGCATAACCCGCTCCATCGTCGTCCTCCACGAAATCCTCCATGCCATGGTCAGAGGCCAGCAGATCGTCCAGCGAATCAGGCGTGCCGGCTCGTCTCTGTTCCACAGACTCCTTCGGGCGGTTCGCCAACGGCCGTCTCACATTGTCGGAGATCTCAGTCAGCGGCCCCGGGAAAATGGGCGCAGCCTGGAGCGGCTTCTGCAGCAGCGGCTGGTGCTCGCTCGGCACGAAGCCTTCGTATATGAACAGTTCTCCGTCCGAGGTGGTGAACGACGCGGAGTTGTGCGAGGGATGCCACGCAAGGTTGATCACATTCGCAAAGTCGTACTGCTTCAGAACTTTCTGAGTCTTGGTCTCCCACAACAGGATCTGGCCGTCCGATCCGGCCGTCATGAGAAGCGCGCCGTTGGGCGACCAGCTCATGGCTGTGATATCGCCATTATGTCCGTTCGAGAAAGTCTTCTCCTTCTTCCACTCGCCCACCGAGTAAATCGATATATCCCGAGTCGCCTCGGCGGACGCAAAGGCCGTGCCGTCCGGGTGCCACACGATGCGAGAGGTCGCTTCATCTTCCGGCTCCAGTCGGCGGATCACCCCATCCAGCTTCTGCACCAGCTGGGGCTCGTCGGTGTCCAGAGAGTAAATGTAGACGATGCCATCCGTGCAAGACACCGCAATAAATCGTCCGTTCGGGTCGAACGTGATATGTTTCGACCCTTTCGTCTGTTCCCGGAGGTACTTGACTTTAGTCATATCCTCAATGTTGACGATTTTCACCGTGAGTTCACTGTCCAACCGTCAGCCCGTCAGCCAACTCACTGTTCCCCTGGAACTTACTCGCTCGCAACTGCAGCCCACTCGCCATCCCTCGACACAGCAATGTCCCGCACGGGCAACGCGCATCGCACAAGGAGCTTCTCCATCCTGCCGGATCCGACCTCATACTGCCAGACCGTGCCATCTTCCGCGCCCATGATAAACGAGTCATTCTACGAGTGCATTAGCTTCAAATAGATTCATTGCCAACCCAATCGCGTCGCATACTGTCGCGCCAATTCCCAAGTGTCCATCATTCCCTTCGTCGATCGTCTTCGGCTCGCCATCTTGTCCAACGGTGTAGATCCGGATCGCAGAATTTGAGCCGCCGGTGACGATGTAGCGACCATTGGGGGTGTATGTGAGGACCGTAGACCCAGGGGTGTCTGCAAAGAGGTGGTTTGTTAGTCGCGCGTGGTTGTACGCTTAGGTATAGATGAAGCACTTACGGGCTGGTCGACCCCTGGGGCGCATGCCTTCCGAGGTCATGGCGAAGATTGATGCTAGGGATTGTAGCAAGACGAGGACTCCAAGTCGCAGGTATTGTCAATATGATTCAGTCAGGACAGGTCGTTTCCCCGACAGCAATAGCGTCGGTGATGTTGGGGAGGCGGAGACGCGTGGTCATCCCGAGACGCGTCGCGACCACGCATTGTCCCGATTGGGTAATATTAAGGGCTTAGGGCTCGGGGTCAGGGTTTCACCGTCACGTCTATTCTCAGTCCTTATTCAGACCATGGACGCTTTAATCTTCGTCTTGTACAAATACTATCAGACTACAGACCAAGAACAAGAACTTTTCAGCCAGTGCCTGCCGGTTTCATTGTCTATGATCATCTCTCAGCCATACCAAGATCCAGATCCAGCCTCACGTCCAGTCCTCCGCATATGAACAGAATTAGAAGTAAAGTACATGAATAGCGCGGACGCAATATGCAGCTGAGCCACGCACAAGGTAGGGGGGAGAAAAAAAACAAAAATTAAAGAGCAATATTCTTACTATGCACGCTCAATAATGCAAGACATGTACAACCAGGAACGGTAGATGCCCAACCAAATGGTGCACCCGCTGCCCTAGAGGAGATTCGTTGCTTTCGTGAACCATACACCGCCATAACCCATGACCTTCAAGAGACGCCAAAGAAGCCAGAACGACCGTAGAGAAAGAGACCACACCGTCGACACGTCCCCGGCAGATCCACTGGAGTCTGTCTGACATGGGACAGTGGTTTACTGGGCCGGCGCTGCAGCAGGCGCCCCATTAGGAGCACCACCTGCACCACCGCGGCCACGACCACCGCGACCACGACCTCTGAACTCACCACGTCCGCGGCCACGACCACGGCCCCGGCCCCGTCCGCGGAAGCTATTCTGTCTCTGGTGACGCACGGCCTCGAATTCGCCATTGGCCTTGGGGACAGTCGCGTTCTCTTCGGTAGTCTGAGTAACTCCGGTAGTATCAGTCACCGCAGCCTCGGCAATGGTGGTGCCGGCCGCGGGGGTCGCCTGGAGGCCGTTCTCAGTCTCGGCGGGGTTGCGAGGCACCTCTACCCAGCCATCAGCATTGGTAGACGAGGCGAGCGAATCGGCACCAGCGGTTTGTTCCCAGTTCGCCTCCGCAACGGCATTGGCGGCGTCGGAAACGAGGGTCTGAGCCGGAGGCGCATGCTCGGTCTGAGCTGGAGTAGCGTCACCCTCAGTAGCAGGAGTCTGGGTCTGGATTTCGTTCTGGATTTCGGTAGCCGCAGCGTTGGCCACGGTAGGATCGGTGGCGGGCTCGGGTTCGGCGTTGGTAGTGGGTTCCTCAGCAGGGGCGTACTGCTTGGAAGCCTCCTTCACATTGCCATCTAAATGATGTTAGGGACCACCTCGACTTGTTAAAAGAATTTCCGTATGGCAACTTACAGGTGATGTCCAGGGTCTCGCCATCCACACTGACAATCTTCTCGTCCGCACCCTCAATCAACTTCACCATCGAGTCGACCGCGTCGTAGGTGCCTCCGTACACCTGGTAAAGGACACCCTCGAACGCGCGAGTTTCGCGGGCAGTCTCATCACCGGAGCGTCTCATGGCAGCCGCAGCGCACAAGAACTTGGTCAGGCTAAGCAGCTGCTTTCTGAAATCATCCTTACTCGCCGCACCAGCCTCCGCCGCCACCTTCTCCTTCAGAGAGTTCAGCTCCTCTTGGTGCGCCTTCTCCAGTTCAGCCTTCTGGGAGGCCAGACGCTGTTCATACTGGGCGGCAAATTGCTTGAAGTGTGAGATTTGGTCTTCGAGCTGGGCGATGGTGGCTTGGAGGGAGGGTTTCTTCAGGGCCTGGGCCTTCTGATCGGTATTGATCTTCTTTTCGGCGACAAGCTCGTCCAGCGATTTACCCTTGTTCTCGGCGATGATGGCGTCGACTTTGGCGGTCGCATTCAGCTTCTTGACAGCGTTGCGCAGGCTCCTATAACCGAATCTCTGTTAGCTTTGCGCAACGCCAAGTCAGACGTCATCAGAACATACCGCTGGAGATCTTTGAAGTACGGACTGTCAATGCTGTCCACGCCGTTGGTGACGGCCGTAATGTCCGAGCCGGGGCCATTAGTCTGCTTCAGCTTCTCCGAGGAGACATCGGACGGGGTGTGGTTGGGTTTGACCGGAGCCATAGCGCTGATGTGTGTGTGGACGTGTCGGAGTGTGATGTGTAATTGAGATGGCGTGAAAACCGTAGGGGATAAGAACCGAGAAAGATTGGGAGGGATCGACAGGTAGTATCGTTAATCGACACGAGATTAAGGAAAAGTAGAGTGGATGAAAAGGAAGAAGGGCAGAGGAGAGGAAGAGAGGAAAAGCTGTGGTTTGGTGGTCGAGGACCAAGAGATGCGGGTGGAACTCTTCCGAACCTCTTTCAGCCCGCTCGCCTTGTCGCGTGCAGCCTTCTCGTCCACTCGACGCGCAGCGCCGACGCATGGCCCTTGCGGGGAACCTACAAATTGTCTACGAGTCCAATCTGGCATCAATCAATCCCGTTGGGTATCATTATACACATCGAAAACGCCTTCTTTGTGGCTCAGCTAGGAAGAGTCCAGTCATCGCACGCAAACAACCCAATATGCACAGTTCCCAGTTCTCCCAGCGCCCATTAATGTCAAACACCCATATACCAACCAGTGCGACCGCCAGACAACTCCATTATGCTCCGTAATGAGGAAATCAGGGAATGCTTAGGAAAGTACTCGTCCGATCAGCCTTTGAACTTCCGCAGCGTCCGCTACAGCAAACCAGACTGTTAGAATCATCATTACAAGGAAAGACCTCGATCGACCACATACCTCGGTCACTTTGCGGACTGCATTCTGTGAGATATTCTTTTCGCCGGCCTTTCGCGATCGAATGGACGCCTCTCGCATCAGTCTACCAGAAGTCAGCCTCAGCCCGTCTGACGCTTGCGCCCGTCGAAAAAGGATATCTTTGCCGTCGCGCAGACAATTGACGAAAGAAGTCACTCACTCTTGCATGAATAGCATATAATCCAAGAAGATCTGTGAAGCGGTTGAGCATTGCGTCAGTTCAGCGTCTCGCATCACCCACACTTAAGGAGGAAGTACCAGAATATCGGCATTCTTGCTGACGTTGCGATTTGAGTGCGCCTTGACGATGCGCTTGACCGTGGCTCGTGGGTAGAGTTTCTGTGTTGCCGCCATGATCTCGTAGATTGGGAGAAGTCGAGAAGATGGTGGTAAAGGATCGTCATAACAATCAACAATGAAGATGCTATTAGGTAAGGTGCTACTCTCCGATGAAATAGGAAGGTCTGCCAAGCCACTAAATCAGTCCAGCGCTATGACCGAGGCATTTGACATGGACATGCTAATGAACGTATCTCGAGGTTTTGGAGACGCCGCGCTCCGAATTTGCAAAGGCTTCAATAATTAGATGCTGCTGAGCCAGCTCATGTTTGATGGAAATGTGAGGATAAAGACAATAGTGCCCGAATACTACGCGCTGTTGCGTTCTGGCGGGCGGAGTAGCGCTTCCCCTCGAGGTAAAGCTTCCTGCAGATAAAAGGAAGAACGCCCAGCCCACTAGGTTTCTTTCTTTCCTCCACATCCGGTACGCTGATTCCTACACTTTCATCCTCACTGCTATTTTTGACTCTCGCATCATCCATCATGTTCGCGGAACTTAGCCAGGCTGATCGGGACTGGCAAGACCAGAACCGAGCATCTCGCCGCAGGCTAGCCAATCTTCGAGAAGAGACATGGGGCTGGGTCGTCTATCGTACCACGTACAAATCTGATGCAATGTTCCAGAGGGCAATCGACATTATTAGCTCTTGGATTAAGTGGGCAGTTTACCGTGATCTCTACAATACGCCCGGTGTACCAAACCCGGATCCTACATCAAACAATCAACTGTGGGCACGTCACAGTCTGACTATTATAGAGGATTCGACAGTCCTTGATGGGGTATCGCTTGATGTGGTGCGTTCGCATTTCGAGTCGTGGGTGGAACAAAGAAATAAACGGGATCGATGGAATAAATACCGTGTCTGCATGGCGATTGATGAGGAGATTCTCGAGCTCCTGGTACATAATGTTCTGCTCGCCGATCCTCAGTCGAAGATGTCTGGGGAGAACAAGGCTAAAGACATGAAAGAGTGGCATGTGAAGGTTGTTGAGGCATTTCCAGATTACGAGGAGGGCGCTGAGGGCTATGAAGGATGGATGAATTGCTCGGTTTATGCGCTGGTCTATCTTTGGGATATGATGGATGACGCAACGTATATGGGTCACTGGTACTGTCGATTGGAGGATGGAGTCTTTTGTGGATGAAATATTTGGAAGTGTTTCAAGGTCTTTGGTGATTTCGACGGGAGGGCGTCCAGCTCCAATATGTAGGAAATGGAGACTTGAGCGCTTGAAGATGATATGTCGCCTCTACTAAATCTTCATCTTCTACATCTATATTTGACGAAGTCACTCCTTCTCGCCGGATAAAGTCAGGACATTAAACCATGACAAGTTCTCGGTACTATACCACGATCAGGCTGCTAGCTCGAAGACCGAGGTAGACAACTGTCTCTGCGTTTGTATCCACCGGAGCATAGATATACAAATTACTTATCCCCTAAGCAGAAGTAATTTGTGGAATAAGTCATTCCCACTTGCGAAGGCATCCTGTTAACCAGGAGCTGCTTCAGGCGACTAGGTCGTTAATATGACTTCTTCTCTGACACTAAATCTACAAATTCACGAGGCTTGGAGCTTCTTGACTTGGGGCATCCTTCAGATAGCATCGCAAAGCATACGGCAGCCCTGGTCTACGTCTTTGGGGTAGATTATATAGTACGGGTACCACAAACATGGACATCGCGTATTTTGAGGAAGGCAAGTTAAATTGGTAGAGAAAAGCATGACTCCTTGGGTATTGATGATCTGGCTCTATTGTATTTTGTTCAGTTATCTAAGGAATCTATACAGCCCCCCGTGCTACGGTGTCTTCTATATCTAACTTGTATAGCTATGTTGCTTGGCATTATCTTTACGAAGGCAGTTCCATTATGGCCTTATCAGGCGAGTAAGAGGCAGCAATACGTTATGCTAAAACAGCATAGTTAAGTCAGCCGAGACCAAACAGAAGCAGAAGTATTATAAAGATAATTAAAACAAGGTATTATTAGCTATGTATATATCGGATGTTGTATCTCGCACTTATTTACAATATAGAAATTATCTGGGCCCCTAAGGACTATCCCATTAATAAGTATAGATCAATTTCAGAAAAGATTACTACTTTACTCTCTATTGTTAAGGGCTGGCGAATGGGGCTATGTCCCCGTCGTGCTAGAAGTGGTCTATAGCCATAGTTATATTATTAAGCTAACAATTAAAGTTTAGGGCAAAGATTAACCGATTACCAATAGCCGACAGCTACTAGATATTGGATGCTTTATCTCTGCGTGCAGTTTGTTTTAGATAGATTACATTATCATTCGGACAATTATAGTTAACCGTAAGAGACGTCCTTAGGATGTTTGCAAATAGCCTCTTCTTTACCTCTTCGATAGTGGCTTCTAAATTAATTAGTTTCTAATCTTGTGTGCTATGTTACACAGCCAGATAAACGCGATCCGCTTCTTTCAGCCGACATAAAGTAGATTACCCTAATACACCAGACTCGTCCTTTATAGCCTCATATAGGCTTCTAGAAATCTTTCCGGACATTAGGTCGGCCACCGCTGCTTCCAGAGAATGAAGCAAAGTTACCATTCCCGGCCGTGCGTAGAAAGCGTGCGTAGCAAGGGCATTAACCACATTGTTAGTAATACTAACATTCTTGCTGCAATTAATGTCAGCGCAGCGGGAAAACACGTCGTAGTGGCAGAATCTACATAGTAGACATCAAGTCGTCGCTACATGTCAGCGTGAAGCCCAGACCGACGATGCTAGCAATAGCCTACAACTATCGGCCTTATCTGAGGTAATTATATTTTAAATTACGATCGCTCTTAGAAGAATCCCCCAAGACACACGCATAAGCAATGCAGTTCATCACATATACCTTTTTTTACTCTACTGCTTGCCGGGGCCGTAGACAGTAGTATTCTGGAAATTGGCAGATCTCCTTATAATTTAGGAGCAGTAGTATCCGCGCTACGCGCTGGCCGACTGCATCTATAACTATATTAACTTTAAGCATAATAGTATAAGTTACAGCGGCTTCAACACTAATCCACTTTATAGACAGTCCTAATGTAGAGAGGCCCTAGAAGACGTTTTCTTGCTAGATATCTAATAACGATTCTAAAGCAGTACGCGGTGTATAATCTATCAGATATACGCTAAGTTTTAGAGCTTGCTTAATTTCAGCTTTTATGAGCTATTGACTGTTTTCTGGAGCCATGTAAGTCTTTCGCAAAAGGCCGATGGTAGGATCTGGGGTCAGGCGTAACTGAGTACTATGATTAATTCGCCCTTTCGAGCATCTACCCGGCGTTTAGACCCTTAAAGATGTGGTTAGTGACTTGAGCATTATTTTTTCTCTCCTTCTTCTTTTATCTAGTATAGGTGGCCGGGCTTTCTGCATATTAACACAAGGCTTAATTCTTGCTGGCAGAAGACTGCTTCGTGGAAAGGTATCTTCGCGAGAAAGTATCTGGTCTCCTCTTATTACAATACTCTCGTACATAGCAGTAAGGTTAATTATGGCTAGAGAAAGGCCGTGAGCTAATTATTATAAGAAGTAAAATAACAGAAAGTAATATAGTAAGGAGGCTCAGAGGGTTTAGGTTTTTATCTTTGACTGTGGCATAGCTGCTCGATGCTATCCTACCATTTCTACTTATAGCCTAAGATTAAATGGCATTAACCCGGCGGGCCCTTTAAAGCATATCGGCGAGCTAAGTAGGGTTCATAATTCGTACTTTTGTTAGGACCTCAATCAAACTCTATGTGAGCTAAAACTATTTAGCAGTTTATTCTTACCATCGAGGGCAAGCTTACCTTTGCTAGGTTGTCTTTTAATAAGCTCTCACATCCCACTTCGCTATAGCTAGGGGAGTTCTTGTTATGTAAATATAGGGCGACTTAGCGAGACCTCCAGACGTATCTGAAAGCTAATAATAATATCCGTTATATCTTGTGGAGCTAGTGTATGTTAATAGAAGAAATGATCAGGTAATAAGATAAGTCTGGCTTAGAATGCGGTAAACTGGGAACTGATGGGATCCGCGGTTTAGAGAATGTAATAATATCTTAGAAGAGCGCTGCGGATGGTCCACCCCTCTAAAATAGGGCTGGATGGCTATGATAATTGTTGTATACTAGATGGGGATGGTTAATCTTACGGTAAAAGGCGATTTATGTAAGCTATGTAACTACCTCTTAATTACCTAGGTAGTTAGTTTTCGGTCGCTATAAGAGGTTCTGGTACAGCCCTAGTTCGCGTAATTATATCATTAGCCATCGCGAGAGGGTCATTCGCGATCCAATTATAACGGGATATACTCAAGATTTCGTTATAGCCTAGAAACCGATAGCAGAGGTAAGTTGACTTTCCTCCTGGCTTGAGTACCTACGATGGTGTCGCTGGAAGGTCGTTGATCCGTCCAGCACACTTACGCCTCGCCGCCAAACGGCCAAATCCGACCTTCAACCTCCACCAAATCAGAGCCAGCTGTCGCCTTTCACTCAACTGGGCTCGACCTGTTCAAGAAAACCTACCATGTCCGAAGGAAATACACTGTTCCACCACGAATCCTGGCTGGAACCATGGTCCTCCCCGGACTTCCCTCGCAACGAATCCTGCATAGAGCGACAAAGACGGTTTAAAAACAAGCCGTGGTGGAAAAACATCACGGAGCAAAGTCAGATGCAAGAGCTTATCGTGCGATATGCGTTTGATGCGCGCTTTTGGCCATGGGGGTTTATGATCTATCGGACCACGTACTCCTCGAAAAAGGATTGGCCTGCTGCACTCGACAAGCTCAACCGATACTTTGATATATTTTCTCCCGATAATGTCGACGACGCAAGCCGGATAGTCAAAGAAGGACACCGCGATATTGTTATCGAGGATCCAGCTCTCGACGGTGTCTCACTAGAGGTAATCCGGCAGCGACATTTAGAATGGCTAAAGCTACGTGGCCTCGATCCATGCTGGGCTCACCCACGAACAAGCTATTGTCTGATAATAGACGAGAGATGCGTCCAGTCGATTCTAGCTAGTGGAGACCCAGAGCTACCTAGTACCATACGCCCTACAGGGTACGTGAACGTACTTGACATGAGCCATAATCCAGAGGACTCCGGGTACGATGAGGGGCCGTTTTATAACGGCTGCATGCGACTTGACTTGACTGGGCTATTCAATCTGGCCTATTACTGTGAAGCCAAGCCTCTTTGTGAGCTCTACAACTATGTTGACGATCCGGATCTGGTGCCTTATACGGATGGGTATGGTTGCTACAACGCACCTAAGAGCATTCTTGTACATCGGCGGATTCTTAAAGCGGGAGGCTATGAACTTGAACCATGGTAGATAATACTTTTCTTTACTTCTTTTGCATGTTTGGCGTGAGCTTTATGTTTAGCCGTGGAAGATAGAGAATGTACATAGGATCTCATATCACGACGAAGTACCCAAGTCTAATAAATCACTGACTCGTAAGAAAATATTGTTTCTCCGGGCGATAGCATGGACCAAATGTAATACTTCAACTTTCCCCAACGTAGAGTTACTGGTATTGATCTACAATGGGGTTGGAGCGTAGAAGCTATCGAAGGTGACTCCTCTTCACTAGCCCGTTAGGCATATAGTATCTACCCTAATGGTTACAAATATTAGGGTCTAAGGAGGGTTTCCTTGGGTTCTTTTAATTAATTACTAATTAGTATGATTTCCTTAAACAGCTAGGACTAAGTGCTTTGGGAAAAACGTAGATGTGGCCATGATATAACCAGTAATACTTACAGAAAATATGCTAGGTACCGCATTCGCTACGACTCTCCGCCAACATGAGGGAGCGTAATTGCGCGGTCAGCAAGCTGCCTATTATAACTGTCTGTAGCAGTGATCTCCTAGGGCGCTTAACAATTGGCATTTTGTGGTTATTTGAAGAAGGAAAATCTCCTATCGACACTAGGAGGGACGAGAATTGATACTGGCCGAAGGTAACTAGGTTGTCCGATTCCCGGAACGAAGTCGACGGCCTATTCCAGTATCAGAACTCGAGTCCTGATCGTTGCACACCTCTACATGGGTGATGTTCCTAGTGAATGCCTAGGATTGTATACAGCTGCGGGATTTTGATAGATGCCGACTCCGAACAGAAGGGAGTTTGCGCTGTGGTAAGGAACCTTTCGCTTTAGGGAGGACCACGATGTCTAATCCTTGGCCTTCATTCAAGATAATCTGTTCTTAGAGCGCTCAGTACGACGCTGACGAGTCTACGACTAGGCTTTGGCATCGACGATACAACCTATTAACATCGGAAAAGCGCCGAAGTATCGAGTATCAAACTATGGTCGGTTTCTTTAAAAATACACGAGCACATGCGGACAGACTAGGTAGTTCAGTTGCACTATCGTAATTTTGACTAGAGTAGCTAGGGCCGTGATTGAGTTACCTATTGCCTTGGAAGACAACCCAACCAAGCTGGTACATAAAATCTAATGTTGAAGGGGCCAGGGATCCGCTGCAGACCCGGACAGCGATCCTCTTCAGAAACCCAATAGCCCGGAAATGCGTCTCACCCAGCTTACCTAGCTTAACCTACGGCTTAGCGCCTATCTATATCAGAGCTGGTAAGATATTAGATTTACAGATATAAATGCTGAGGACACTAAGCTTTCTTCGGCTTTTCTAGCTATGTTCTACCTAATAGCTATCAGCCTCAGCGTACCCTCAGCTTGTACTACTCGGTAAAAGGATTGTTGTTGGCTGACCCGTTTCCGCATCGACCCAACCCTCTTAACATCGTGGTGTTTCGTGGGCGGAATATCTTTAGAAACCTGATTGTTCGTCTCCTCTGAGCGATGGCTTCATAGCACACTATTCATCATCTAAGGCACTGCTAAGAGGATATGCGTAGTAACTAGTAAAATTGAACGACTTATATGAGTACGTGGGTATATTTGCGATCTCTCTCTAAAAAGAACAAAACGGATTTCTTGCGGCTCTTCAACCACAACTGACGAAGCTAAAACGATCCCGAGTCATATCTTCAGTCCGCATTGCAAAGCCAATAATTTAATTAGAAGAGCTTAAGGAAAAAGGAGAACCCCCAACCCAGCCCTAACTGTCTACCTATTTACGAAGCCCAGGGGTGCACCTACTTCCTCGCACACAAACTCTTTACAATCTTTTGCACCAAAGCATCCTGATCCCTAAATCGCTGTGGAAACTTGGCCAAATCGCTCGCCTTCAACAGACCCCTTGCCTTGGAAGCCTCACCCAGCGCCTCCCCCTTGGACAGCCTGCCCGTCCCGCCGCCAACGCCCGCAATCAAACCCAGGATCGCAAACGGGGCAGAGGTCGGATCCTCAATGATGTCCGCCACCGTTAGTGCCCCGTTGCCCGCTTCGCCGATGAGAAGCGCAATGCGAGCGACTGCTGCTGCGCTGCCGATGAGGGGGCCGAGGGCCTCGCCGACAAAGGGGATAACCATGAAGATGATGCTGAGGATCTTGAAGATGAGGGCCTTCTTTGCTTCTTCCTTGGCCTTTTCGCCAATGTCTTTGATGTCCTTCATGCTGCTGATGGCTTCGGCGAGCTGCAGGACGGGCATGGCGTAGGCGACTACTGCATCGGTGGCCGAGCCATCGTTTGGCCCGTCGTCGTAGAAGGACAGGCCCACGCTGAGGTACGACGAGAGCAGCGAGGTTCTCAGAGCCGTGACATTGCCCATGGACGCCTCGATGAGCTTCTTCGGATTGCCGACGTGGATATCGTCGTCGGATGCCTTCAGAGGGTAATTCAGCTTTTTGCGGTAGAGCTTCCGGCAGGGCACGTGGCCGGCGCCCGGTCGTACATCGCCCGGATCCGCACACCCGTAATCGGATGTCTCGTCGCCAAACGTCACCCACGACTCGTCGATGCCCGTCTCGGCCGCGAGCGCATCGAAGAAGCCCTGCTTGTCGACGAGATCGAAGCGAATGCTCCATCCCTCGCTCATGTCCCAGATGTGCGGCATGCCAAAGCAGGAGTCTTTCTTTTCGTCGTGGCCGGTATATGCCCAGTAGCAGTCAAAGTACTGGAGGCCTTTGCCGTCGCCGAGCTTCATGAAGTCGTCGATGCGCGGCTGGATCTGCTCCTTGGTCCACTTCTCGTACCAGCCGAACTTGTCGTCGTAGTCTTGCGAGTTGGTCTGGAACAGAGCCAAACTGTCGAGGAGCTGCGAGTAGAGAATGTCCATCGCAAAGAGGCTGACACAATCTGGGTCTAGAGAGTCGGCTTGATCAGCGAGACCGTCCAGGGTGCCCGGGTTCTTGTCGGGGGGGCAGGTGGGAGTGTCGTCGCCGGCTTCATCATCGGAACCGACGCCGTCGTCGTTGCTGTCGTCGCCGTTTTCATTGTTCGAGTAATCTTGGAGGTCTATGGCCCAGTCGGTCGAACCGCCAAAGTTGAGGCCCTTGATCCAGTTGATTCGGTTGGCCTTGAGACCGCCGTCCATGTAGGCCACCCAATCCACAGCTCCAGGGTTACCGTAGATGAGAATATTGGACTGCGAATCCGTGTCAATGTACGAGTTGACGATGGAGTGGTTGCCGTGGTCCTTGATGATGTCGTTGAGCTCGGCGTTGGCGATGTAGCCACCAGTTGCCGTACACGGCGCGGCATAGGCCATGGAGTGTGTCCTATCTCCAGCATAGGTGCAAAAGGGACCGGAGCAGGAGGCGTCATTCATACGGAAACTTCTGCCGTAACTGCTGACGCCAATGACTATCTGTCGGGCTTCCACGCCAGCTTTGGTGATCATGACCATGGCATCGTGCGTCTCGGTTATGTTGACGTGCGATCGAAGACAGTTTCCGGCTGGGCAGCCGGGAATGGCCGATTTGTTGTCGACATCTACATCCAGACTCGTTGTTAGCACACAGTTTTTATCTCAGGCTTGCGTTACTTACCCCATTGGCCGTGCAGGTCATACGTCATGTAGATAAAGTAATCCACATATTTTGCAATTTTCTGGACCGGATACTGCTTCAAGTACCAGTAAGAAGCCGGCAGCGCGATGGAAATGGATTTCCCGATAGGCAGCTTGCTCCGGAGCATCTGCAGGAAAGCAAGGTAATTTCTCCCTTCGTCCGCGCTTCCAGGCGTGATGTCCGGAATATCAGGGGCACCGGGATACTCCCAGTCAAAGTCGAGGCCATCCAGATCTTGGCGGCTCATGAAGCTCACCAGGTTATCGACGAAGGTGGAGCGATGCTCCGGCTTGGTGGCATCTCTGAAGCGCTGGAACGTGCCCGGGTCTGTGGAAAACGCCCATCCGCCAAAGGAGAGAATCTTTTGAAAGCCTCTCATCTTCACGAATTTGCGAAATTCGTCCTCGACGTTTGAGATGTCCACGTCGAAATCGGATGTGACCGTGGCAAACGCAAAGTGAATGTGCGAGTACTTGTTGGCCGGGACCTCGGTGACACTCATGCGCAGACACGCCCTCAGCTGGTCAAACGCCTCGAAATAGCCGACAGTCTTGACCTGATCGGGTGCCTTGCCGTTGTTGACAATCTTCATCCCGCAGTTGGAAATACAGCCGTTGGTGCCCGGCTTTGCGGTCCCCGGAGCGCCAGTGTCCGCGGGAGACTCGGTGCAGAAGTCGACCGTTGTTCCGCAAAATCCCCAGACATCGCAGCATGCATTAAGGGGACATGGATTGAGATCCGCGAGTGCGGTTTCGTCGGAAGGCTTCTGGGTCCCCGGGACCTGCGGACCGCAGGTGGCTCCCGGGATCGGCGCGGGCATAGGAGGCTTTCCCTCGCTGAGGCAGATGAGTTGGCCACTCTGCAGCCCCCCCGCACAGCCGGTCCAGCCCCAAGTGTTCTTGTTAAAGTCTTCAATATCTTGCTGGCTCAGGTAGTGCGCGTTTGCCAGGTCCCAGCATCCATCGTTGTCGTTGACTTTATACGTGTTGCAGGTGCCGTCGGGTTGGGGCTGAGGGCGAAAGTCTGGCAGTGTGCCTGCGGTGCAGCACACGTGCTGTTTGGGCTTCAAAGTCGAGCACAGGTTCGCTTGCGGGTTGTATTTGTTCAGGTCATCTCCAGAGATGCCGCAGCGGCTGGCCAGCGAGGGGCAACTGTCACCCCCAAGGACCTCCTCTGTCCTGCACCAGTCTCTTGGGAGAAGGGTTCGTGGACCTCCTCTGGCGGTCATGTTGGAGGAGATGGTAGTAGCATTGGTAGGAGCATTGAAACTCGTAGCCACGGTGGACACGAGCACGTCCATGCTGACGGCGGTAGCAGGAATGGTCCCGTCCAGGCAGAGACCATTGTTCCAGCCTTTGACGGCATCTTGGGCCGCTGCCAGATCAATGAAGC